CCAAAAAGGTATGCATCGAGAGGAGCAGCCGCGGCTACAGTTCCTTGCTCCTATTCGAAAGGAATAAAATGAAATAAACTGTGCGACCCGCAAATGTCTAAGGATTTTCAAGGTGCCCAGACAAAACGAACCAAAAAATGTTCCAACATTCAACAGAATGCTGGTCGTCTGGAGTTGCTGCTTCTGCTGCTGCTGCTTCTGCTGATACTCTTAAATGGCTTCCAAGTCGGTCTGGCATCTTTGTTGGCTCTCTCCCACGCTGTAGTCAACACCTGCGTCCAGCAGCCGCCATCGAAATGGAAAGGGAAAACACAACAACACGTGCCACAAGCAAGGTGTGAGTGTGTGATGGTGTATGTTTGTGGTTGTGCACATTTACGGTTGCCATATTGAAGCTTAAGTTTTGAGCAGGAGAGCTTTAATAAAAAACTAAAATATGATGCGAACTGTTGCAGCTGTTGTTTGCTGTTCGGCTCTCTACCTTCATCATAAAGGCCACAGTTTAAGTTGAAGCCCCAAGCTCGATTGTATCTTAAAGAAGATTTCATTAAAATTTACAATCTTCAGGACTCACTCGTTATGCGAAGCTGGCGTTATGGAATGCCCATAAAATATTACTCACGGTATCCATGTATATGGCTACTTTGCCGCTTTCGTTGCCTGTTTTGGATGAACCAAAGCGTGAAATATGATTGTAGTGCGCTACTTTCTAAGGCAGGTGGCATATTAGTTCCGGAAAACCAGGTTGAAACGTACCATAAACTGATAACTACAAAATTGAAGGGTAGAGAAATTTAGAACTGTTTCATATACATTTTTTCTTGAATTGAAATAAAATAAAATAAAATATGAAAAAATACAACATTTAACATATCTTTCCTTATATTTTTGTATCTTTTATATATTTTTTTTAGAAATATAGTATTTTATATAAAAGACCCTTTAGTCCCGATTCTTAGCTTTTAAATATACATTTTCGCTCAATTATTTTATTTCTCAATGTATCAAAAATATCCAACTTTCATCTTATTTCATAGTTTTCACCATTAAAATTGTTGCTTGCCATTTTGTCTATAACTTATGCTATATTTAAAGTACGCTGTGCTTCAATACCATCCCCATATAGCGCATCTGTGAAGTGGTCTTGGCCAACCACACATCTCGCTTTATTACCTGAACATCATTTCACGCTAACGCAAGCGCAAATTTTATACATAAGCCGCGACCAGATTCTCATACAATATGCTTTGGGGTTCTGCCCGACCCACCCGACCTTTCCATGTTACTCTTAGCTGGCACTCCACGTCGCAGCTCAAGTAGGTAAACAAGTATAGCTTCAGAAAAAAAAAAAGAAAAAATGGGCAATCAACTTCAAATGGCAAACGCGACCCACCTGTCCGCCCATCATTGTTGTATCTGAGCACTCCCCGGCAGCCGCCTTTTACAGTTCGCTCAGTTTGTCTCTGTGTCCCGTCTTGTTACTTTTTAATACTTTTTATGATTATAACAATGTGCAAGGCACTACGCAAATACAAAATAACTTGTTTTCATTTGCCACACAACAAAGACAATAGCAGCAACAACAACAAGGTCGTGGAAAGTAATGAAAATCCCCGTCTTGAAGTCGCTGTTGGGTTTATCCCTTTTTGCCACTTGTGCAGCGCTTTATAGCGCTTTACCTACGCTGTTAATGTTTGGCTTAGTTTACACTAAACCAACCCCAAAAGCAAGCGAAGGCATAATTTATAATCGTAATATTGCGCATACGCCGCGTATTAAGGGGAACGCGCGTGTAAACAACTCTGCCGGCTTATTATGTGTTTTGATAGTCTTTTCGTGTCGCTTGTTGGATTTGCGCTTTCTGCTTTTAATTGTTAACATTTCATTTAAGCCACACACACACACACGCATATCCCCACACACACGCACACACACACACACATGCATGATTGCGAACGCTTTGTGCCACAGCGCCAAATATTCATTTATCAAAACGTTGCCCGCATTTTGGCGCTTTGTGCCCGGCTGGCGCCATCAGTAGCAGCATGTCAGGAACTGAGCTGAACTCCAATCTAAATCGTTATGTGCAGCTACACAAACACACACAACACACACACAACACACACACACACACACGAAGAGAGACAAAACCAACCCCGCAAGCCACGCCTCAGGGCCAAAAGCAAGCCATGACGTTTGCGTATGTCAAAGTTATCTAAATGAAAAATTGACTTTCATGCACTCAGTGTGTATGTTTGGGAATCAGCGAAACGTTGAGCTGAGTTCAGTTTCCGTTGCGTAGGATTTCGCATTTACGCATTTCCTATTTTAGATGATATTTCATACTTTTCTGCTGACAGCGGCAACAAACCAAACCGCTGATGATGATGCGCGTTTATTATTGTTGCTTTATGGCTTTCTGCATACTTATATGCATAGTCTGATGATCCCAACCACCCAAATCCCCAACTCCCCCCACTCTCTCTCTCTCGGTCCCTTCAGATGTGTGTTTGCCTCTGGGATTATCAACTCATTGTGCATTTACTCATGCCGTATGTAGTTGCACTCTCCTCCCCCCAACGTTGCCATTCTGACTGTCTCTTAGCCGTTCATCCATTTACTCATTTGGCAGTTTGTCATTGCCTGTCTTGACTGTGTAAACAGTGTCAAGCTTTAAACTGTTTGCTTTTGACTTAATTGCAGCTATTGGCTTCAGAAAGCTTCATTTAACATATTCCTAGGCAACGTCATAATTTAATCGCATGTTGAGCTGGCATTTTTTTCTTAGAGTTTGCATGATGCACGCAGCGCGCATACTTAGAACATACTTTTAGTTAACATCTTTATAAATCTGATCAGTAAATTCAGTAGGAGTGCAGAATGGTCTTGAATTTATTTAGTTATTTAAATTTTCATAACTTGGATTCGAATAGGCCAAAAAAATTGTTTAATTTCACATAAATTTATCAAAATTAATAATACAAATAAAAACAGTAAGAATAAGGGTAGCAAAGGTAAACTTTCTGTCATTTGTAATATGTACAGCTTATAAAAAATCATTTACGATACGCACAATTAAAATTAAATTTATTGTTAAAATCTGTTCTGTTGGCTTTGTGAAGCAATTGAGCCCAACAGCTCTGATCAATAAAATGAGAAATGTGGCTATTATATTGTTCCATATTATCATGTAGTAGGTTTGAGCCGTCATTTCAAATCTAACGGCGCCTACGTGTCTGCTTGTGGCAGCTAGTCGTCTCGCTCGCACTCGTGACCCGCATGAGATTTTAAAAGTCAGCCCAAAATTATGCTGCAAAATTTGTTGCAACATCAATCAAATTGCTGATACGCAGCACACAAAAGGCCAAAACAATTGCCCTGCAAGCGCCAAGGGCCATAAGGGCCAGGGACATGAGGCATCAATAAATTGTTTTCTTTTTATTTTGTAAAAGAACAACAGCACTAGAATTGCCAAATAAAATAAATTGAAAAACATTTAGCTGTAGCAGCCATCAATAAGCGCTGACAAAGACGCTGCTGCCAACAGCTGAGACCACAACAAAAAATGCCAACAACAACCGAAAGAAATACAAAAACATTTCGCTTGCAAAAGTTCATGACATTACGGGGAACTAATGTTGATATTGGCTCGACCCGAACACCCCAAGCCAAAGGTCCAAAACTCCAACTCAAACAGACATAAAATATATAAAAAGAAAATCATTTTAGCCAACTGCATTTCTGGCAAACAGTTTCCATTCGTGTCATATGCTGCTTGTCTTGGCATCTGCTGCGTTTTTGTTTTTGCTACTGTTTTTTTTTTTTGTTTTATGCCACTTTAAATTAGAGCACATTTCTATGATTGGCTTTCGGGCTTCGGCCATAAACTGCGACAGGCGCCACTCTCAGTTCAATAGTTCCATTTGTTGTCTACTCGGCAAAATGCCAGCCCAAACCAGTCAACAGACAACAGACAGAGAACCAACAGCTGCGACTCCTCCTCCTGCTCCTCCTCCTCCTCCTGAGCAAACGCCTACGAGTCTTTTGTGCTGTGTGTGTGTATGCTGCAGGGATATGGTTGTGCTTGGCCTATTTTGCCAGGCAACAAATGTCAGTCATTGATATGTATGTGACTTTCGACTGGGTTAAACTTTTAGCTAAGACCCATCCACTCACACTCACACTCACACACACACACACAAGTGTCCTTTATGTTCTTAACCCTTGCCGATGAAATATGAAAGTGATTAAAGCTAATCGAGCCCCAAAGGCAGCAGTTTTAGTTGTTATTCTAGCTAGGGAGTTTGAGTAGGGTTTATCGAATATTTTGAAAAATTAGTTTATTTCGCTGAGAGAATGGCCTTTCGCTTATATCCTGTACACATGAAATTTATGCAGAAGCTATTATTAAAACGAGCAATGTTTAGATAGAAAATGTCACATATACAACTAGTTTTTCTGGTTATACTTGCAGTTGCCCAACCAACATGGCTTAAGATATTTAATCCTTAGTTAAAACGATAATTTAATTTAAAAAAAAACATCGCTAAATAATGATTTTTAAAATACACAGCATTCTTTATGAAATTCTCTAAGAGCGAGCTTAGCTTTGCCTTTACCCACCCACCACCCACTCCATCGCAAAGCTGTAAACATTTATTGAACATCCCACCCAACTCTGCCCAGTTGCGAAGCCAAGTAATTTGACAGAAGAAACATACTAAATGCATTCGCATATGCAACAGTCAGCAACCCTCTCGTCACTCGTTTTGGCGTAACCCATTTATCTTGTTGGTTCGATAAACTCGTCATACAGCTGGCTGACAACACGGCGCCAATAGCAACAACAACAACAGCAACAACAGCAACGAGAGGAGCAACAACAACAATAGCGAGGAGCAACATTGCCACAAGGGGGCAGTACATTGGCAAATGCCCAACGGTAAGGAAGCAATCTCTAACTTAATACGGAAAACTTGTAAACGGTAAAGCGTAGCAAAATGGAAGACCTGAAAGCCAAACAGCAGCAGCAGGCAACGGAGGGAAGCAATGGCAATGCAAGAATACATCCCAATTCCAATCCCTTCAAGCGGCCAATGAATGCACTGCAAAAGCAATGGTATCGTGTCCTCCTTGCCAGGCGTGTGGGCTTCGGGCAGAGACCGCCACTGGATGAGAAGGAGACCACGTAGTAAGTAACGTCAGACAGACGCCGCCAGGCGACTCTGCCAGATCGAATCAAATTGTGTGAAAATTGCAATTTCCTGTTGATTTAATACATTTTACAATTTTTTCCAACCACCACCCATCTCCCCCCGCTCAACACAGCGCCGACATATGCCATAGTCGCTATATGGCCGCATTCCGGCGCTACAACGAGCGTTTCCGCTTGGAAATGGCAATGCACGAGCAAATGCAACGCTGCGCAATCGACGCGATGCGCGTTCACAGGTGAGCTCGACACAAAAAACAAAAAAAAATAATAAACTCAATTAGCAGTTTGCAATTCAAAGTTTTTAACATTTTCAATGTACAATTTGACAAGCACTGTAATTGCATTACATTTGCTAAAACTGTAAGCACTTTTCGCATTTACAAAAATATTAAATGCTTTCATTATTGAAACTCTAGCAAACTGGTAAATTGTCAAGTCTATCTTCTTGTCAAGCCTTATTATTATAATTGTTCATCTTCTTGTTCAGTAATTAACATATAAATAAACTTCAACTTGTATTTGGGAAACACTGCTTAAAATAAAAATAAATACTACAAGTTTATCTTCTTGTCAAATCTTGGATTTTGATTTGATAGCTGATTTGACAGACTTATATTCTTGTAACTTATTAACATATACATCAACTGCATCTTATATTTAAGTAGTCCAACTTCAATTCAAATAGTCTATAAGCTTATCTTCTTTTCAAATATTTCACACATAATGCAATTTAAATTCAACTTTGACAGAGATTTCCAATTATAACCATAGAATTTGAAATCATTTTTGACAGCACGTTAAACTTGTTTTTAGACCTTTACTGTTGGATGAGTAAACACACCATTAACATCCATTTCGTTCTAGAACTTTTGCGATAACGACACTCTGGCTGCCATTGCACTCGAAGCGGGAAATCAACTCAACATTGGAAAAACTGGAAAGGGTTTTGACAGTTAAGGAAAGGCGACGCCTCGAGGAAATACTCAAGCGCGGTGAATCGCAGCGCACGCGACTCCTTTAGTGGATCTGATGACTGCAGCAAGAGAGAGAGAGGAGCAATGCAAAAACACTTTCAAGTGCAGCACTTACTCGACTTCGTCTAGTGTACCCCAAACAATTTCCACTCCCCTCGCAATTACAACCCCTCACAACTCCTCTCTGGACTTGAATTTCACTTTGCAAGCAGAGCCACGTTTTTGGAAATTGCTTTTCCCTCTGATGCTTAGCCGTAAATATTTAATACAAATAAAACTGCGACTTTCACTTCATTTAAAGCACAAATTCATGTCGGGTGCTCCAAATTATCTAGCCAGGAGTTCAGCTGCACTTTCGAATATGCTGCAGTTATGGTAAGTAGCTGCCACTTAACGACCCTACCCAAAGTGCTGAGCAACATTGCCTTACTTGGCAGCCAATCTGTTCAAGAAGCAGTATGAAATCTAAGTAGAAGTCTTTCTAAATACCATTTGCTATTCATCGAGAGTGTAAAGTTTTGACAAATGCAATTTATCATCCTGCACTGAGCTGAAAGCTAATTAAATTGATGTTCCTCATGTAGTCTAACAGATTATGGTATTTATATCATAACATATTTGACCTTAAGAGCCAATTCTAATCTGCACGGCTTATGTAAATTTAGTTTATGACTTATGCTATTAAGTTGATACATTTTCGTTGAGCTGCCTTCTGACATATTGTAAATGGAGCGGTGCACATAAAGAATGTTAACTCCCTTGTCAAAAGCGCACCCAAATGATAAATCCTAAAACCGAAAGGCACAAATTTAATGGCAAAATGTGAAAAATGTGCACAAATTAGGGACTGTCATTGCTGGCATATCTGCCCATTATTAACTCACCCCGCTCTCAACTGCACCCAAAAAAAAATATATATAAATAACAAAAAAGAAACTAAGCCCGAGCATAGCAACGATAAGTCCGCCTAGATACGACTATATCTATACATCATAGCACACACACGGCACGGCTAGAGTTGAGGCAAAAAGGGAGAAAGGAGTGCAACGGGTGGTGGGGGGTGTTCCAGGGTGCAGAGTGAAAAACATCTTTTCATAATGCGCACAGCTCTGACAGCGGCTGAGAAAGTAGTTTCCATTTCCGCAACGAACATGCTAGCAGCAAAATACGGAGCAAAAAGAAAGCAAGAAACGAGGAAGAGGCAACAGCAAAAAATTGGATTATATTAATTTGAATTAATAACATATTTTCCGGCACACTTTTCCCCTGGAATGTTGTTAGCTATGCCAAGCAGCTATGAGGTGGGTTGGAAGCGGGGGTGATGGGGGGGACTCGGAAAAATACTCGCAATTTTCTTCTTATAATTTGCTTGTTTATGCGCAGTGAAACGCGTTCTGGTTTATAATATGCGAAGGTTGAAGGATTTCCACACAACACACTTACATCCCCTCACCGCCGTCCACTTCATTTGTCTGCATAGTTAGCTGTTCTTGTTGTTGTTGTTGTTGTAGCTACGAGGTATTCAACTCCTCATTAAAGTACTCTCAATATCAAGTTCATTTGAACTGGAATTTGACGCACAAACCTGGCAACTGTTGGTGGTTTTCGGTTTTCAACACAAGTACAGCTGAACTTCACTACAAAGAATCTCGAAATTTAAGTTCCATAAATATATTATCATATTTAAATGAAGTAGTTGGGTTTTAACAAGTTTCTTTAATGACAACGAGTTTTTATTTGTCGATACCCACTGCATTCGAGATGTGAAGTTTCTGGCTTTGCTTGCAAGCTTCAAGTGTTTGCAGTGAATCGATTTAACTTATGCCAAGTGGCAAAAGAAATTCGCAGCATCAATTCCATCTACGGACCACATGCTAACCCTTGTTACTGCTGCAGGAGGGGAGTCTTGTACCCCTAAAACTAGAGACTTTGCTTCACCCTTTTATATATATATTTTTTTTGGTCAGTTCCTTGTGCAACGCAGCGGCAATTTATTGACTGTATTGAGACGGACTACGTGCGGCACATAAACCGCACTTATCTGGCTGACTGACTAACTGACTGCCTTCGTCCTGGGCGCTTGGATCGCTCCGCTTCACTTCCTGCCACTGAAAGGCGATAGCAGCCAAGTTGAAGAAAAATTGCATGCGGTTTCAAGAGCAGCAGCTAAATTAATGTGTCTGTCCATGTGCGCTGTACACCCAACTGCCAAGTCCCAACTCCCATCCATGTCCTTGCCACTGGCCATGATGCTTCCTGCTGCTGCTGCTGTCTCCCTCGGTTCGCTCAGTTCAACTCTTAAGCAAATAGTCGCAAACGTGCCCGTGGCATGCATATCAAAATGATGTACGAGTGTTAGATATGTTATAAATTTTATTCAGCTTGCGCTTCTGTTAATACTTCTGTTTATCTTCCCTCATCCTTTCCGTGGACCACAAATGCAATCAGTTATTAAACGCTTCACTGATTGAATGGCATTGCCATTTTGATTCTGAGTAGAAATGAACAGTCACACAACACACAAAGTAAGTATATCTGTGGAGGAGTACATATGTATCTGAGTAGAACACAGCGCCCCTACAAACCCTACTGCGTTGTTGATGTCAAGTTCTTAAGCAATCACACAAGTTGTAAAAATATACACAATCAAGGTTACAAATAAACATATACTTTGTATACCAAAATCGGTCGTTTCCTGGCCCCATTTAAAATCGCTTTCATTGCAAGTTGCTTCATAGCATAGCACGTTTTCGCACCATTGATGCAAATTAGGTTGCTGCATTAACTAAATTGCAGCCAAACTACAAATTGTTGCATACTTCTAGGAGGAGCCAGACAAAGAGAAAATAAACTGCAGCATTCCTGTGATATCAAAAGTATCTGTCCTTCCCCAGTTATGACTAAAGAACGAATGTCAATTCTATAAAAATAGGTCTAACTTGGTCAAAAAAATTTTCTTGACAATTCTTATCAAATATTCTGAGTTCACAAATGAAATCAACAAATTGTTAGTGTTAAAATGATGAAGCATGCGTTACTTTTGAACACGCTGCAAGCTGTGGAGATGCTGGAGACGGCCTTCAAAGAGACGCTTCGAACTATCGATGATATAAAAGTTCGCCATTGGACTGTCTCCGCTCGAAAGAAAGTAGCTGAAAAACGTCAACGACTTTTCGAGTCGGAAATAGAGGCAGCCATTACAGAGCCCACATTGCATACGAAAAACGCAGACTTCTCAATGAAGCGCAAGAAATGCTTGAAGAAACGCTTGAGGAATCGCAACATACATAAATCTGTAAAGACAAATCAAAAGTCTGGCGAGAAGCCAGACCGAAACGTTATGTGCCTGCAAACCAACTGTTTCTACGAGTTCGACGAAGCCGAACCGAATCCTAAGATTTATTCAGTCAAGACTCGCATCTATCAAGTGGATTCTGAAGAAGAATTGGAAACTACTTCAAGACTTAACTCACAGGATTTGGAGCAAACAGATTCAAGGATGGGCTCCTCTTGCAGACACCCCTGATTGCCAAACATATTTTAAAAATGTTTCATTCTGTATAAATAATGTTGATTATCCGTAAAAATAGGAACGAGTTCGCTTACATGTATTTTTTCTGGCAAATGCAATTCTTTAGCAATTTTCAATAGCAATAGAAATAGCATCGATTACAAATACAACAATGTTCTCCGTGCCTCATCCTCAGTATTACTATCCACCTCCCGAGTTGAACAAAGGGAAAAAGCGAAAACCGTTTCCTTATTTACGAGACGCATTTTGTATGGCAACTTAAACGCTAATGGCATAAACATCCGAAACGTGAGCGAAATGTTTAAAATCGACGCCACAAACGAACAGGACACGCAGGACAGGACAAACAAAGGCAACGTCAGGCAGCAGTTGGTTAAGGTGCAGGATCAGAAGCAGCCTGTCGTGGCTGTAATGTAGCCAAAAGCGCGTTTGCCACAGCCGCACACCAAATCAAATCTCAAATCATGTACGTTCAACGTTCCAAGTCAAAACCAGCAAAGTAAAGCAACAGCCAAAAAGGAATGAATGGGAAGAACTGACAACTGGATTGAAAAAAGTGAGTGAAATACCCTAGCCAAAATAAATAATGATTACATATGTGTTTCAAGCAGCTGAAGAGCATCTGATTTTAGATAATATATTTGGAATTAAGCTTGCAATTAAATACAAATGAATTGAAAATTTAAATAAACGTTTATAATACACTTAAATATATTGTTTTTAATATGAAATAAATTTGGCCAAGTTATATACCCGCTGTTAGGGCATACGAAAGTGAACACTGTGGCACGGAGCACAAGTACTGCAACTCTGACTTTGCCACTGACTGACGGCAAATTGTTTGAAAATTCAATTCACACATCTGCCAGTTGTCGATGATTTTGCTGTGATTTCGGCAACGCTGCCCCTTCTTAAGCCCCCTGCACTGTTGCAGCAACGGCGAACCCTTTTTTTTTGGGGTCTATCGCGTTTTAAAAATAAAGTGGAAAATCGCAACGAATTGTTACAATGTTGGCAGGCTGAAACTGAGACTGAGATTTCGAAAGCCTCAGATCAGACAGACACACAGCTAGAAGCAGGACCACAAACATCGACTCTGACTCAGAAACCGACACATGCCATGCCAAGGAAGTAAGGGGCACGTGCATTTTGGGGGCATTGTTGTTGGGCTGTCGATGCGTTGGCCTAAGGGTATCATCATCAGTTGCAGGCAGCGCGCGAGTCTTGGGGCATGTGTTTGGGAAATCTGAGACGGCCTTTTGAGGCGTCGACTATTTGGTATGCATAGAGCTCTTCAAAAATTTAATTTATTTAGACTTTGTTGTTGTTGTTGGTGGTGAGCCAGTTTATTGTCTGCAAATGAAATGCGTCTGTGCCCCGGCCTTGGCTTTCTTTTTAAACGAATTACCATTTGCCGGCTTTGATGTTGCTCGGTTTCTTCTGCATTTGCCGTTGCCCACTTTTCCGAGCTTTTTCTCCATCTTGTCGTTTTCATTTTTTTTTCTCTACATTTTTCGGGTGGTTCCTGCTTTGACGCAAACTTTGCAGACCATAAAGTTTTGACTTCATGCAGTTTTAATGAGTTAACGAGCGCCACGTTGGCCAAGTTCCTTTTTCAATCCGGCAACTGGCAACTTCCCATTTCCAACTCCCAAATGCCGACTGCCAACTGCCAACTGCCGACTGCCGGCAACGGCAGCTAATTAGGCAAACGCGTTCCGATTACCACACAATTTGCACTTTTCCTTTCAGGCCAAACAAACAAACTTTTCACTCTTTGCTCAGACGCTCTGACGGAGAACAACTGACTTGGCTATAAATAACATTCGGCAAAACTTATTGCCTATAAAAGTACATAAATAAACTACAACTACCTTAAAAGTTTGTCAAATAGTTATTTTAAGAACAACAAGTTGCAAGTTGCATATTGTTTTCTCAATCACTTTCTTTTTTGTATTCTGTAGAAATCAAATATTCATCTTTGAAGTTAATAGTCAAAAATGTAATTTGCTTTCCAGGTAATATTAAAGACTGCTTACCTTATTCGGATATTCTAGTTCTTGATTCTCATGTAGTCTTTATCACTGAAACCAGGCTGGCAGTCAATTGGAAGCCGCAGATCCTTGCTTCCTCAAAAGCTTATCTACCCATCCTTTTTTTTAGCAATATAGGTATCATTAATATAACAAATTTTTAAATTGATTTCAATGCATTGCAAAAACCTAAACAAAATTAAACAAAAGCTTTTCATCGATTCATTTTTTACATGTTTGTTGTGTGTTTTTATTATACGTAGCTTTAATTTAGACAAATAAATTAAGAATTATACGATATAATAACTATGGTCAACTAATGTATTATTGCAACTTGATGGGGTGGGAGAGGAGTTGTTTTTTTTTTGTATTTTTTTTTATCCAAATGGAGTTTGTTTCAATGAGCAAAATTAGACGATACAAATTCCTGTAAAATTAATTTTTAAAAACACAAATTGAAAATGCGCGTCGAATCGAAATAAATCGAATTATTTGAATGATGACACATTCAATACTCATGAATAATGATGCAAAAAATAAAAAAAAAACATTTAGCATTTGATTGCGTAGTGTTTTTTGTTTTTTTTTTGCAGTTTTTAGTATGACTAACTAAAAGAAGACGTAGACTGTGTGTAGCTGAGTTGTTTGTGTTGTTGTTGTTTGTTGTTGTTTGTTTTTTTTTTTGGGTGAGTGAGTCGTTGTCGTGGTTAAGGCGGCATCCGAATTATCTTCATAACATGTCCCTGAGCACCTCCTTTTGCGCGGCAGTCAATTTCTCCGGAAATTGTATATCGAAGGCGACAAGTAGATCTCCCTTCCTTGTGGTATCCTTGGGAAAGGGCAGGCCATAGCCCTGGATGCGTTTCACAGTGTTCGGCTTAATGATCTCCTGCATGGTGCTGATGCGCAGTTTATCGCCGGACATTGTAGGAACTTGAAAGACAACGCCGCACAGTGCCTGAAATAGCGAAAACAAAACGTATCAATAAATAAATTGCTGTTACTATTGCTTGGGCTTATCAATCAAATACAATTTTGTTTGGAGCTATCCTACCCCCCAACCCACAACACCCCACCCCACCCACATAACATAACAACTCAATTTCCTGTAAATTGTTATTATACCACTAACAAGAAAAAAATAAATCGAAAGAGAAGAAAAAAAAAACTGGACAAACAAACGCACATGGGACTTAACTGGGGAATCTATCAATCTTTTTGGTAATCCTGTTTATGTTCTTAGTTGCCTCTTGCCACTTGCCACTCGCCATAGCAGCAGCATCAACATGTTTTGGAAATCGAAAGAAAATGCTCCCAATTCCGTTTATCGTCATCTTATTGCGTTTGCTTTTGTGTCTTGCATAAATCCTTTTTATGCTTTTTATGTGCCTAATTCGTGTTTAAACATGTTGTTGACATGTTTCTCCACTTCCTTTTCAGCCAAAATCCACACAAAGACATCTTCCCTGTTTGTCCACTTTTGGAGCACAGTAAACTCGCTGACGATTTCATTGAGTCAGCCCAGCTGACGTTCGATTTGTTTAATTGGCCCGCTAAAAGATAGCCATCAATCATGATTTGTATTGAAGGATTAGGCTTACTTTGTGGCCTACTTAATTAGTTAACGAAAAAGTTGCTCATAATTGAAAGACAACTGCTTTATGGCTTTCTCATCTATTCGATTAGATTCGTTGCGTGAAAGTGGAGTACAAAAGTTTTTCGTAATATATTATTGACATTTCTAAATGAATTCTTTAACAATCTAGCTCTTTAATATAACACATAGCTTTATTATCGCTTTATTTAAACTGGATTTTCATGGAATATTTTATGTTTACATAAATATAATACAATAAATCAGATACACCCTCCTAAAATAACTTTTAACGAGCTGTTGACAACTAAATCGCGACACTTGTCATATGTATACATTTGCATATATACATAAATGTACATAAATGTACATAAATGCATGCATATGTGTAGGTGCTTTGATAGCCAGTTACCCGCATCGGACAGTTTACCTAGGAACATGAAACCAAGTGAATAGTGCGAACCGCTGCCTCACCCAAAAGCGAGCATAAATAAATTGCGACAAAAGCAAAGTGCACACCTTATGAATATTTAAATATATGCATATGTATGTATTCGTCGAGTGGTGAATTTAAAGCGATGACAGCATAAACTGATGACGGCGGCACCAATAACAATAACAACAACAACAACCACAACAACAGAGGCAGCAAGCACCACTAAACCACTACATCGGCAAGCAAAATGCCACTGGTGACGTCGACGGTGTCGCTAGAATTGATATTTTTTAATGGAAATGTTAAAAATGTTGCTGTAACGCCACGAAACTCAACGAAAAGAAAAAAACTCTAAAGCCAAGCAAACAAAAAGCGACAGCTACAAAAATCTGTAACATAAAAACGCTTAAATACTTTGCTACCTTTTACGGAAGCTGAGCCATAAAAACCTGAACAAAAACCCAAAAAAACACAGGGAATACAAATGCGAATCGCACAATTCGAATACAAGCAACAACAACTGGAATCAGCTTGGAAGTGAATGGAGTGCTTAGAGTGGATGAAAGCCCTAATCCCAATATGACAATTGGTTGTGGAGTCTAACAGCAAAATATGGCAAGCATTACAGCATTTGCATCCAGTATAGGTAATTAAAATGTTTAATATAGGGTTTAAAAGAAAGCGACCAAATTTCGATAAATCGAAAAGTGGGCTTTATAAAAGATTATTTTTGCAAAAAATATCCTTGCATATTACAATAAGTGTCAATGAACAACTAAAAATATCCTTACTCGGTTTTGTTAAATGCTTTTTGATATTAAGTTTTAATATATTGTTTATACTCTCCGAATTTCTTGTATATAATAGATTCTATAAACATATATACGTTTGTTAAAGGTATGCGAAATGAATCCCTGCTCGGACACAAAACTTTTTCAAGTATCTAATAACTGGTCAACAAAAAATGCTTTAGAAGCAATTTAAACGATTTTTGAGCAGTTTTAGTGTTGGTATTAGTGAGTCTCGTTAAGGGAAACAGCAAACATAAAATACTTCAGTTTCCCGCGGCGCTAGACAATTATGCTTGCAAAACAAAAAAAAAAACTGGAAAAAAGTGTTTGAAAAACAAATCAACGACATTCAATGGCATGTCATAAAGCATTTGGTTGTCATTTTTTTGTTTTTTTTTTTGTGCTTTGTTTTATTTTTGCGAGTTGGCAATATTGAGGACGGTGACGACTGTCATCAAAATGCAAACGAAGCCGCTGAATGCTTTTTGTATTGAGCTACCAATTCAATGCAGCAGTCGAAAAGTTCTCCAAACCAAAAATCACAATGCCAATGGACAGACTATTTTTCAAACAGCAACAGCAACAACAACAATGATAACAAAATTTGTGACGTCTGGCCATCAGTTACACGACCATTCCAAAGACATAGGACAACACATAGCCAACAACAACAGCAACAATAATAACAATAACAACAACAGCAACAACACTCAATGCTTGTTTGGCATACATCAATTTTTTGAGGATAGCTTTCTGCATTCGCGAATGTCTGACGCAGACACTCGAAGCGTCAAATAGATATATATTTTTTGAATTTCTGTTTTTTGCCATTGAGCTCTTGAATTTGCATTCCATCTAAAATTTACGAGTATATATATTAAGTATTTCGATTGTACATCTACAATATATGCAGTAGGTCAGTGTCGTTGTGTGCATCGATATTTTAATGATCTCATTTCAATTGTGATTTATCCACACACAAACACACACACACACTGCCATTTAATATGTAACAAAAATGATTCGTTGCTTGTTACTGATTTGGAATTTATATTTGTATTTTAGCGTAAGCGATGATGTAATTTATGTCAGTTTTTAAACTTAATATACAGCAAACGCAACAAAAAAGAAAACATATTCTAAATTGTTGCGGTCAATTATGTGAAGCACTTTTATGGCGCTTTAATTGCTTTATGGCGCACTTTTTGTAAAACGAAGAATTCAAACTGAGTTTAAATTAAGCGCTGCAATAAATTCAACAAATTTTATTTTCGTTTTTTTACGACAATGTTGAAGTTGCAAATATACAAAATGCATGGTGTGAACAGAAAAGTCGATGTATTTACAGGTTTGCAACATTTTAAACTATAACTATAAGAAAACGGAATTTTCTAATAGTACTTTTGATATATCAAGAGAATTGAGCTGAAAGTCTTTCTTACAAGCATCCTTCTTATAAACATGCTTATGAGTAGTATTATAATATACCAAGTTTCCTAGGCTAATCTTGACCTGAAGTTTGCATTCCATCTCAAAACAATAAATAAACTCAAAGAAATTCGTGTAAAAAATGCTAAAAGTTTTATAATTGAGCAGCCATCATAATTATCACTATCCGAGACAAAAAACCGTGTCAAATATTTCTAAATAGAAACAGCAACATGACACTTTTAGCTAAACTGAGACTCTACCAATAAGGTAATCATAATTTATATTTAGACACATAAATCTATGAAAAATGAAAATACCACCAAAATGGGCAAACTGAGACCCCAAAACTATTTACTAAATTTGTCGCACTAACAAGCAATAAAATGTTGAAAATGTCAACATAGTTGGAGAGCAACTATTTAATCTAGTTAATGCAATTAACAATTTTAACATGACTACGGACTGGCTGGCTTGTAATTTTTTTTCGCTTTTTCTTTTTTTTGTTGTTGTTTGTGGTCATTAAAAATGGATGTTTTTTGGACGTTTGCCATATGCGAAGTTTGCGCCTCGACTTTTAACGCAGTTGGCTGTGAAAAATTTAACACCTTAGCGTCATGAACTGCCTACCAACAAGTCGCATTCAGTCGCAAGTGTGTACGTGTACGTGTTGGCCCGGCCAACTGCTGTGACCGCCTAATTGAAACTTGACCATGTTGACCAAATTCGCGCAGCCAACCAGCTCTCAGCTCTCAGCTCTCAGCGCTCAGCTATCGGCTATCGGCTCGCACCTCCCAGCGCCGAGGAGCTCCCAGGTCTCAAGCATTCAGTTCTTGACTCGTTTGCTGGTCTGGTCTGGCAGCTTCAGGTGCGTATATGGTAAATTTGCCATAACCATAACATAACGCTGATTTCATTATAATTTAATTTAGGCGCTGCTCGGCTTTAATTGGGCGCCATGCTGTGAGAACCCCAGGCTCCAAGCCGCCGTCTTAAAGCTGACATTTTTTTCAATAATACAAAACCTAAACGGTTGACAGCGGCATAACTTAAAGCTAAAGGGTTAGTTATTGTCGGCTATAATTGTCAGGACACCGTATAATCTGTTTTATATTTTACGAGCTCATTAAATCTGTTTTGTATTCTTATGATAAGAAGCGGGAAGCGAACAACAGATTGTCGCAAACAAAACAAACAGATGTTAAAGCTTAACCATTAACTCAATCCAATTCGTAAAGCAGTTGCAACCACTTCCTTTCAAAGTATTAATTGTCTATTCCAAGATGTAAGCCTAAACTTAAAATGATCAGGAAAGAGTCAATTAATTAACTAATAAAATAAATAATTATAAAGTTTTACAACCTTTTCAACTTCTAAGTCCCCTAATCCTCCCCCAATACTCGCTCTCAAGTAATATAGATAATTTTTGATGGACTCACCTGCTTGAGCGTTAGCCTCGCCGTATAGCGCAAATCACATCCTTCGCGCTTGAACATGGCATGTGGCTTATCCCGTATGATGAACACAATATCCGCTGGTATTTTGCCGGGCGCCTGGTCGCCTTCCTTTTGGAACGTGACTTTGGTGCCCGATTTCCAGCCGGGCTTAATAGATATTTGCAGGACTTTGTCCTCCTTCTTGGAGCTGCCATCGGCATGAACTACACGACGTGAGATTTTCATTTTCTTAACACAGCCATGATAGATTTCCTCCAGGGTGACATAGAGATCATGCTCGACGGGTGGATCCTGTTTCTGTTCCTTTTTGAACGGTGTGTGCACATTGAAGGAGTGTGATCTAAAAGAGGGTCTACGAATTCTTAGCAAAATATTTTACATCGAAATTGAAAGAGAAATAAAACTACCTGAAGGCGCTACCTAGTCCATGCCTAGAGCCGAGCCCACCAAATGGCGATGAGAAGAAATCGGGTTCCGTATCCAAATCGAAGACATTCTTATCGAACAGATTGTCGCCCATGTCAAAGAACGATGCAAACGGATTGCTGTTGCCAAAGAACTGTGTGAATGTGGCCCGTGGATCACCATGGAACTGATATGTAAATGTATTTTTACTGCCACCGCCATTACGAGCACCTGTTCACAATAATAGTAAGAATAAAATTATTACTATTGCTCTAGCATATATAGATGTTGTACATGTAAACTTACCGCCACTTTTCAGTCCATCCTCGCCGTATTTATCGTACACCTCACGCTTGTTTTTATCCGAGAGCACCTCGTACGCCTCGGCGACCTCTTTGAATTTCTCCTCGGCATTGGCTGCTTTGTTTTTATCCGGATGATAGCGAAGCGCCAGTTTTCTGTAGGCCTTTTTAACCTCATCATCGGTGGCAGTTTTAGTTATGCCTAAAGTCTTATAGTAATCTTTGCCCATTGTGTATATATATATGTGTGTGTGAGTGTGAGTGTGTGTAGGTGGTTTTGAGTTGCTTTATATAGTTATATGAAGTTCCCAAAAAAGGCGTCGTCTTTAATTCTATGCGCTGTGCTCTAAGACCTGTGGAACACAAATAAATATAATTATTAGTTATTTGATACTTGCGGCTTAAGTGTGATTATAACTTACTGTGTTTATATCATTTGTCTATTGTCCATATATACATATATATACATGTATATGTATATATATACATACATATATGTTTCTAGTTCCAGACGTTACTTATTTGCTATGATACTGCTCCATAAAATCTACTGCTTTCTATAATGGCACATACATGTTTGCTGATTTGTTGTTTTCTTCTTCTGTAAGTGGAGAAATGCGTTGGATTAGTTTTCAGTTTTGTCGATATACTTATTCAAATCGCCCATAAGTATTATGATAGTCGCCTCCATAGCGCACATAACGTCACAAGCCTTGGCCATGTTCAATGCTAAATCGCCCACGCGATTTGTTAAATTTAGCATTCGAGAGCGAGCAAAAAAAAAAAATAATAAATAAATAAAAAAAAAATTGGAAAAAGCTCAAAGATTGGGAAATTTGTTGAGAGTCGTATGACGAGTTGAGATATCTATATTTATGAAAACATACATTTAAATTAAATATTTGCGTATGCAAATTTCAAAAAGAATTAATATCATTTATTTGGCGTTGAAAACATTTAACAAATAAACAGCACAGCTGGCAAAACACACGAAGACGCCGGGAAACTCTTTTAAATGTGCATAAGACACATACAAACACACATTATATTATATACATTATATATATATATACTTATGTATATGCTTGGCATTGCGTACGCTAGCCAATTTGCATTGACCTTAGCGATAGCGCTAAAATTCCAATTAAGTTCAAAACAAGGCGCAAGAATGAGAATTGACGATGACATTTATGAATGTCTTCATTAAAATATGACAACAACAGATCATTGTGGTTCTACAAATATATATATAAATGATAGATATACAAATGGTTGACGAACAAGTGCTCGGATTCCCACATGTTATTTGAACTGTTCCTGGTTTGGGCTAAATGCAACCACAAAATAATTCATCTAATAGTTTCTTCTAGTTGCGGTTAGGCAAGCAATCACTCAAATACATCATATCGCAAACAATATTTTTAAAACTTAATCAAGCTTGGATTAGAGCAGCAGATGATGCTAACCACAGCAAAAAAAGCCGCGCTTGACAAATTAACAAAAACTTAATTAATAATATTAAATTTGAAGCTAATTAATATATAACTAATTAGAGTTAAGTAGGGACCTAAAATTTAAGATAGCAGATGAGAAATCTTTGTAAAATCGAAGTAAAAAAATCATTTTTTTCTGAACAAAAAAAGTAAACATCAAACTAAAGAAACTCAGCTGAGTTTTGATTGAGAATCCCGGCTGCATTCGAAATTAAAATACAAAAATAAATAGCTTAAATAAACTATAAATAGATGTCACCAAATAATAAACAATCGAAATCCAACCAAAATATGGAGCTCAGGTTAAGTTGTAATTCCCAACTGCCCTCAGACAAGTTCAAGTTGATGAAATTAATGCGATACGCAAGTCCAATTCATTAACATTCAACATGTCAACGCCTGACAATCCCGTCTCAATGCAATTGCTAGCCTTGAATTTAACTGATTTCATCTTGGAATAAAATTTAATTTTTTTCATTTTTTTTCTCTCAATTTTTTTTTTTTGTAATTTTTCAACATATTTTTTTCGCTTGAACAACAATATTTTCTGCTGGCAATTTGCTGCCTTGAATCCAAATCTGAATCCAAATCCGATTGCTCTATTCCACACACACATACATTTGTCTCATGGGGGGAGGGTGGCTGGGAGGTGCACACGCTGTCAATAATGCGCGCAATTTGGAGGATTGATGCGGTCAGCGCCATTTCATTCCAGACATTAGTCGAATGCAATATAGATGACGATATGCATATAATTTATATAGCCCGATATTTATCTATTTATCGATCATTGAATCGTGCCAAATGTGTGCCGCTATTCGTAAGGGGGGCGTGGCGTGGGCGTTGGCAAGGCCACCACGTCGTGAACATAAATTTAATTTTTTCCACACATTTTGACTCGGGCGAATTTTTGTTTTGGGTGACTAGAGTATAACAACTTTGTGTGTGGCCGAAAATAATTCTTGAAAATTATTACGCAAGGCAGAAGCTTGGAAAATATGTTCTTGTTCTTGTTCTTGTTGTTGTCGTTTTTATTTTCTCTATGTGTATATGCAAAAGTTGTGATTTTCTTTTTGACAATTTAATTCAATTTGCATTTTTCGCTCACGTTTCGTTTGGTGCTTGTTATTAAATTATTAACAACATTCACATTGTTCGTGCGAAAATAATAAGTGTTGTCTGGATATAAATTCATGCTGATACGAATATTGTATGAATATGTATTCAAACTCGACCCCCCATTGACAATTACAACATGTTTCTGCGTGGGCGAGACTTCCGCATAAATTATTTACATACACACATACACACATCCACACAAACACACTCACACACCCACATACACACACACACACAACCGAATTGAATTCGTTGCTTATTGATTACAATATAACATTTGTTTAATAATTTATGGCAATTGCATATGCAAATGTATGTGTGTGTGTGTGTGTGTATGGTATGTCAATAGTATGGTATATAATATATACGTAAATAGTATTATTGTAATGTTTTGTATACTCTGTCAATATGGGTAATTACAACTCATTGATAGAAAAATTGTCTTCTTTTTTGTTGGTACTCAAACTCAAAAGTAAATTATTTAATACAAAAATGTTAATTTAGAAAGCAATTTTAGTGAGAACATTTGATACTTTTGATACTCCTGAATTATCTTCACTCATCTTCGTATTCAACAAGCAAAGAAGTTATTCAATAAACTAGTCATCCACACAAGAAAGGGTATTTCATAGTCTGCACTCCATATTAAAATCATTCTGAAATGTTTTAATGTCACTTCTTTTATAATGTTTTTGTTACCATTTTTGCATATGTGCAATTTCAATTTCTATTTATACAACACACACAGATACACTAAACACACTCACTCACACACACACACACACACTCACACACACACACACACACACACTGAAAGTACACTGTAGATCTGTGTATCTGTGTGAGCAAAAATTAATAAATTGTCGTAGGTTATGAGGCCAGCGCAAAAATGATGGCGCCCCGTGCACTCTAATTGAATTGAACTTGATTTATAATGCCGCGCTTTACTTTTTATCCACTTTTTGTGATCGCAACGGCCTCTCAAATCATAAATTTGCAAAAGCAAACGCAAAACTAAAAACGCATTTTTTTTGGAGGGGGCAAAACACAAATTTTGAAAAATATATTGCTATGTGATTTATGGCCAAGCTTTAAGGTCTAATTTATGAGAGCCAAAATGACCGCTGGCATATAAGTAAAATATGTTGAAAATAATGTGTTCGATAAGCTTAGCGGTTCAATTTGGAAGTGGAACATAATCGCCCTGGAACGAGAAAAAGTTTCAACCATATTGTCTCAATATGTGCGTACATATATATAAATATATATATATATATATATATATATATATATATATATATATGTATCTCTATGTATCTATGTATCTCTCTCAATCTGAACAAAATCTTTGTATGCCAAGAAACCATTCAAAATTGGAAAAAAAAAACTATTTTTAAAACTATGTAACAGTCAGAAGGAAGCAACACCAACCCCATAAGGTATATATATTCTTGATCAGCATCAATAAGCGAGTCGCTAGATATTATAAAAGCTAGAGACTGTATACTCCTAGTATAAGTTCTCCTATATCATAAGCCGACTAAGTTTATGTAATTTTATCGCTTTTTTCCCCGTACCAAAACAAATCGATTACCACAATTATACAAATATTCATATAATATTGACAAAATACAATTAATCAAGATAGTTTGAGAAACACGGAAGAAATTCGTATATTCATAGTTACACACATATGTATATGTATACGAGTATATATATATATACAGTGTACACTTATGGAGAAGTAAAGACTTGGGTTTAGGGGCATCCTTTTTACGATCTCTTTCGGTCAGAGCCTTTTTAATTGTTTTGTAGATGTAACTAATCAACAGTTCGAGGGAGCACAGCATCATCTGTGTAGACTTAACGCAACTCTGAAATTTTAGTTTTCAAGGTTGGTGAACTTTGTTTTGTGTTGTTCTCTCCCACTTGACCAACTCGATTTTATTCAACTTGAGTTAAGTTGAGTTGAGTTGAGTTGGGCACAATGTGCCTTCATTCACTCTCGCTCTCTGCTTCAAAGTCAACAACTGTCTCATTCATTGACAACCACATTTCGTTGTTGTTGTTCTTGTTACTCATTTGTGCTATTTTTTTGCCATATTTATTTTTTTGTGTTTTGTATTAGTCAAAAATCAAGCAGCGTGAAGTTTATTCACCCACGTTTTGCAAAATAAATTTTTGTTGAACAAAGGTAGCCAACATAAACATTAAACCAAACATAAAAACCAACCATAGCATTTAGGCAAACAGACGGAACCAAAAAAGCAATATTTAAAAAAATATATATATAACAAAAATATTAACTACAAATACTACAATTTCTAAATTTGATTCCAAAATTTTGTATTGTGGGTGTTTCTAAGCCGCAAATCCGTTACGAAAATAGACGAAATGACTAAGCGCAATTTAGTGTTTTGGCGGCCTTTTACCTGTCTCCCACATGCAAATGTGTATGAAATGTTTTTGGAGAAAACATGTGGCAGGCGTTTTTTTTTTCTTTCTTTTTTTTGGACTGAATCACATTTTGGAATGGCGCTCGGTCCATGACGTTGCCTTCAGTTTGAGAGTGTGACGAAAATTCTTTGGAAAATCGTGGGAAAAAGTTTAAAATACACTGAAAGCTCTAAGTTAAGAAATTTCCGATTGTATGTGTTCTAAATCGATTAAGATCAAAGCTGAAGCCTATGTTTTATTATTATGATCAATAATGGACTATTAGAAAAATTATAGTTTCAACATATTCTTATTTCCAGAGAATACAATTTCAGAGCAAGCCCTGTATTTAGTTACAATAACTTGGAAAAATCAAAAAGCACACAGAACAAAAATTCTTTAATCGAAATTCCGTTTCCGCTTAGTTTTGCATTGTATTTCATATGTAAGCAAACAAAGCAAGCCGTGTATATTTATGCAATTTGCATAGACTAACTGTGAGAGAGAAAAATACAAACAAAAATAGAAGATTTTAGAATTTTAAATTTGATGGCCAAAATTTGCATATTCCACTATGAAAACTTGTTTTCATTATTGCATTTTATTATTATTGCTAATGGAATAATTTTTGTGCTCAAATTGTCTTTGTTGCACGATACAAATTTCAATAAATTGTAAATAAATTTCCATTATTGAATCCCTACATTATATATTATTCAATCATTTCAAACATTTATCAGCACTTCCTGGGCAATAAAAAAAAACAAGTAACATGAATTAATTATGTTAGAGTTTTAACAGTTGTAAAATGCGAAACGTGACAGCGTTAAAAAAAATCGGATTAATTAAGTACAAAAAGAGACGAAAAAGCTCTTAAAGTGTATTTTCCTATGCTTTGGCTACGATTATATTGCCTAATTTGCGAGCCACAGCCACACAATACAGTTCTTCGTGCTTATCTGCTCTCTGCTTATTTATGACGAGCTATGTTTTGTGTTCTCTGTTTTTTTTTTGCGGCTCATTTGATTCAAGTGTGGCAAATTAAAAAACAACAACAATAACAAGACAAGCAGAGGCCATGCACTGGCCACCGCCTACGTCTGCGCCGCCCACTCAGCAGCTGTTCAAAGAGTTGTGAACGAGAGAGAGCGCTCGATCTGTCTCTCTCACTCTCTCAACAACAAAAAAGAGACAGCGAGAGCGCAAGAGCGGGTGTGATGCGTTCTTGTGTGTGTCATAATTTAAAAATACAAATAAAAGCTGCAGAAACGATAGACTGCTAACGGTAAAGATTGACAATCTGCATGCTTGTTGTGTGTGTGTAAGTGATTATGATTATGATTACCGTTCTCTCTCTCATCTTCACACACGCACACACATACAAGGCAAACACATTTGTTTTTCTTGCTTTTTATTTCTTTTGCCACTTTGCTTTGGAGGCCAACAATCTTCACAATCTTTTTTCATGATTTTTACTCTTGAATCATAATCGCTGTTTACTTTGATATTACTATTATTATTATGGCCATAATAGAGAAGTGTGAAAAATACAACATATAATTTTGATTTTTGATAGCAACTCGTATAGGTCTCATAAGAAACACGTTCTAATTGGATGAATTCACCTGCAGCTCCAGGCTCTAAATTACAATGTGTATATAGATATGTGTATGTACATGTATTAGTGCAGGCAAAGCTTTTTACACACAAATCTCTTCGCGCACACTTAAAGTGTGTGTGTGTGTGTTTACCAATTGGCTGCCTGCGTTTGTTCCAAAGAATTGCCAAAGAAAATCTCGAATATAAGCAAAAGCAGCAAAATCGGTTTGGTGAGGAAAGAAAAACACACACGAAAATAACTAAAATATGCTAAAAATAAAACATTATTTAAAGAAATGAAACCATGAAAAATTAAAAACACACAGGCCAAAAACCAAAAGTAAAGCGATGGCTGGCAAAATATAAATTATCAAGAGAAACGAAAATGAAAATTAGGAAAATTTCGGTAGTGGTAAATGTACTAGTTGGACTTTGCCTAACTTGCAGATAATCATCTGTGAAATGGGTTTCTCAATTGCTGTACACGTGATTAGATTGGGATTTGTCTGTTACACATTCCAATACGAATTGAACTTATGCTCAAAAGTTTGCGACAGAAACTCGCAAAATTTCAAGCCATAAAAAGCACTTTAAAATGCACAGTTTTATCTGTGTGTGTGTGTGTGCTGGTGTGCATGCATATGTATTTATATATGTATGTGTGTACTTTGTTATTTTGCTTTGACCACATTTGGCAACACAGGCAGCAAACGTCACACGTTAAGAACACACACATACACAAACATTCGCACACAGCAACAACAACTCCAGCACCAACTCACACTACACACGCAACACTTGCAATTGTTCTTGTCGTTGAAGCTATAAGTGAACAACAATAATATCTTACAATTGGTAGTGGCTTCACAAAATCTTGTATCTGTTTTTATATTATGTTGTATTATTATTAGCGCGATAATTCCTTAGTGTATTAGCCGAGAAAAATGCGTAGAATGGGCGCTTGGAAACCGTTAGAGCGCAACAAACGACGACAACGACAAGCGAGCGAACGATCGATCTTACCGACGACGACGACGCTTTGAGACTCACTGAAAGCCCTGCCAGGCTACGAGTGTTGTCAAACGCCTGCTGATCTCTGTCTCTGACGCATGCATGCACAGAGAGAGAGAGAGCGCCAAGTGAGAGAGATAGATAGACGGAGACAGAGAACAAAGTCGCACATTTTTTCTTTTTTCGGCAGACGAATGTATATAGAATGTCTACACACACACGCAGACACACATCTGTGTCTAGTATGTTTGTAGTATGGACATATTCAAGTACCACATACACACACACACACGGCATGCAAGAAAAGCGAAAATAGAGTGCAAATTGGAAATGAATTGATCCTCTTCTATGTGCGAAGTTCGTTCTCACATGCGTCATGTGTGCGCAGCTTTTTCCCATAGGTGAGTTCAGAGCTTTTTAACGTTAGACACCGAAATAAAAGCTTGACGCTGTAATAGCAAATACGGAGACTTCTTAATACCCTTACTGATTGAGAATATTACTTTAAATGGCAATTTGAAGAATAAATAATTATTAAAAGGTTTATATTTTGTTTAGTCATATTGGATATTTTATTAGAAATGCTCTTACGTTCTTAATTTTTACACTTTCCTTTTTCATATACAAATGTAAATACGTCAATTGTAGGGTATCAATTATTTCAGTTTACCAACTGCTTGCTACTTTCGCCGGCTCCTTCTCCTTTCGTTGAATCAAGTGCCAATTCAATTTTTACAGCTTTTAATGCTTCACGAATCCAATTGGGAATCGGTTCGCTTCCATAATGCCTTTCCATAAAATCGCGCACAAATTGTGGAAATTTATCGTGTTGGATTGCTTCACGCATGGAGCCCATCAGGCGCAGCTGATAAGCGACATTGTGGACGCTGAGCAGGGAGCACGAAACACTCTCGTTGGTGGCAATGTGGTGGAGATAGGAACGCGAGTAGCGTCGACACGTGCCACAGCCACAAGCCGCATCAATGGGCTCCATATCGTGCTTATATTTCTGATGCTTCAGATTCAGCTGTCCGCTGTCCACCAAGGCGCAACCAAAGCGCGCAGTTCGCGTGGGAAACACACAATCGAACATATCGACGCCGAGGGCAACACACACAACCAAATCTGCGGCAAATCCGACGCCCATCAAATAACGAGGTTTATCACGTGGCAAGTGATCCGTGCAGACATGAACCATACGCCAAAAGTCGTGTTTGCTCTCACCACCACTTAACCCACCAACGGCAAAGCCACGCACCTGTCGCTCCATTAAGGCACTCACACATCGCTCCCGCAACGGAATCTCCAATCCACCCTGGACAATGGGAAACAGAGATTGGTCGTCGTCGCGGGCGTGGGCCTTCAGGCAGCGATCCACCCAGCGTATGGTGCGTTCCATGGCCTCCTCGACGCGTGGACCCGTTGTCGTCGTCTTCACCACATCGTCCAGCTGCATCATGATGTCCGCTCCAATGGCATTCTGTATTTGCATCGAGTGCTCCGGCGTCAACATACACTCACTGTTATCGAAGGGCGAACGAAAGTTGACTCCCCGCTCATCGATCTCCGCCAGCTGCAGCAGCGAAACCATCTGAAATCCACCCGAATCTGTTAAGATCGCCCGTGGCCAACCCATGAAATTGTGCAATCCGCCGGCGCGTTGAAGTGTTTCGATGCCGGGTCGCAAACCCAAATGATAAGTGTTGCCCAGCAGGATCTGGCAATCCAGTTCGATGAGCTGATCTGGCAGTACGCCTTTCAGTGTGCCCTGTGTACCCACGGGCATAAATACCGGCGTGCGCACTTCGCTGTGTCTACATAAAAAAGCAATAAACAATAAAAACCACATTGCAAATTGATCTTTCAAAATGTTTACCTCAGCATCATTAGGCCAGCGCGCGCCTTGGACACGGAGCACTCGGCCACAACCTTGTAGGTTAGGGGTGGTATTTTGCTACCCATTTAAAACACGTTTATTACAATTACTAATAATTTATTAATAATAATAATAATACAAAAACACGTGCTACACAAAACGTAAACAAATCGCCTGCGCTGGCAAGTGTGACCGCATATCGCAAGCATTAAAATAACCAGCTGTTGCGCCGATTATCATTTATTATCGACGCTATTTCACTAGAGGTAAATAAATTTATATTTTCATATAATATGTTATATACAATTATTGAACTAGGCGTATTTAAATAATTTATGCGTTCGCTACCACATTATATAAAGTTGTGAAAATTGAGGTATACAATTTGTTTGTATGCATAAATATATGATATAAAATCAAACCTAATAATAATATATGATCAATAATATAAACAATAAATAATTAGTTAATGTTAAGCGTTCTCGTAACGAGATTTCATCATTTTCTTAATGTACGTTTTGTAATCGTCGCCAGGCGCCAGAGTGCCGCTCTTGTTGCCCAATCCCACGTTGTTCGAGCGCGCCTCAGCCTGTAAAATGAAATAATATTAAATCATGTAAATGATTTACTCTTCTTATTGCAATTATCAAACCTCAATGATTTGTGTGCGTCCCTGGTTCTTGCGTCCCAGTCCCTGGCCCTCGGACCAGCCCATTTTCTGGAGCAGACGATTGCCCACATTGTTGGAGCTGATGGGCATTGCAGGCGTTGGTCCAGTCTCTTTTTTTCGTGTCTGCATATTTTTTATCTCGTGTTCAAAGCGCTCACGACTCCGATTCGGCGGCGGTGGATCGCCCTCACCATACTTAAGGCGACGCTCCTTTGCACGATCCCGATAGCTGTGAAGGGGGAGGATTAGCAAAAATTTCAAAATTGAACTAAGAAAATTAAATAAAAACTAAGAACTAAAAATATGTACAAAATTCGCTAAAAAATCAAAAATTAATTTTCTATTATATTTGCTAGAGATCAAATTTAAGGGTTACATATAGATAGAGAAATATATAATTTCTAAACTGTATATATACTTAAAAATCTTAAGACTTACGACAAGCCCGCATTAGCTACATCATCGCCAGCGACGCCGGCAGCGTTCCCCATGTTGTGCTTGGCAAGATTCTCCTTGTGCAAATTTGACATTTTTAAATGCTTCTGCAGAATATCGTGGGATTGAAAGGCACGCTTGCAGAGCAGACAGGTCAGCTTCTGAAAGTCCACATATTCGCTCTCATCTATTGGCCCAGGTGCTGATGTAGGTCCAGGTCCAAGACTGACACCTGACTGTGCGACGACACTCTGTGCGCCTGCGCCGCTGTTGTCTTCCTCGGAATCGGAGGCACCGCCATAGGCATTCATCAGTTTATTCATGGGTGCAGCCGCTGGTGGTGGCACATAGTCGTTCAGCTTGCCACGTTCCTTTTTCTCGAGTATGGAGAAGCCGACATCGGCATAGGCACCGGCGGCACCGCGAGATGTGCTCGGCCCCTCGCTTGGATCACCGCGTCCTGGCAGAATGGGCTGTGGTGTGGCCACCACCGTATAGTCTTTTTTCTGATTCAGCTGTTTGGCCCATTTCTCCATGTCCTTGACGATCTTCTTGGCCACCTTGACCTTGTCATGCTTGTTGCTGCTGCCGCTATTGTCCTTATCCTTGCCCTTGTCCTTCTTCGACAATTCCTCATCCTTCTCAGCAGGTGACTCCTTCGCAAGGGATTCCCGCAGCGCCGCCTGCGTTGAGGCAGGTGTGGCAAGTATATAAGTACTACGCCGCTGATCCCAGTACAAATAGGCGCCCGTCTCATTGTTGTAATAGTACTGCGAGTGCGCATCATAATATAATCCCGTGCTGGGATCGTAATAGTAGCCAGACGTCTCATCGTACTGATACCGAGTCACATCGGGAGTCGCTAAAATGGGTAAACAAAAAGTGCATTTTGTTAGAAATCAAAAATGCAAAAATCCGTTAACTCAAGAAAACTCAATGTTAAGTAAAACTCAACGAAAACTTAACGAGACGCCCAAAGTTTCGTTCAGTTGAGCTTAAGTCGGCTTATCGTGACTCGTGTGTGGGAACAAGTTTCGTCGTTGAACGACCAATGGGATCGTGTTGCCAATAATAAAACTTGTTGAGTCAACCTTCTCTGGCGGAGATGCAGCATAAGAGTTAAGCAAAAAAAAAAATCTTTTCTCTGGCAAAGCTGACTGAACACAGAATAAACTCAAATCTATTTCAAGTCAACAGCAATCATGTGTGTCATGCAAGCTTGATCGCTTGAGCTTGAGCTTGGCTAGTTCGGATTTTGTTCGTGTAAGAACGAAGAAGACGTTCTATGGGTTTTAATCAAAAAATACTCAAATTGAAATTCAATAATTGAACTCACGATAAGTTTTGCCATCATTGCCCCTGGGCGCAATCACATTTTGTGCGGCAAACGTTGCCTTTACCGCAGCAGCGGCATGCGCTGCAGCTGTTGCAGCCGCTGTTGCCGTTGTCTCAATGTTGCTCATCTTCTTCTGCTTGCGCTGGATGGCGGAGAGAGCGACAGCTGCACCCGAATTGGCTTCGGTCACTTGTCGCTCACCCGTGCTGCTCAGCTGGCCGCCCTTCTTGATCTCGGCCAGATAGTAGTCCGTGTAATACTGCACATAGTGCGCATGCTCTGCCGGGGTTGAGGCATACAACGAGGCACTGTATTCGGCCAGACGGGGCACATCCCCAATTGTATAGCCACCACCGATGGCTTCCGATGGCGGCACAGCGACCACATCACCGTTGTGGTGAATGCTGCCAGCGGTTCCGCTCTGAGAGGTCGACTTCGGCGGTACTGGACGACTTTCCAAGTCCATGCAATAGCTGATGCAGACTGTAATAAAGAAATCAGAGATTAAAGAGGCAATTCAAAGTATTCCATTTGAGAATTAAATACTAAATAAAAAGATACTTTTACACTAATTTGAGTACCTCAAAAATATAATAAATACATTAACTTTATTTTTATTTTTTTGCAGTATCTTCAACTTACCATCACGATCATCGATGCGCAGCGGAGGATCCAATGTGGTCAGAGCATTATGCACATCCATGGAATCGACGAGTGTCTCAAAAATGAGATAACAAATGCCGCGAGACGTTTGAGTGAGGGTATCGCGACTAATGAGCACTTTATGTATGGTTTTGGCCAGCTTAGGCAGCACCTTTTGGAGAGCAGTTAGGACGCTCTCCTCGTTGGTCAACGCGTCCAGATTGCGCAGCATGATCTCTGCATTGAATTTGGGGGGAAGTGGTGGGGAAATACGTTCCAGTTAATATCAAACAAAAAAAATTCAACAAGAAAAATCGCTCAACGGAACAATTGTAGGGCAGAGTAAAGTTGGTAGTTGGTTAGTATACTTTTTGTAAGAATCGGGCTAACTTCATCGATGCCTTCACCACCGCCAGAGAAGATGCTTTCGCTTTCCGCTCGCGATGCCATGCACATGAAGCAGGAGAAACGTCGCTTGAAATTGTAGACGCCACACTGGAAAGAGCAAAAAAAGCAAAAATCAGATATAGTTCATCTAGCTGGACAAGATTAATCCATATATTATCCATACCTTAACGCAATGCCAATCGGTGATGCGTTTGTGGCTATATTGCAGCGAGACACGTTGATCGCCCAGCTTGAGGGTGCCCTGAATGGAAGAGAGGAAGACAGAGAAGAGATGGACATCGATTAGTGATTGATAGTTGGGGTTGGCATATGTTGCACAGAGTACACAGTCACCAGATCGCTTCTGTGTGCTTTAAACGCGCGCAGTTGTTGTTTGTTCAATGTTGTTGTTTGTTGTCGTTGCAGTTGCTGTTGTTTGTTGCTGTTGCATTTTTCTCCACAATAAACGCAATCAATGGAAATGTTTACATTAAGTTCAGTTCCCGCCAGAAACAATCATATATATTTGATAAAACCAGACGGTTGTACACCGAAATGGAAAGTTCTAAAAAATAATTGGGGTCTAAGGTGGAAATTGATGCACAATATGCCATAATATATATATATATATATAATATAATACGATGGGGATGCGATACCTTTTTGGTCTTTTGCTGTTTGCTGTTGTTAATGGTGAACATTTGGGAATATTGGGGAAACTGAACTTAAGGCAGACATATTTCATAATTATTGATGTCGAGTTTTTGGTTTGCTTGATTTGTTTCTTTGTTGTGATACCTGAGTTATTTCCATCCAACGTGTTGCTTCCTCAACGGTATTAAACTCGACAAATGCGAAACCGCGTGATGCACCTAAATTTTAGATAGAAGCAGATACAAAATGTTTTTGTCAAAATATGTTGTTTGTTTAATATTTTTGTAACATTTTGGGTATTTTTGTATAGTTGGTTTTGATTGATTTTTACTGGAAGGCCAAGTATGTATATTCAATTTGGTTGCTGGTGCGAACTTTGCCGGACTACTGCCAAGTTAACACAAGAGAAAACTTACGCCACGTGTGTTTATATTTGTTTTACTACATAAAGCTAACTTAGGTAAAGCATCTGCATCGATATTGTAACCCACCTGTTGGTCTTTTCCGTATCAGGCGTATAGATGATGGCTCCATATTCACTTGTATCAGCGCGCCCATAATCTGTAAAGCAATTAGACAAGCATTAATACTTTTAATAATTAAAGGTGGTCACTTAAATATTTGAAACTTGCATACCTTATAATAATAAAATACACAGAAAGAAATAACCATAATGGAATATATAATATTACATTACAAAATAACATGAAGAAGCACAATACGATTTGTATAAGCAAACTAATTAATCTGTAACGATCACATTTTAGATTTCTATTTGTTACACGACTTTAAGACGTTATTCAAAAATCAAAACAAGAAAAATATTTTTATGTATTCCAAGTTTTTATGCTATAAGTGTAAAACCCATTTCACAGCAAGTGCAATTTAGTAGTCTATTCTCAAAATGAACCAAACTCGAAAGTAAAAAGCCGTATAAAACAAATCGAATCTATTAGATTTCTAAAGCCTATCTTGAGCAGCTGCTCTCTGCTCGCGTCTACTCACGTCCGCCTCTGTGATGTGCTTTTTCAGACCAAATATTATAATCTGGTTGAGGGCCTCGTTGCTCGTCCTGACGTGATTGCGACGAAACTGGCTATCGTCGCTCTCGTCACTGTCGTATGTATCTGCGTCCGATGGACACCGTCTGTCACGCTCCCGACTGTTGACAGTTGTTGCAACGCCGCTGCTATTGCCATTATGTGCCCGATAATCGCGGCTAATCGAGAAGAGAGGGACAGTTTTCGTGAGAATTTCTTGGATTATAAGGAGGACATCAAGTGGTACCTTCTCTCTATGCCACGCTCATAGTCTGAATTGCGATCGCGAGGATCTCGTTCATAGTTTTTCCAGCGCTGGTCACGCTGATCACGATCACGCTCCCTATCACGATCACGATCACGCTCCCGGTCCCTATCCCTATCGCGCTCCCGTTCACGCTCGCGATCACTATCGTAGTTGTCGTCGCGACGATTGTGATAATTATTATTGCGCGAATTGTTGTTGAATTTGCTGTTGTAGTTTGTGGCGCCACGCTGCTCCTCGACATAGTCCTCATTGATTAGATCCCGATACAAATCCTTGTCGGCGCTGCCAGTGTTCCGATAATGTTCGCGACTACGCGAACGCGTATTCCGTCGCTTGTAGCTGCTCGCCTGCTCCCGATTCCGCTCGCTGCAAAAAACACAAATTCGCAAATCAATAAAAATCTATTTTTATATAACTATATACACCACTATATATATAAATATATATATATATATATATGTACATGAGTTGTTGCTCTGCTTACCGGGAACGCGAACGGGAACGACTATGGCGTCTGTATAGGTTATTGCCGCCGCTGTTATTGTTGCCCCCAGCGGCGCTGCCACCAGAAAAGCTGCGACCATATCGCGAATGCGACTCCATGTTACGCGTACCTGCTGCTGCTCAAATCCTATCAAATCCAAATCGTTAGCAAATGCAACAATTTGTACGGAACGCTTTTATTAAGCGAACTCTGGATTGAAACGAGAGAGATTATTGTTAAGCACTATGTTTTTTGTTATAATAAACAATAGGCACACGCACAATACAGTTTATGGAAAAAAATCTCGGCCTTCTACTGCCATTCACACAAAATGCCTACTACTGTTCGTTGTTATCGATTTTATCATATGTATTAAGGAAACGGTAAACACGAGTTCTTTAATATATATTGAGTGATGAAAATATAAATATTTTTTATTTTATTTAAGAAAAAAAAACTTTATTTAAGTGTACAAAAAATTACCGTAGGTATCTAATATCGATAGCTCTCAGTGGCGTAATCTTCTAAAATGAAGTACTCTTGAGCAGTGCTGCATAAAACACACTGTGATAAATTACAGTTTATGTGGAAGAAGAAGCACTGACAAGCAAGCGTCCCATCACTAAGCATACATTTCATAGTGGAATCACATCGTTAGAAAAGTAACTGCGTACAACATTTGGGAGCCTTGACCTTGTTTACTCTCAGCTACGCTTCGAGTGCTAAGAGCGGAGACCTGGAGACCGAATAAAACATTTTGCAACTTTGTCGCTTAGTGGTTCCATTTGAAATTATAATTATACTCCTATGTGTTTGTTTTTTTTCTTTTTTAATCCCATCAACAATTTGCTGACTGCCTGCGGCTTAAACTTTCGAAGTTAATTATTCGTGAACAGTGCTGCAAAATGTCCAAACGCTACACGATATATCGATTGTAACGCAGCTATCGATTTATTTAGGTTACTTGTGCAAGCTTGTTGGGGAAAAACCAACTTAGAGTAATTTTCATCGAAATAAAACGAAACATCCCCCGAGTAACGCAATTGACGTAAACAGAATCAATAAACAAACAAAGCCAAGCGAACACCGCGTTCAGTGTGAAATAAATTGTTAACAATGAAGAAAGTGCTTTTAACGAAAACACAGCACATACGTGTGACTGCCCCAGATATAATAAAGAAACTTCAAAACCCTCCCGTAACAACATCATCGACCGCAGTAAATAATGCGTCAAGCATACGTGGATTGCATATGCCAACGAATGTAATCACCAACACGTATATGCAACGCAAATCCTTTCAATCAATCTACGAGGAAATATTCAAGCTGTTAATGCGCCTGCCCGACAAGGCCCTGCAGCAGCGCGTTATCGACGCTATCAATGGGCGGAGTGATAAGTCAGCCGCCGCTATCTTTGGCCCCCATAATCAGTGCAAACAGTGCTCCCTTAATGAGCAAAAACCCCAAAAAGTGAATGCGTCAACACAAACTGAAACCGAAACGTTAACAGAGATTAAACTCTCGGCTCCCCGCGAAATTCTTGAAGAAATCGATGAAACGACAACGGCTGCTATCGATGGGAATAAAGAGACGACAACAGCAGAGAAGGCTAGTGAGGCAACAAGCGTAACGAAACCGCGAAAACGGGGACGAAAGCGCAACACATGTGTGCCACAGGTCGTCAAGCGATCGGCGGCCCAAATGGCCTTGCAGGAGCGCGAAGACAAACAACTGACCCCATTGCCCCCCGTCAAGAAGAATAAACTGGATGATGTCGTAAGAAATTTGTACACTTTTTGATCAAATTGATCACATTTTAGAGTTTAGTTTTCATTCATAAAAATTTGCCTTGAATTAAGTTTATCAATCTTTCAAGTTATTATTCTACCTTCGATATCAGAGTATTAAAGAGACATAGTATAGTCTTTAATTTTGCTTTTAACATTCATAATACTAATATTTAATGTTTTTCTCTTTTTTAACCAGGTACCCAGTCCAGCTTCAAAAACATGTGACGTACAACGTCGTGACTCTGAGTTGTCGAATGGTCTTGGGGATCTAAATTTCGTTGAGATGTGCTTTCAAATGGATAATTACATCAACAATGATAATGAACGCACAATTCTAACCAAAATGGCCAATGAGCTGGTCGGCGCTCATATTATGTCCGAGGAGGGTTTGCTGTATGTGTTTTCTGTATTCAATTTATGTTGATTTAAGCTGAGACATTGAATTAACAAGAATATATTATGTGTCACACATACGGAATGAGTCTTTTAAATATGTACAAATATAAATAGTATTGCAATTAGATATGTGTATTTTATTATAAACTTTGACTGTATCGGCACTCGAATCGATATATACGTATATCTTTTCAAACATAGAAATATATCTATAAATCGGCAAAGCTCATAAAATGTACTCGATCGTAATTTTGCTATTTCAAACAATTTGTCAATTCAGCGTCTCTTTGTTCTTACCCTAGTCTCAGATGAGCCAACCATCTAACTATTTCCTTTGTTTATAATTATTTTTATTGCAGACCCATACATGATGCAATTTTAATCGGCGATGTTCATGGCGTACAGCGACAGGTTTTTGTGTGGTCCAAGCTGAAAAATATGACTGATTTCAATGATTTAGTGAGTGCCGATGGCGAGGATTGCCTTCAGCTGGCATTGACCAATGACTGTGAGCCGGAAATAGTTAAGGTACTGCTCAACGCGGGCGTATTGCCCAATTATATATATGATGATTCAAATACGGCGGTGCACATATCGATTATCAATAATATACATTTGGAGTCGTTGCGCGAACTAATGCTCCAAATCGACCTGAATTTACTGCTGCAGACCAACGATGATGGCTACACAGCGCTCCACATTGCCGTGCGACACAATCGCTATAAGATGGCCGAGATCATGTGTGACATCATCGATCAGCGGCAGCTGGGCGCACCTATCTATAGACGGACCATAGATGAAGATCAGGAAACGAACAACGAGCAGTGCGCCAAAGCTGTCGAGACGAGGGACGAGAAACGATTTGCGAAATTCTATGAGAGAATCTGCGATCGATTGGAGCACAACACGGAGAAACTGCTGAGACGGCAGCTGAAGCATGAGATTCTGAATGCGAGCGAAGCTCGGGCGGGCAACACTAGTCTATTCTATGCCGTCGAAGGCGATCTGGAACATATATGTTACTTCCTATTGGCCCATCTGAGTAATCCCGATGAGGAGAACCTCAGCGGGCATAGTCCAAAAACTTATCATTATGAATTTGCGCGTGTTTTACGCATCAATTTAAAAGTATCTCGCATCATGGACAAGGTGGTTGGTATATTAAATGGTAAAACAACAACGAGATGAAATAGATTGTATAAAATATATTATATTTATTGTTTAACTACAAAGTGTTTTTTTTTTATATATTGTTTAACCCCAACTCAAATGCCAATTTGATTGCATCAGTTTAGATAGATTTGGGGGTTGCAGTGAGGCTGGCAAATTGTGCTTAGCCTGCTGTGGATTGTTCTTCTTTTTTAAGCGATTTTTCTTCAGTTGATTTACTGCAAAAACAGATTTTTTAATGAGCATTTAAATCAATTTAAATTATGGCAAATTTAAGTTGCACCAATTTTTTCCAGCTGCTTCATTTGTTTATCGCTGTAGTGGCGAAAATTGCAGAATAATTGAAATTTACAGTAGCCGGCAAAATAACGTTTGCATGGTTTTTTCTTGCGCTCCGCTGCCAATATTTTACGTGGATCTAAAATAAATAAATTATAAATTATTTTTAGCTTAAAGATAAACAAAACTAAAGCCCACCCTCAAATTGCCGCATGTAAGTTGCTTTTGCAGCTGTGTGCGAAATGCCCGAATTGTGTAATTTGCGCACATTCAAATCGTTCTTCATGAAGCAACAGCAGTAATCACAGTAATAACTTTTGCCACCCATTATTAACTAAACTTGTCACATAATTAAAAATAATTTTGCTTTGCGTTTTGCGTTTGTTTACAAACAACTGCAGTCTGCGGCGCTGCCAACTTGTTGTAAATGTGGCTGCACTTTCCAACACTGTTCGGTGGCTTTAATTAAAAACAACAGCGAAAATGTCGCAAAATATTTATATGCATTAGTTTAATAATAATAATTTTAAGTAAAAAGGTGAATTATTAGAGAATAATTATGTTTATGCCCGAGACCGCAGTGTTCTGCATAACACTGCTCGTTTATGGCGCCATATTGCTGCTATTGATTTACTATGTGAGTTTTTTCTTCTGTGTGCAAATTGCAGAAACAATATTTGAAAATATGCATAAATATTGAATTAAATATTTTATTTGTTTTGGTGACAGGTGCTAACGCTGGCCGACTTGGAGTGCGACTATTTGAATGCCCAGGAATGCTGTCGACGCCTCAATTTCTGGGTCATACCCAAATTTGGCTCTCATGCGCTGCTCTGCATTCTGCTCCTTATCTGCGGGTAGCTTTAAAAGAACATTTTTTCCTCAAATTAAAACCAAACTAATTGAATTTTTTGGCTTGCAGCCATTGGGTGATGTTTTTGCTCAATTTGCCGATGGTTGTTTGGCTGTATTATGAGCTACATCGGCAGCGGAGGGACAGCCTCGGCGTCTACGATCCGGTTGACATCCATAGTCGGGGTCTGTTGAAGGTGCATCTGAGGAACTGCATGATCTATCTGGGCTACTATTTTGTCATGTTCTTCGTGGGCCTCTATTGGTTAGTGAATGTCCACAAATACAGCGTAATTCGCTTAGCTGCCATCTACAAATAATCCCTTATCGATATGAGTATCTGATGTGGGAACGCAGTTAAAGCCATATTTGATTGACAAAGCTTATTGTACTCCATTTGAAATTGATTTTAATCTTTAATACTTCTATTTTGCAGTTTAATTTCATCGCTGATTAAGGGTGATCCCATCAAGCGCCACGAGGATGACGAAATTATCACAGGCTTTTAACCTGTGTGCAGCGTACTAAATCGAATTTATTTATTGAGTTAAAGTTTGGCAAAAAAAAGAAGAAAGATTTGTGAAAATAGTAGTCCAAAAGGTGGACAAATCCTAACCCTTTGGGACAGTTTAAATGGTTGCTGATAGTTCCGCAAGGGCTTCCAAAAAACACACACACAAAACGCAGAGAAATTAGCAAAATATTTTATAGAATAACTTGTGTAAAATGAGATATTCGAAATCTGCGAGAGATCAGTGTAAAAATGTCATCCTAGTCGCACAACGAATATGAATCGTAACAAAAAACCCAGTTAGTCAATAACAATTTTATATTATTTTTTTGCTTAGTATTTATTTAGAAACGAATTTCGACCAACATTTTAATTTAAATGCCATTTGCTCATATTTTAAATATTTATTTCATAACTAGCATCTGCAGCAATTTAAGCGTATTCGAATCAGAAATTAAAAAATATATACATATGGATATATATAGATGTATATGTACAATAAATGTTGTCTTGATTTCACTGTAGAAAATCGACTACTTCCTCCAGTTCCCGTTGGCGCGCCTGTTTTTGTGCCCAACGCGCCTCCGCCGTCTTCACATTGACCACCCAACGATCGTGGGCCAGTCGAATGCCACAGGTGCCATCATCCGATCTCTTTAGGCTTCCAGCAGCTGTTACTCCAGTTACTGTTGATCGCTGCTTGTCCATGTAGGTTTGGGCATCGGAGCGCGGATGGCGTCGCTTGGCCGGACACAGTTTGCCGCCCTTGGGGAAAGGTGGCTCGGCGAGATAATGCTTGAGGCAACCCTGATGGAACAGATGACCGCAATAGACACGCTCCACAAACGCATCCGCATTCTCGTCCAGCACCACCGCCTCCGGCTCCGCTTGCAGCACGGGCTTATCACAAATCGGACACAATTCGCGATGGAAGTCACGTGTGGCCTCCAAGCAAAATTTCAAAGTTCGATAAAGACTGCGCACAGGTCGAAAGTGGGCCAGTTCATCTTTGTTGAGACGCAACGGTGGCTCCACACACTGGCGCGCTATCTCCCGCGATTGTCCGACCAGGTAACGCACCAGCACAGTGGGCAAATCCGATTCGACGCCACGCAGCTCCACACTCCGGCTGGGATAGTCGTCGGGCACCGCAGCCGTGACGCGGTAAACATAACGACCGCCACGTGCGATGAGCTCCACACAACTGGTGCGCTGGCGCAGCTTTAGCTGACTGACCACATCATCAGTGGACAAATCTGGTTTCTTCATATCCTGACGCAGCTGCTTGATCTCGTCGAGGCACACGCACAGTGGATTGTCCAACAAGTATTGCTGGGCGAATCGCAGAACGGGCAATGCTTGTGGTTCACCCAACTGATCCCGAGCATAGTTGTCCATGAGGCGTGTCAGCTCCGCGTGCAATTTATCCGAGTATCCGCGACTCTTCAGCTCCACGAGAATCGAGCAGCGCGGATAATCCGTGGGAAAACGTAAACAAACTGTCAGTGTGCGATTTGGTCGATCCGACAGCAGATCGACGCGCACAAGTGTTGAGCTACAGCTGATTAGCCGGCTGTGGGCTATATGCTTCTCGCACTTGGTGCGTATCTCAACCAATTCACTCTCAATGTCTTCCATGCCGATATAAAATTCCCAAAACGAATGTTTACAAAAACAGCCAAAAAAGAATATAGCAAGCCAGGGCTGCTGTGCTATGCGATTAGCTATCGATAACAGTTGCATTCGCGATTAATCGTCTTGCACACTAAAACCGATACTTCTTACATTGCACAAACATTACTCATCACTGTCGTCGCCACGTTGTGGTTAAAAAAACGCCGACAAAACGAAAGGCTGACGAAATCCGCAGTGCAAATTGAATTAAATTGAAGTGAAAAACAAAGAAAAATGGTATTAGACTTGGATCTGTTTCGCGGCGACAAGGGCGGCAATCCCGACGCGGTGCGCGACAATCAAAAGAAACGCTTCAAAGATGTTGGCCTCGTCGAAACGGTGATCGCCAAGGATGGCGAATGGCGACAGCGACGTCATCGGGCCGACAACCTGAACAAGGTAAAGAACGTCTGCAGCAAAGTCATCGGTGACAAGATGAAGAAAAAGGAACCCGTTGGTGCCGAGGAGGAGCTGCCTGCAGCCATTCGTGACGAGGATCTGACGCTGTTGACAGCTGAATTGCTGCAACCTTTAACTGTTAATCAGATTAAAAAATTGCGTGTGCTCATCGATGAGGCGATGACAGATAACCAGAAATCCCTGGAACTGGCGGAGCAGACTCGGAATACAGCGCTGCGAGAGGTGGGCAACCATCTGCACGAATCGGTGCCGGTATCCAACGATGAGGACGAGAATCGTGTGGAGCGCACTTTTGGGGATTGTGCGAAGCGTGGCAAATATTCGCATGTGGATCTTATTGTGATGATCGACGGCATGAATGCGGAGAAGGGCGCTGTCGTCTCGGGTGGCAGGGGCTATTTTCTAACGGGTGCCGCTGTATTTCTGGAACAGGCACTCATCCAACATGCACTGCATTCGCTGTACGCAAAGGATTATCTGCCACTGTATACGCCCTTTTTCATGCGCAAGGATGTGATGCAGGAGGTGGCACAGCTCTCCCAGTTCGATGAGGAGCTGTACAAGGTGGTCGGCAAGGGCAGCGAACGCGCCGAGGAGGCTGGCATCGATGAGAAGTACTTGATAGCCACGTCGGAGCAACCGATTGCCGCCTATCATCGCGATGAGTGGCTGCCGGAGGCATCGCTACCCATCAAATATGCTGGACTGTCGACGTGCTTTCGCCAGGAGGTGGGCTCTCATGGCAGGGATACACGTGGCATTTTCCGTGTGCATCAGTTCGAGAAGGTGGAACAGTTTGTGCTCACCTCGCCGCATGACAACAAATCGTGGCAGATGATGGACGAGATGATTGACAATGCGGAACAGTTCTGTCAATCGCTGGGCATTCCATATCGCATCGTTAATATTGTGTCGGGTGCCCTCAATCATGCCGCGTCCAAGAAACTCGATCTGGAGGCCTGGTTTGGTGGCAGTGGCGCCTACAGAGAACTTGTCTCCTGCTCCAATTGCCTCGATTATCAGGCGCGTCGTCTGCTCGTCCGCTATGGCCAGACGAAGAAGATGAATGCCGCCGTCGACTATGTGCACATGTTGAATGCTACAATGTGTGCAGCGACACGTGTCATTTGCGCCATCCTCGAGACACATCAGACGGAGACGGGCATCAAGGTGCCGGAGCCACTCAAGCGATACATGCCCGCCAAGTTCCAGGACGAGATTCCGTTTGTGAAGCCAGCACCCATTGATCTGGAAGTGGCCGCAGCTGCCGACAACAAGCAGAACAAGGCCAAGAAGGACAAGGCCAAGAAGGATCCAGCGGCTGCATAAATTTTTGGGTTCCATTGGTGTCCAGCGTCGCAACAGCCACTCAGCTTAAGCTAAGCTTTCAAGTCTAGAATTGTGTTACTTACTCATAAACTATATATTTATCAATCGATCGCATTTATTGCCCAAGTTTTACAATTAAATCGCGCTTCAAAATGCAAGAAAAATAATTTTTGTTTCAATTTTATGTAGGATAATCAATTATCAAGTATGGATTTTGTTTAATTTAAGTTTAGTACTCTTCTAGATGATTTTCCACTCTATTTAAACTTCTTATCTGGCTAACAAACCTGCGCTCCAGAATCTCTAATGCAATCTTAGAGCATATTACTCATCCATCCACTGCTGCCCCACGCTCAACCCCACTTGCAGTCAGCTGGTTTCAGTATTCCGCACTCGATTGTTTTCTGTTTGATGCCTAGCAACGGCTCTGATAGCTGTCAATTTCCATAAGTTTAATATTATGCCCGGCGACTTTTAGTTGCCTTGACACCGTCTTCAACTTGTTTACTAGCAATCAGTTCACTTCAGTTTTCCAACGATCCGAAAAATAAAAACTATTTCAAAAATATTTAGGAATAATGTCGAAACGTCGCGAGAAATCGAATAAGCAAACGCGCTGGGATCGTATTCGGAAGCGTTATCTGAATGCGAATCCGTTGGGCCTCAAAACGGATGCAGTGCGTCGCTTCATTGAGCTGGACTACATTGGCCAGCGCCAATCCCAGATGCTCATCGATGGCGAGCAGTCAAATAAACTGAATCCCAGTGTTGTAATGGATATGCGACATCAGATGGTGAGCTGGAGGACAAATCTTACTCTCTCTCTCTCTCTCTCTCCCGACTTGGAGGAGCTAAGATTCCTTTTGGTCTCCCATTTATTTTTTCGCAGTTTTCGCAGATACCACGTCAACTGCCGCTGGCGACAGTGGCGCATGGCAGCACCTTGGCCTCGACGAGGGCACACAATCTGGAAGTGGAGCAGCGCTACATCGACAATCAATTGCAAAAGTTTCGCCAGCAGCTGGCCAGGCAGCATCCGCCGCGCCAGCGCCAGGAGCGCAAGATACGTGTGCGTCCCACCAAGCCGGACTTTAAGCTCAATCATGGCCCATTGATGCAGAGTCTGACGCTTGCCTCGCAGCACATCGATAACTTCTACCAGACGCCGGTGGATGCACTCGGCCAGGCGGCCATGTTGTGCTCCATGCAGAAACAGGTGGCGACAGTGTCGCTGCTGCAGCAGCTGCAAGCCGAACCGGAAGCAGAGGCGGAGGCGGATCTCGAGCACACCTGGCTGCAGTTGAAGCAGGCAAAAGAGGTGAAGCAAGTCCAAATCCAAGCGGATGGCGAGCAACTGGACATGCTCGAGTATCGCAAGTTTGTCAAGCAGGTGGAGTTGGACGAGAGCAAGCTGCAGTTCCTCCAACGTTGCCGCACTCCAAGTCCGCTGCTGACCACCGAGGAGCTGCTCAAACCAATGCGCGCCGCTGCCGAGCGCCAAATGCTGCACATGCGCACCGTGCGTCAAGAGGAGGAACTGCTTCAGCAGGGGCAGCAGCAGGAGCATCCCTCAGAGCAGCCTCAATTGCATCGGCAGGCATCCACTTGCTCCAACACGAGCGATGGCATTGATTCAGTTATATCCGACCTGGCGGAGGAGGCGTTATTCGAGCTCCAACTGGAGGCAGCCGAGCAGCAAATGGAACGGGAGCAGCAGCAGCTCAATGAACTAGTGGCGCCGCCAAAACTGGTACAATTCCAGCTGTCTACGACATCACCCGAGGAATTGACCTCCGCCGTGCAGGAGGAGGAACAGGAGGAGGAGCAAATGGAAGCTCTGCTCATCCGGCGCATTGAAATACCCAAAGTTGTTGTGCTGCCCAAGCAGCAGGAGCAGCCAGCCACTGATCAGAGCTGCAGCGAGAATGAGCTGCAACCAGGACCACTTGACGAGAAGCAACGGATTATTGATGAACTGTTCGTCAAGGCGCGCACCAATTCGGAACTGAATCTGATGCGTAAATACTTTCTCAAATGGATCCATTTCACGACCATGGAGAAACTCGAACGGGAGCCGGGCACAAGGCATGCCAATCGAGCGACGAAGATCAATGCATTTCTGGACAAGATCAGGCAGGAGAAGCGGCGTCAGCGCCAAAACACCAAGAGGCCAAATACTCCAGACAATGCCGAGAAAATTGCCCAAAAGTCGCTGGAGCAGCGCGAGGAGGCTGTCAAAATGGCCAAACAATTTAAGAATAAGTATGAATCATAATTTTAATAATCTTAGTTTTAACACTGAGGAGAACTTTCCAGAAACATAAACGATTTTTAGATTGGGAAAAAATAGCTGCAATCGATGTAAAAATATTTCAACATTTTTCTCAGATTGCAGAGACTTATTTTATTTAATTTATTTCATTCATTACGAATTTAATTTCTTTCTTGCTGCTGTTGCTGTTATATACATACATGTATATTTTATAATTTCAACCAATGTCATTTGGTTATTTGATTTTATTCATTGCCGTTACCCGCATGTGAAATGAAATCAAAGTGGAATCAAAACAATGCACTCACCGGCAATAGCGGTACTTATAATCCTCTCCACTTTGGTTGTTGTCTCCGCTGCACTTAGCAGCGCATGAAGAGGGCGTTGCAGAGCGAACTGCAAAAGATATAATTTTATTTTACGCACATTTTATTTATAAATATTTACATAATCATCATCATACATCATTTAAATCAGTTTGATTAGCTGCTTTTAACTGCCTTAATTTACATTTCAATAAAATGCTTTGCAGGCTGAAGGTGCAGCAGGATATTATAGATTTGCAGCGCATCAAGCTGGAGCGGCAGGAGCGACTAATAATGCAGCTAAAGCTGCACAAGCTCAGCGACGAGGCCAAAGAGGCGCGCGAGGATCTTAAGCAGGAGCTAAAAACCGTTATACGCTGCGGCGATCCCAAGGCAAAGGCCAAGGCCAAGTGTCTGCAACTAATTGGCAGTCTGCGCGATGCCGAGGACGAGGAATTCGAGCGGCTGCAGGGCAGAGCGCTGCTCCAGCCACGCTTCCTGCAGCACATGCAGGAGCGAGCCCTGGAGCGGAGTGTGCGCCACGAGCAGGCGCGTCAGCGTCGAGCCCAAGCGGATGCGGAAAGGGAGGCAGCCAAGTTGGCCATCGAGGAAGCTAAGGTGAGACTCAGATGAGGTGCTTCAGCATCAGATTTACCTCTAAAATTATTCGAACAGCGCCAGGAAGATGAGGAGGCAAAACGGTTGCGCATCGAGGTGCTGAAGGAGAAGCGACGCCAGGAGAAAATGGCCAAGGTGCTGAAGGAGCGCGAACGCCAACGTTTCATTGAGAATCAACGCAAGGCTTTGGAGTTCCATCGCCGCATGTTGCTGCGCCGAATTGGAATGGAGGGCTTTAAGCGGCTGCTGCAACGCAAGCGGGACAATCTGGTCAAGTGCGAGGAATTCTCCCGTCGCCTGTACAAGCGCAACTCTTTTCTGGCCTGGCACAAGTACACCGAGTGCCGGCAACGCGAGAAATGCATCCGGGCCGAGATGTGCTATCGCCTGGCACTGAAGCGACGGGCGCTAAATGCATGGCTATTCTATGTGCAGGAGGAGCGCAATAAGATGCAGGTGGCCATTGACTGGCATGCACTGCATGCCATGGAGCATTGGTTTGGACGCTGGCTCAACTATGCCACTCACTGTCGCATGATTGAGGACACCAAAATGCGTCAGGCCATCTCGCATCATGAATGGTAGGTTATAAAATATAAGATAAAATAAGATCTTACATTTGTATCTTACATGTAGGCACCTGAAGTGGAAGGTGCTGGACTGCTGGCAGCGATTGCCGCAGATCTTGCGCTTGGAAAAGGAGACGGAGGAGCGTCGTCAGCGTTGGCGCATGAAAATTTGGGAGCTGCTACCCGATTACAAGCCAAGGGAGGATAGTTTGTGGTAGTTGAGATATTCGTTTAATATCATAAATTTTGTTTGTCTTTTTCTTTTGTTTAGTTTATGTTTACTTAAATTTTAAGATTATTCTCTCAGAATAAATTGCAATTTAATTTCAACTAAAAAGCTTAAAGACGTATTTTATTACATTGTCTCATTGTAAAGAGAGAGAGCTGTTATTTTAGTATTGAATCAGTAATTGAATGAAAATAATATATAACTTAATTGAATAAATGACTGATAATTGCTTAAATCTCAACAGCTCTGTTTACATTTAATACATTTGATAAGTATTCGTAAATCAGAATATTTCATTCAATACATTCTTACACTAAGCATATTTCGATTAATTGCTTAATCACGACTAAACGTTCAAAGCGCTAGTTATCTCGTTTAATACTATGCATACCTACTAAAAGCATAAATTGTGCGCTTGCTCTGTGAGTAAATAAATATAAATAGATTGCTATATTCTAGTTGGATTACACACTGCGTTAAGAGATTGGGCTTCAAAAACATATACAATGGCCCAAGATTCGGCTCAGACAGGCAAAGCTCGTTTAGCTTTTATATAATTGTTGCACTCCTCTCAAGTAATTGGGGCTTTCCTAGCTGCTGCATATGGTACTCCTCAACGTCATTACTTTAAAATGGCTCGCCAATTGCTCCACACGCGATTGCGATTCCCATTGGAGGCTGGCACACGATTATATTCATGCAGCGTGGTGCCGCGCCAGTACAAATACAATTGACGCACCAGGATGACGCTGATGTAGCCAGAGATGAGCATCGCATAGCCAGCCACAACAAACGATATGCCCAATCTGAAAGCAAAAACCGCAACATTAATATGCAATTCAATTAGAAGAGTCTGGCATAATTTAAATGATCGAAGCAAATTAAACTTAAGCCCAAAATAAATGCACTAATTTTTAAGCCAAAGTTTAAGCACTTACTCAAAGTCCTCGAAGACCTCGCTGCAGTCATCGGGCAGCAGCAAAGGAATTCCCAGCAGACGCACAACCAGAAATGGATGACAGACGGCTGTCAACGTTAAGTTGGCGCCCAGCAGCAGTGCACACTCGGACAGGGCCAACGCCAGCAGATACCAGCGATAATTGCGCTCACCAATGCAACAGTTGAGCCAATAGCTGTGATGGGAGCGACGTTTGACGCAGCTGCCGCACACGGAGCAGTGATATGCGCGCCTCGGTGTCACCTTGCGGCAAGTCTCGCATATGTTCGGCTGGGCGTGGTGGATGAGACCCGCTTGTTCGGAGCCAACGTCATTGTCATCATCATCATCATCATCGTCGTCATCCTCAATGCCAAGAACAGTGTCTTCGATTTGTACGGCAGCCTGGTGCGACTGCTGTTCGGCCAGTTCTTCGCCACTGGAGGCTTCCGTGATGCCCGGCAGCTCATCCTTGGGCGTGGTACCATATTGTGCTGTGACCAGATTGAGCGGTGCCAATTTCTTGGTGCGATATAGTGCGTAGAGTGCAGCAAACGATAAGAACAGCAATATACAGTTCTCTTCGGGCAGCAGCTCCAGCAGCGGCACCTCGCACTCAAATATCAACGCCATATAGATCACCGAGAAGACGATCCAACTCAGAAAGAAGCTGGTCCGCGTCGCGGTACGCTCCGCCAGTTGCAAGCCCCAACTGGTGAAGCCTACAAGCGTTAGCATTAACACTATAGCAGTCTTCGCGTTCAGTGCCGCCAGTCCCATCATCAGGGGCACAATCAGTGCGGGCGCCAGTGCAGCGGGTGCGATGCGTTTGGCGCCGCCACGCCATGGTAAACGCAGGCGATCCTGGAATGCAATCAACATGCCGTCTATGTTGCGTTGTTCAATGCGCTTACACGTGACGAAGCTGTCGACAAGATAAGTTCCATTATTTTCTAGCCATATTGACTGTATACAATTGAGAGATCAAACGGATCTTGTAGATCCCATCCCTCAATCGCAAGCAGTGCAATGCTCAATATTTATCCCTACCGTGTGCAGATCAAGTCAAAGTCGACGCAATTACAGCAGCATCCTAAGATGTGAAATTGCTGATTATCGTGGTCAATGTATTCGCAGCAGCAGAGACCTCGCCCCTCAGCGTTTTCGCTACGCTCGTCTTCCGTGGCTGCTGTGAAAAAGTTCAACGTAGTCGTCGCCGTTGACATTGAGACGCATCGATTTATGGTGGGGGCCGGGTCGGCAGAAGATGCAAATTAAAAAGTTTCCATTTTCCACGCAGCGTGTGCAGGAGAATAATATGTTGAAATTAATTTAAGACCAAAGTACTATACAGCTGACGTCTGCACATACGCAAATTAACGATTTATTTTATAACAATTGTTGAGTCAAGTTTTTATCTCTTGCTCAAAATACTCACATTCGCCGCTTGTCGCGACAAAAACAAAACATCAGCTTTTGCCCCATCCCCAAAAATCATAGGGTGTTTCGATTGCACAGTAAAATTGCATAAGAAATTATCGCCATCGTTTATGCGATAGTTTTCTGTTTTATTTCAACGATACCGCGTTTCAAATTTTCATCTGAATGCCACAAATTGTTGCTTTGGAAAACTTCACCACATTTAACCAGCTCAACAAACTGTTCTAGTCCACCGCCTACGCCAAAATAATGTGACTTGCCAGCGACTAAAACAATGCCGTCCGCTTTTAGACGTTTACTAAACGTATCCAATAGCTTTTGTTGATTTTCTACGTTGTATATTGTTTCCGATGTTAATATTAGATCATATTTCTCGTCGTTTTCTGTGAGTTGCGCAAAATGCGACCAGTCGCCAGCGTAAAATTTACTTTCCATTTGTAGCCGCTCCAATTTCTGATCATCAGTAAGGGCGTTTGCGAAATTTAGCATTACATTTGGCATTGTTATTTTCTCCAAAACATCCTTGTTCTGCAATTTTGGAGGTAAAACTTAGTTCAAAAAACGACATTCAACTTTTAGTTAGTTAGTTACTCACGTAATCCTGGAAGTCAACTTTGCCACCACATTTTAAGGCATATATTCCCAAAAGTCCCGATCCGCAGCCTAAGTCCAGAACTCGCTTATTCTCCCAGTATGTTTTTTCATAGGTTTTTGACAAAAATATCAATAAATCATCGGTGCATTCCCAAATTTTTGCGCCGCCTGCCAACAAAGATTGTTAATAAATTGTAATTACGAGATATATGTATAAATTTATATGTGATATTAACCCTCATATACGCCTGCAATTAAATCCGAATGACTTTCTTCGGATTTCCTGATATCTCGGCTGTTTATATCGCTGTGTGTTTTAATATCTTCAAGGAGCGAACCTGCTATAAGATGTCGTAGTTCAATTCTTCCAATAGTTTGCTCTTTTGAATTCAGCTCATACAGGTCCAAACAATTTAAAAGTGATTTATTTGGCTTTACTTCCTCGGCTTGATACCATTCTACCTTATTATCGGTTGTTGGCTTATCTGTATTCGACTGTTCGAGTTTAGTCTTTTTAAAAGGACTTTCCCCGGCATCCGATGAATCCGTTTCGTTCACTTCAAAATTGAACTCAAACATTGTCCAGCCCGAATCACCCTGTTTGTTTTGGTTCTGTTATGCTATTACTTGCACACACATGTATAAGTGATCCTGCAAATTAAAATTAATAAATATCATTTATGAAACTAAAATTTTAAAAAAATCTTGAAAGTCTTTTCAACTAAAGCGATAATAACTTAGACACCAATTGTTTAACAAATATATTCACACACCACAGAGCGCAACCACGCTAAATACACTAGTTATCGATAAGCACACATAGTGATGTGAGTTGTTCAACCACCAGGCCACTTATAAAATCAATCGATAGCACGAATTGGACATCACCAAAATTTGCTATTTTGCTTGAAATTTTGTTTATTTAATTTTAGAAAATAAAATACAAATGGCTGATCAAATTCAACCCGATGTAAGTGTAGCGCTAATAGACAAATCCTCGCAATATTTCTCACATCACTTTGCACAGGGAGGTCAACCGGCGCCACTCATATCCGTTGGAATCGATCAACAGCAGACGCACGACAACGGAGCTGCCAATGGCAGCGAAGCCGGTGACGATGATGACGCCCAAGCAGATGACATCGATGACGAGAAGGCCACTGAACTGGTGCTGCCGAAGGCACTGGAGGATGTGCTCGCGCTAAAGGATCAGCGTGTAGCCGAATTCGACACCGATGTGGATGCTCGTGGAGGGAGCCTCGGTGTGGACGGATCTTCGCAAGACGGTGACTTGGCCGATGTGGGCGACGACAGCGATGACGCCGATGATAATCTATTGAACGGTGTCGGCAACGATAAAACTGGCAAGCCGAGTAAAGCGGACAAAAACAAAAAGAAGAAACGTCGCAAGAAGCAAAACAAAAAGATACGCCAAAAATTGGAGTACGAACGGCAACAGCAACTGGCGCGTCGCTCCGAGCCACGTGAGGTGGAGCCCGAAGAGGGTTCGAAGGCGGTTGGCAGCGAGGAAGAGCGCCCGACGGTGGAGAAGGAAAAGGAGACACAGCGTGAGACGCGTAGCAGTAAAAAGAAAAAGGAACGCGCAGCCGAAGAGAAGGACAAGGCCAAGGAACAGAAACAGTCGGAAAATGGAAGCGTCGATGCAGATGTCACAATTGAGTACGTGGTAACAATTTTAATCGAAGCTTGCACTATTTTTGTTGATTAAACTGGTTATGGTGTTCTCAAAAGTCAACCTCTGCAACTAGAGTACTCGTAGCTTAAAGCTTTCCCTCCTTGCCACTAACATTTCGAATCGCCCACAGATATGTGCCTGAAAAGATAACAATTGCGGATCTGGCGCCCATGTATCGTCAATTCTATCGTGTCTTCGAGATTTTTAAACTGGAGAACAAACCGAAACCCGCTGAGAAGGATAAGGCGGCGCTGGATGCGGAAGCATTGGCCAAAGCTAAGAAGTTGACTAACAAAATGCACGATGATGACGACGATGATGCCGACGATGACGATGACGCTAAGGATGATAAGGAGAAGCTCTCCAAGCGCAAGCTTAAGAAGCTCACACGTCTCAGCGTGGCCGAGCTGAAGCAGTTGGTCTCACGTCCCGATGTTGTCGAAATGCACGATGTAACGGCACGGGATCCAAAGCTGCTAGTGCAACTGAAAGCCTATCGCAATACGGTGCAGGTGCCGCGTCATTGGTGCTTCAAGCGCAAGTATTTGCAGGGCAAGCGTGGCATTGAGAAGCCACCTTTCGATCTGCCTGCGTTTATCAAGAAAACTGGCATCATGGAGATGCGTGAATCGCTGCAGGAGCGCGAGGATGCCAAAACGCTCAAGGCCAAGATGCGTGAACGTGTCCGTCCCAAAATGGGTAAAATTGACATTGATTATCAGAAGCTGCATGACGCCTTCTTCAAGTGGCAGACCAAGCCGCGCATGACCATCCATGGTGATCTCTACTACGAGGGCAAGGAGTTCGAGACGCGTCTCAAGGAGAAGAAGCCAGGCGATCTATCCGAAGAATTGCGCATTGCTTTGGGCATGCCAGTGGGTCCCAATTCGCACAAAATACCGCCACCATGGCTGATTGCCCAGCAGCGCTACGGACCGCCGCCCTCGTATCCAAATCTCAAAATACCCGGCTTGAATGCGCCCATACCAGATGGCACCTCGTTTGGCTACCATGCGGGTGGCTGGGGCAAACCGCCAGTCGATGAACACGGCAAGCCACTCTATGGCGATGTATTCGGCATGAATACGCTTGACTTGGATGTGAGTAGCGGCAAGATTTCAAATCAAAATCAATATATATATATTTAAATATGAATCATAATTCTTAGAACGGCATCGACGAAGCCGACATTGAGCGCAATCAATGGGGCGAACTGGAGTCTGAATCGGAGGAGTCTTCCGAGGAGGAGGAGGAGGATGGTGAAGATCTGGGCAATCAGCAGGATGAAACCGGCCTAGTTACGCCAGTTGAGGGTCTGGTTACGCCGTCGGGTCTAACCAGTGTGCCAGCGGGCATGGAGACACCCGAGAACATTGAATTGCGCAAAAAGAAAATCGAAGCCGAAATGGAGGAGTAAGTTTACAATGTTACCAGCCACCAATCATTGGATTGAAACTAACCAAGTCCTATTCGTCTACAGCAATGAAACGCCTGTATTGTATCAGGTGCTGCCGGAGAAGCGCACAGACCGCATAGGTGCTTCAATGATGGGTTCCACGCATGTTTATGACATTGGCGGAGGAGGCACTGGCGCAAGTAAACAGCCGACGGTGCGATCTACAACAACAGATCGTGAGGGCATTGTTGAGCTGGCCTTGGATCCCAGTGAATTGGATCTGGACAACGATGCGATGGCCCAACGCTATGAGCAGCAAATGCGCGAGCAACAGAATCACTTGCAAAAGGAGGATCTGTCGGACATGTTGGCGGAGCATGTGGCGCGTCAGAAATCGAAACGTAAGCGACAACAAACCGATCCAGCAAAGACCACTAAGAAGTACAAGGAGTTCAAGTTTTAGTATAACAATAACAATAATAATGATAACATTTGTGTATTCGCGTTTTGCCGATTTCTTGATTTTTATAGGCGAAAAGATTCAAGTCAAGATTTTCATTAAACAAAAATTAGTAAAAATGTACAATGCATTTTTATTGGAAGTCTCAAATCTTTATAATTGTCGGGCTGACCGCTGCACGGTTGATGAAGATCAAAATCTTTACTAATTCAACAAATGGCAGTTTGGTGGGGTTATTATATATTCTTGTTCAGACCATAATAGAGGGATTGTACATTTTGTGTATATTTATAGCTTTGAAAACTTTAAGAAAAAGTTTTTAAAATTATTTATTTATATTGTTCAGCCTGCAAGCATATTTCAGAGGATAGTTGTTGCTTTTGTTTATATCTAAAGAAAACTTTAGTTTGAGCCATGTTGAAAAATGCTTTTAAATTGTATAGCTAAAAACTGTTCATAATATTGGTTTTACGTTTTTGAAAAATATCTTATTTTAAGAGTTTCGATGTGTTGCGAAAACAGGTAATTTTTTGTTTGTTTGTAAATGAAAAAAATCGTTTGTTTTTTAGTCACAAAAATTTGTTTTATAGATGATATTATATTTTTCATTGCAATCAAACTTATTGGTGTCGGAAAACTTACATTTGTTGCCTGTGTTGGATTGTGTTGTGCTAGAGGGCCAGTATTCCAGAACAAAGCAAATGAGATGTGCAATAGGAGATACAGGTAATAGCATGTCCACGTGTCCTGAAGGAGAAAAAACACCTGCTGGAGCTGGATTAGCGTATGTTTTTTTTTTGTACACAACTAAAGCACACTGCGCAGACTGGCTATATTATGGCTATAGCTGACTAATGCTAACTGCTGTTATTGTTAATTTAGCTTTCAATCTTGCAACCTGGGCAGGTCATTCGTCTAACTGTTCATTGAGCTGGGCTAGCAGCGCAGCTCGCTTTGATTCCAGTTCACCATCGCTAAGCGTTAGCTCCTCGTTCCGGGATGTCGCTGAGTCTGATTGGGCGGCAGGACTCAGAGGCGTTGTAGACCGATTGATTCGATGCCTTTTACCTTCCTTGTCCCTTTTGGTGCGCTTCTCCTTTTTCTTCTTTTTGGCGGGTGAATGCGAATTGGAATCGTTTTGCTGCAGTGCAACGCTTGTGATTGGCGTTAAATTGCCCAACTCGGATTCGTAAGAAGACTGCAGAAAATGATAAAAAAAATTGATTTTTTCAATACATATTTAAACGCTAAACGATTGGAGGACTTACAGCTCGTGATTTATTCTTACGCTTTTTCTTCTTTTTCATAAGCTTTTCGCTCTCAATGCTGCCAATCGAACTGAGTGTATTCTGTGTGCGAGGGGAATATTTCATTGGATAAGTTGCAAAAATATTAGTTTGTTATTAGTTAACTCACTGAGCGTGATTTTGAGCGTCGCTTCTTGAATTTCTCTAGTTCGACCACCTCGTTCTCAATATCTGATCTCGACGTGGAGCGTACACGTTTTTTATGCTTTTTGTTCTTTTTCGATTTACGTGATCGTGAATGATGATGACTGCACGCATCCTCGCTTTCCTTGATAAAGTCCTCCCAGATCTTTTCCACGCCAATTTCTTTCTCGTACAACGCAAATGCCTCCAAATGTTCGACCAGCTTTTTGGCACTCTCATACGGCTCGTCAACGGACACATTCACCTCCAGCCATTCGTTCTTGATCTCATTCTCCAATTTACGCAATCGTCGCACTTCCTCTTTCATTCGCTCTTTTTCAATTGCTTCAGCCTATAAACATAAAAAAAAAACAAAAACAAATTAGTATTTTTATGTATGTCAAAACTATACATTTTTCTTTTCTTTGTACCTTCTCCAGCAGCGAATTGTAAGTTAGCTTAACATTGCCCGCATCCAAGCTGGCGGAGCGTTTATCCTCACACACAACTGTGGCAAAGTCCTCAAAGGATGTCTTGGCCTGAACAACAAATTGCTTCTCTTTGAGTATTTCGCGTATAATCTTCTTTTCGTCGTGGAAACGTGCCTTCAAATTCTCCACATAAAACTTGAAGAGATCCAGCGGCGTTGAGCCACTCTGTCCCAGCATGGCAGAGAAACGTATGTCCGCCGATATAATGGGATACAGTTCCACCCACAACGACATCGAGGTGAGTTTTCCCTCTTCGTGCAGTGAGTCAAGCAGAGCCAAGAAACCATCGCGGTTTTTGCGCTGCTGACGTTTTACACGTTTCTTCTCTCTTTCTCGCTCCTCCTCTTCTTCCTTCTCCAACGTGCGTATGTGCTCCTCGAACACTATTAGTGCATCCTCCTTGTCCATGCCAAGCAGCGTGACATCGTTCTTGAATGCCGCATTGTCCAGCAACATCACCTGCGCCTCGGACCATGTGCTGGTATATGTAATGGAGGTCATTGACTCGAGCAGTTCGCCAAGTACTTTCATATTTCGTTTCTTGAGCAGACGCGCCTCCTCCTTCTCACGCTTGGCCAAATTGAAAATGCAATCCTCGTAGATATCGCGACGATCCTGTTCTGGTACCGTTGTCCATGTGCGATTACTCGCAAAGACCTCCTCACAGCGAAAGTATTTCATTTGTGAGTTCATCTTATCGCTGGACATGAGAAACTGTTCCAAATCCTCCTTAGCCTTTTTAGCACGAAGTCGCGACTCCTCGCGCTCATCCTTTAACTTTTGTGTCTTATACGCATTGAACGTTTGTTTTCGTTCGTTGAGCGTTTTGAAGGCATTGTAACGCGGATCTTTTGATATGATCTTAACGCACTGATCCCAGTTGGCAGTCGAGGGCACATTGCGATCGCGCAATAGCTCTTTGAATGCCTCAATTGCCTCCCGCTTGTCCTTAAACACGAGCGAGTTGTTATCTCCATTGGATCTATCCTCTTTTTTAGCTTAAAGTGCAATAAGTTAAGCATGAAAAGCATCAGTTCAAGCAACGCTTTGGCTACTCACAATTTTGTTGCGGAACCTCGATGGCAGCCAGCGTTGCAGCCATTGCCTGATCCATGGCCGAGGAGCTGTTCTCATTGCTGCTCGGCGTCAGCGGTGAGTGTATCTCGGGCGTGGGTATGCGTGGCGCTGCGGGCAATGCAGCTGGCAGGATATTGGCTAGGGCCACATGCGGCACCATTCCGACTAGGCTGGAGGACGTCATGGCGGCAACAGCTTTAGCCGCAGCGGCTGCTCTGCAAATGTACACGTGTTTTTTTTTTAATTTTATTTGTTTTTTCTCAGCAAGTATTTTTGATTTGTTTTCTTTTATGTAATTAATGAATCTACACTTAGCATTAGATACTTACTCCTCCGCCTTAGCTTTGGCCTTCATGTCCACATACTCTGGCGGTGGCTCCCAGCACGTCTCCTTTGTGGTCACATTGTGATAATAAACTTTGTTCGCATCCGAGCGATATTCCTTCCAGGGGCACTGATTGTGCAGCAGCTCTGCGGGCGTCATTAGCGCTTCCGGTTTCTCCCACGAACTTTGCTTTGTATTCTGATTGTAGTAGTAGGGTCGTCCGTCGGGCGCCTTATGCTCTGTCCATTCCGTATTTGAGGCGAGTGCTCCAAATGCGGCCGCCAACTCCGGCGGCGGTGGCGCTCCAAAGCCCGGCGGCGGCAGATTGAACGGCGGCACCGGTACCATTCCAGGCGTGTGCGTGTATCCCATGCCGCCCATTGCGGTGGCTGGCTGCATCGGCATTGCTGCGTTGCCATTGCCAGCGCTAGGAGGAACATTCATTTCACTATTTTTCTATATGATTTAATGGATTTAACGTTTGGTACGAGTACCGGTCGTATTGTTGCGGCAGCCAATTTGATGCTTTTCACAATTGCAAATTTTAACTAGTTTTTTTACACTTCTCCTCGTTTTGCCATTCACAATGTTGTTGCGTGGTTCTGGTGTTACCAGATTTTGCAAACATTTTACTCTTTTTTTTAAAGCAATATTTAGCTTATTTTTAATACATATCGCGATATGCATTCCTCCAAGCATATCGATACGAATATCAACAAACTAATCGGATTTAAATTATCGTTATTAAAATTTCAATTTGAATTGCAATTATTGACGAGGCTTGATAATTTCGGAGCGAGTGCAGATCTATAATTAGTTAATAAAATATGTAAATATTAGTTTCATACAAGTAAGAAAATAGTTTTAATTTACAGTCAAGTACTGAAATGTAATTAAGGCTATGACCATGTTTGGGACGTGTTAAGTTTCATTTGTCGAATTCAATTACAAAAGATAAGAAGCAAACCCACAGTATGTGTTTGTGGTGACAACAGAATCTAATATATTTAGAACTAAGTATCTTGTGTATCTCATTCATTTTCGATTATTATTTTTCTACGATGCACGGACGACTTCTGCTGATTGCGATCGTAACTCTCAGTGCCATAGTGATCGGTTGCAGCTTTATCATTCTTCTTATTTGTATCTTCATAATATAGGGAGTGTGGCAACGAAGTCGACTTACCTTTCATATTCACAAAGATATACAACTGACCAGAGTCCTGTGCAAATTGCAGCCTACAGCGATTAATGTAATGAATGAGGGTATCTCTGACCAATCAGTGTCAAATATTAATTGATTAAGTTTGAAAAAATTGTGAATGAACTGAGTGATTGCTTGCTTTATCTATGTCTATGTATCTTGCAGGCTATGTGTCTGTCTGTCCGTATGACTGCACTTTCTGTTCCTGTTCCTCGAAAGCGGGAGACTTATACTAGTTCAGTGCGTCGGAACAAGCTTTAAAATTAAGAGTGCTACGTGCATTAGGAGGCTAGGAAATCGATTATCGCAAATCTAGCAAATAAGGCCACACATTATGTTCACACATATGGACGGACGGACGATCATCGCCATATCTATTCAGCTTTAGAATATTTGGGGTCAGAAAACTACTATAACATTGAAACCACTTTTAGGGGTTTAGGGTATAAAAACGCTGTATTTAAGCAAAGAGAAAAACAAATAAATTGAAAGTCTGCTCGAAAGAGCAGATCAGTTCGCATTTAAACGTCGCCTCTGCATGTTTAATGACGCAATAGAGGTCTGTCAATCAACTTGTGTGTTCAGATTAAATTATTATGTTCCTTCGTTCGGTGCTGCATGGACAATGTCTGCTGATTGCAGTCATAATTCTCAGTGTGATAGTGATTATTTATTTTACCATAACACTGGAACATTTACATCGAATTTACAATATATTGGATATCACACACCTTCAGGATGTTTTACTCTCTAACTCAAATCCTACGCCTGGACGAACCATTTTCTTCCACGAGACCACTTGCAATAATCGCAGTTCGGAAGATTCCCAGTTCCAAGTGATGAATTTGACGGTCAGACAAGCTTGTGCAATTGAATCAGCTGCATTACATAATCCAAATTTTGATGTGTTCGTTCTGTTTACCTGCCCTACGCGACGTCCTCTATCCATCGCCCAAAAGTCCCTAATCAATGCAATAGAAAGCTATTCGAATGTTCAGTTCCGGCAGTTAGATGTAAAAAGGTATGCGAAAGGTACTCCAGTCGAGGTTTGGATCAAGAAAGGTTATGTGCTTAAAGGACGGTAAGTTTAAAAGTGTATTTGTGAATTTGTGACTAGTTTAATTTTGTCTCTCATTCAGATTTCCAGTACACCACACTTCCGACTTACTTCGTTTGATAAGTCTTTATCGCTATGGAGGCATCTACATGGATATGGATGTTATTGTCCTGCGCAGCCTAGAGGATGTGCCCTTGAATTATCTGGGTGCAGAAACTTTCGATCTCTTGGGCAATGCTGTCATCAGTCTGAAACCCAATGGCACAGGCCACGAGATTGCCGAATTATTTCTCCGAGATTTCCAGATAAACTACAATGGTCGACATTATGTAGATAATGGGCCAGCTCTTGTGACACGAGTTGTTACAGCAATTTGCGGTGTAAAACTCGTTAAGGCCATACAAGAGGACAGCAAAACTTGTCGGGGGCTTAAGTTATTTAATTCAACGGCCTTTTATGCGATTCCCTGGCAGCAATGGGAGCATTTAACAAAGCCCCAATACTTGAAAGACACAATGGAAAAGACTAAAGACTCGTATTTGATTCACTTATGGAATAAGGTTTCCAGTAGGGGACTAATAAAGGTCGGTTCCAACACAGCTTATGGCAAGTATGCGGAAAAACATTGTCCCAAGTCTTACGCTGCAGCTGGTGAATATTTTTAAATGTTAGTATATACATTTTTAGATGTTGTTAGTTAATACTATAACAAATAACAATAAACAGAAATTTCATCAAAAAATTTCTATATATAGTGTATTTATTGTTATACGCTTCTTACAGCGATTTTACCTTGTGTCGGCGAGGCTTCAGTTCAAGAGTCGCATCAGCCGAGTGTGGTTCAATGTAGAAGTTGTTGTTGATAGCTTGAGAAAAAGCAATTTTAAAATAATGGACGAATCTAGTAGCCCGACGTTAAATATTTAAACTACCGTCTTTTTATACAACTGAACAAACATTGCATAAACTTCTAACACATTCACTCGCTTATAAAATCCTAAACAACAAATAAAAACCTTGGAGTCGGACGTCATCAACTGCGAAAGAATCTTACAGCAAGAAGTAATATTATCTGATAACAGGCGCCGCGGTACCGAAAAGAAAATATTCGAGAAGGTTCCAAGTAATCTACCTTCCGAGATTGGTAGATTTAGCTTTTATGTTGCAAGAGATGTAAGTTTTTGGGAATTGGAGAAGGGTCCTAGTATGTGCCTTACAAGTTTGATAACTTTAGCTCTTAAATTGCTCTACCTCTTGCTTTCAAATTGCCTGAGATAAATGATTTAATCGATTCTTTCAAGCTATTGCTACTTTCAAAAATTGTTGACTCCAGCTTACAAATGATGGAATATATATAATTTTAGATTTCTAGGGCCGAGCTTCCTGGGGTGGCAGGTGTGAGCGTGGTCTGAAAATGTATATGCTTGTTTGCATAAGTTTAGCGACATTATCATTAAAATTGTGGGAGATATGCGGTTTAATCGATTTACACTTTCAGAAATATCGCTTTTGGCAATAATGGGCGCAGGTGTGGGCGTGGCCGTATTTTTTAGCCTCACAGTGGATTTAGTTCCTTAATTTTTACACTTTGTATGTATGTTTGTATATGCTCCAAGTTTCAAGGCTCTAGCTTTAAGGGTGTCGAAAAGAGAGGCGCTCATGCGGACGGATAGATCGCCAGACAGCATGACGAACACTGCTCAAAACCAATATAATATAGAAACCTCTGACAACATCTGATCGCACAAATTTTTAAGTCAATCAATAAGTAATTATTATGCCTGAAGCTATGCAATAGTTATCTACCTAACCCTATTGGTGGCTATGCAGGCTGTACTCCAGTCATTTTATTTATTTGACCGTGTAGTGTGCTTGTTTAATTTACTAAAATACTGTGCCTAAATTTATGCAATTGTTATTCGAATACCAAGCCGAGCTATTGCCGACATCCTCTATGATATGACAATTTCGACAATAATCAATCTATCCGCAAGCCCAATTAGATGTCCCACCTTCAAAAGCTCTCTTAAATTAAGTATGAGAGAGCCGTTATAGGTAAAGAATACAAAAATCACTCAACTTTAATCGCAAATACAATGAGCGAAAGCTTATTGCTCTCTTTAAAGATCTGCGCGAGAAAACTGAGCGGGCTTTTAATATGATTACTCAAATTAAAGCACAGTCTGAAAGTATGCTATATAAATAAGTAAATTTATAATAAATAAAATAAGAAAATTAATTTAATAATTAAATAAATTAATCAATTCGTGTTGCACTAATTCTCCTTACGAAATATTCCAAGATTTTTTTATTTCATTTTAGAATCTCGCTACGATTTAAATTATAAAGTAAAGACATGAAATTCACAATTTATAAATTCAAAAAGAAAAAATAAATTTACACAAAACATATTAAAATACACCACAGCCAATATAAAAGTCTTAAATGAATTTTTATAAAAGTAAATTTACATAATTAAACACCCCAACTATCTTTAGGACGTGAGAAAATCCAAATAAGTGTATCAAGTATATTGTTATATTAATTTATTACTTTTCATGTTGGTGAAAGAAAAAAAAGGGGGAGAAATATATATAAACTCACTAATTTGGATCCCACATGTAGAGTGCGGAAATTTATTCCACTCAAACTCTCAACCGAAGCTGAGCGAGCTTTGAAATTTGATCGATTTAAAAGATCATCTCAGAAGTCTGCAACATTTTAGCTTGGATTCGCCCTCAAATTCAAATCAGCACTACTGATCACACAGCCGGAACCAGCGCGGTTCCTGATCCTGAACCTTCATGTAAGCTACAATAACATATATTTCAATAAAATTCTTGCCAAAAGTTGGCATAACAGGATCTTTGGACTGGAGTGGAGTAGCATATTCTGATAGCTACTTTTCTTCCAGAATATCGATAATAGTAATTATAGATAAAGCTTCTTCAATTTGAAGTGAGCTCAAAATTACATTAATCTCCTATCCGAAGTCAACCACCTAACAATTATATAAGTAAATTATATAGAAATGAGTTTAATAACTCATATTTAGACAAGCGTGGCCGTAATTAAATGCGATCAAAGAATAGACAAAACATATGTACATACCAAATATATTCAGTAGAATTTGCGTCAATGCCTTTTGTGCGTCACACATTTCTATTTGGTACGTTACTTTTGTGTACGTGTATTATTCAGAAAATAAATTTCTAAGCTTTATGGTTGCAGCCTTCTAAGACATAGGATTTGTATTTTTAAATGTCAGGACTTTTTTTTTTTAATTGTGAGAAGATATATCTGTTTTTCTGGGGTTTGTAATCTATGTGTTTACATTAAAGAATTCTTGTTTTTTTAATTTTATTTTATATTATTATTAAACATTAATACTTTTAGATTCCACATATACACAAACAATTTATGTAGCTTATAGAATTCATATAGTTAGATTGAAAGAACTTACGACTCCATGGCGATTTGAGCCCGTAATCCTCAGCTTCTAAGGCAGACGACAGCTATACTCTAATATAAAAGTCGAGCAAGTAAATTAGAATAATTGTTTCTGAAGCTTTAAAATAATTCTTGGGGTTGTCGATTTAGGACATGCCTTTACATAATTTTAGAAATCTTTTTCCCAAAATTTAGAAGTTATTAAAAAAAAAAAAAATAGAAAAACTATATATTATTTAGGACGATTTTCATTTTTGGGTGATTTACTAAAATGTAGCGTATGTATTCTCACAATGTGATAATAATTATGTAAATAGCTTCTTTCTTTCTGTTCCTTTGGCACTCACTTCTTATGGCAGATTTATTCTCAAAACTATTACAAGCTTTTGACCCATTTTCAATAAAAACGCAGTATTAAAACGAATAAATTGAAGGCCTGCTTGAAAGAGCAGATCAGTTTAAAACTAAACGTCGTCTCTGCTTGTTTGATAACGAAGCAGACGTGTCTCAACCAACTTGCATATTCAGAAAAAATTATCATGTTTCTTCGCTCGGTGCTGTATGGACGTTGTCTGGTGGTTGCAGTCGTAATTTGTTGTGTGATAGCTATTATTAATTGGGACAATTTACATCGAAATTACAATATCGTGAGCTTCACAAGACTTGAGGATGTTTTACTCTCTAAATCAAATCCTACGCCTGGACGAACCATTTTCTTCCACGAGACCACTTGCAATCGACACCGTTCGCAAGATTCGCAATTTCACGTTATGAATTTGACGGCCAGACAAGCATGTGCAATTGAATCAGCTGCATTACATAATCCAAATTTTGATGTGTTCGTTCTGTTTTCCTGCCCTACGCTCCGTCCTCTATCCATCGCCCAAAAGTCCCTCATCAATGTCATAGAAAGCATTCCGAATGTTCACTTCCGGCAGTTGAATCTACAGAAGTATGCGACAGATACTCCAGTCGAGGATTGGATCAAGAAAGGTTATATGCTTAAGGGGCGGTACGTATAAAAGTCTATTTGTGATTTTGTTATTTGTGATTTTGTTAAAGTGTTCATCGCGCAGATATCCGATGGAACATACTTCCGACCTACTTCGTTTGATAAGTCTTTATCGCTATGGAGGCATCTACATTGATTTGGATGTTGTTGTCCTGCGCAGCCTAGAGGATGTGCCATTGAATTATGTAGGTGCATTTGACAATGTCACCTTGGGCAATGGTGTCCTCAGTGTGGAACCCACTGGAACCGGCCATGAGATTGCGGAATTATTTCTACGGGATTTCAAGAGTAACTACACTGGAGAAGAGTATACCAGAAATGGTCCCCAGGGTATAAGACGAGTGGTGAGAGCAATATGTGGTGTAGAAATCGTTAAAGCCATTGAGGAGGGTCGCAAAATCTGTCGGGGATTTCAGGTATTTAACTCAACGGCTTTTTATGCACTTCCCTATCAGCAATGGAGGCATTCCACCGATCCCGAATTCTTGGAAGACACAATGGAAAAGACTAAAGACTCGTATTTGATTCATTTATGGAATAATCTATCTCATAAAAAGCTATTTAAGGTCGGCTCTAACACAGCTTATGGCAAGTATGCAGAAATCCACTGTCCCAAGTCTTACGCGGCAGCTGGTGAATATTTTTAAATGATTAAATTCAACCAATAGATCTATAAATTTGTACATACTAATTTTACATAATAATTTTGAAGCCTTTCGGCAGTAGTCTATTCTCGAACCTTTAACCTCGTCGTCGCTTTACATAATAACTCTTAAGTTAGTGTTTCTAAGTTAATTGAGCTTTAATTTTGCTATCGAATATTTCGCAATATTGGTTTTTAACAATTCTTGACTAATTAACACTGTTTATATAACGTAATCACTACAGCTAGAAAATAAGAGTCCTGGGGATAAACATAATTAAAGAGTGTTATACAATAAGCCCGTCTTAAAAGGATGTGATCAGGCAAATAAGTATAAAATATTTGAGGAAATTTATGTAATTATTGTCGACTAACATCAGTCCACTCCGAAAAATACATAATGTAATATATAAATCAAATTAAATCAGAAATTAAATGTAGTATTCGAGTTTAAATAAAAATAAGAAAATTTTTATAATATTTTTCGCATTGTTTAATGGAAAATGGTGCAATATTTGTTGTATGAGACTTGGGTAAATCCAGAAAAAACCCAATCCGACCAAAAAAAAAAATGCACTCGAATCTGTTATTCACATGACAAGAATTTTAAAATTGAGACCATTTAGCATAAGCCGACGATTAGGACGGAAGGAAGGTCAATAAGGAGGATTCTACCGCTGTATGTAGGTAATACACTCAAATCATAGCGACGATGAGCAAAAACAACAAATTCTTTTCCGCATATTCCAGTCTGCTTTGGTGAATCAGACATTGTGAGACCAACGCACAAGAGCGGGAAATAGCGGGGAATAGCAAATATGAACAGACAATATAAATACCTTAAGATATCTATAGCCCTAGTGCGTAGGCATAATCTTACATGTAGTAGTGCGATATTAGCGCCCTCTATCGATGATAAAGAGAAGATATGCGGCGACATCTGTCGGTCAATGAGGCGGCTATCGATAAGTGGGACACGGTCGGCGTTTAAAAAAGAAAAGCATGGAAAAATGCTTATTAAATGCAGACGAAAAATACAACAAACATGATAACGCCTGAAGTAAGCAGGCAAAAAATAGTTTAGCTATTTGGACAATAAAAAAATAACAGAAAAATAGGATAAAGAAGAAAAAAGAGCTGGGCATTCAAAGCAAATTTTAAAAATTATCGACCGTATTATTTCTTGCAAACATGAAATGAAATATATCGATGAATATAAAAGTGTGTTAACAATTAGCATAACATCTCCAAAAAACAATATTGTATTTGAAGTTAAACATTAACATCATAACAATATATATATATAATAAAAACTATGAGCTCAATGCACAATGCGCAGCACAGTTAAGTTCAGCAAATTGACAAAGTCAAATTATACTAAATGTCATATACAGTAACAGTAAAGTAACAGAGCAGCACACTGAATAACATGGATCGTTATGTTAACATCGGCATTACATAGTAAAATCCTCTTTGCACAAGCACCAATTGCTGCATGTGAAGTATAGCAAATTGAACTCCATTTAAAAATGTTGTAAGCGACGGTGAGCCAGCTTAATATTATTTATTTGTTGGTGATTGTGAAATAGGCACTTGATTTGCTCAAATTGCAACTTTAATCGACAAAACGGAAAAATATAATACCTATGTGACAATTTTACATATGTTGTTGATGTGTGTATTTGGATTACTGCAAAAACGGTTGTTTTTGCCACAAAGGGTGAAATACATATACATACATACATAGACACTTTTGAACTCCAGCTGCTTGGCCGAATGGTGTTAAGGTGTTATGGGAATGCTACTGGGTCGATATAACTGGTAGAATATTACAAATAAGAAAAAAATCTGCTTGCACAAGTGTAAAAAAAATTAAGACAGTAGCTTGATTTTGTGAGTGATTTTTCTATTTTCACTAACTTGTCTACTTGCCAGTTGGTGTGCGTGTCACCACAAACACAAACACATACACATCTCTTATTTGTACGCTCTGCTCATTAGCGGCTTTTCGGACGTCATTTTTGTGTACACACATACACACTGGTATCGTTTTTAATGTGTGTGTGTGTGTGTCTTTGTATATATACCTAGGCAAATGTACATGGATTATCTGTTAAACAGCTATTTATTGCTAGAGCTTGCTTAACATACATATGTATGTGCATACGTGTATATATTCTACGCTATGTGATAAAAATTATGTAACTTGCTTCTTCTCGGATGCGCAAATTCAAGTAGCTGCTAAATAAATTGTAATCATTTGTTTCGATGAATGACTTTAATGAAATGCATGCACGACGCCCGCATCCCGCCAACCCCTGCGTCCTTTTGACCGCTTGCACTAAGCTGATAAGAGAAATTTTTCAAAGACATACAATTTCAATCAGTGCGATTTGGCTGGAAACTTTTACTCAAAAGTTGGCTTTATCTGTTGTTATATGTGCCTAACATATATATTTTATTTTATTTTTTTTTGCGCTAATTAAATTATTATTTTTCATTTCGCTTTTTGGCGTATGTTTTTGTCGATTTTGCTAATTTTGTTTTCACTCTTCGCTTTGTACAGCGGCTTAGGTGCACCCACAGTTTTTCTAAGTTTCCAAGGTTTTCCGACATTTTGGTGCTGGGTGAAAATCCGGCTTAAGTTTAACGTTTTTTTGAATCCCCTTTAAAATCAGTTCCTCATAATGTTTTTTAATGAAAAGCCGCAAATTTCTACAATTTTCTTGTTTTTTTTTTTTAAATGTCAATTTTTATATGTTTTTAAAAACTAATCATTCACTTATAATCATTCTTTTTTTATTTCTGAAATTTCAGATAGTGGAATTAGTCGCTATTTAAATAATCGCTGAGCAGTGGAAGCGTTCTAAATTGCGAGTGATCGTGGTAATTGAACCAAATACAACAAAACAAAACAACGATTTTCCATTTGTTTGTTCTAGATGGAGATTTGGTAATGAGTTCGTCCTATTCCTCCACAGGTGTACTATGAGAGCGCAGAATGAGACACAGATAATGCCATATACGTTTTTAACATTGCACACGGTAAAATGGATGCAGTATCCTCGATCTCCTTGATATTGGCTGCTTTGTTCATGTACAATGCAGTCGGCGCTATTGGTGCAAATCAACTTGGTTGCATTTCGGTCTACAGTCCAAGGAATGCCACAACACAATCGCTGGAAAGAATCCATAAGGCGCCAGTTACAACTCGCACTTGGCAAGAGCACGAATTCTCACTACTTGGCTACAAATTCTATTTGCCCTTTGTGGGCCACGCAGTTGATCAACTGGATGAGAGTGATGATAGTCTCGATGACGGCTGGTTCCTAGATAATGGCGCCCAGCTATATGCCAGAGATGAGGAGGAGGATGAACGGCCGCTGAATGAAGTTGGTGTTGCTGTTGGGCAAGTGGATCCATCCGGCAACATATTAAAACTACGCTGTCAGAATACAACCATAACAGAGATTAATGCCCAGCTGCAGTTGCAGCAGATTCATCAAAATATCAACTATGAGCAATTGATACTGAAGCATGTGGCAGGGCAACCAGGAGCATCACTTCAATTGCTGCATCAGTACGCCAGCTTACGTCAGCTTAAATGGCGAGAGAGTGAGCTGCTCGATGAGGCATTGCGGTTGCTTTTCGAGCAGCATCCGCAGCGCTATGAGACGCTCGAAACACTGGACGTGAGTGAGAATCGGTTGAACTGCACTCACTGGGCGCAGTCGCAAGCGATTCGCCGCCTTAAGGTACTCCGGTTGACTGGAAATCGCTTGGCCAACTGCAGTCTGGCCGAGATACGGTATATGAATCATCTGATGGAACTGCATCTGGATCGCAATGCACTACGTACGCTGCCCACAAGCTTTGTGCATGAGCTGAGCGAGCTTCGGCTGCTGAATTTAAGCGATAATGAGCTAATGGAACTGCCACGCAACATTTTCGAGGGTGCACTACAGCTGGAAATGTTGCATCTGGCCGGCAATCGTCTGAGCGTCTTGCCCTTCCAGCTGTTCCAGTCGGCCCGCGAGCTGCGATTCCTCGATCTCAGCAATAATCGCCTGCTCTCGTTTCCGGATAATTTCTTTGCACTGAATGGTCAGCTGCGTCAGCTGCAACTGCAGAATAATCAGCTAAAGTCCATTGGCAAACATAGTTTATATAATTTACGCCAGTTGCGTCATCTGGATTTGGCACAGAATGAGTTGGGTAGCATCGATCGTCGGGCCTTCGAGTCGCTGTCACACCTCATTACTCTGAACATTTCGGGCAATAGGCTAACGATGCTGTCGTCCATCATATTCCAGCCACTTGGCGCACTCCAGCAACTGGATCTGAGCCGAAATCGGTTCAAACAATTGCCCGACGGCCTGTTTCAGACGCAACGCAACTTGGTCTTGCTGCGCATTGATGAGACGCCGCTGGAGCAGCTACCCAATTGGATATCCCGCAACGAAGATCATATTGATGGACAGATTCTACATCGTTTGCGCTACCTATCCATGCAAAAGAATTTGCAACTTACTCAGCTGCCCGCAACCATGTTCGGCAATGTGCACAATTTGCGTGAGCTTCTCTTGGCCGATAATAAACTGATCAAATTGCCGCCACAGATTGGCAGCCTGGTACGTCTGCAGCGGCTCAGTGTGAGCGGCAATGAGCTCGGCTCACTGCCCGAGAGCTTGAAGGAACTGAGCCAGTTGCACTACCTAAACATTCTAGGCAATGAGTATCAATGCGATTGCAGCATGTATTGGCTCTCCAGCTGGCTGATGAACGCAACGACTGCGTTGCGCCGCGAGATCACAACTAGCAACAGTCAGACTCTGGACGCTTACGAGCACATCGACAATCAGATTAAAGCACTCAAGTGCCAATACGGCTATCCGGGGGATATGCTAAGTGTGCTGAGCAACCTCAATTGCAGTGTGCCCGTCGTGATGCAGTCCTCGGATCCAAAGATGTACAGATTGCACGCCACTGCCAAGCTCGAGTGCATGGTCTACGGCAGCCCCACACCCGACATAATTTGGGTAAGTATCAAAAGGAGCACTTAAATGTCGCTGAACTAAATTGATATTGTGCCGAAAATTGTATCATAATGTGCCTTGAATATACATTTTTACATAGGTTTGCCATTTAGTGGGACGTAAGTGGGCACTGAGACGAGGTTTTTGGAAAATTTCGCAACACAAGTGGGGGAGAAAATGGTGAAAAATTGTGAAATGCAAATTTATTGGTGTTTCAAGATCTTTTTCTAAATTGATTTTTCATCTTTTTTTTTTTTAATTCACTCGTATGTTGTATTGGAAATTTAATTTTTGTTCGATTGGCTTCAAAGGCATAGAGATATGATCTCTAAATATCAGATTATTATATACCGATTTTAGGAAATCGGAAAATGATTGGAAACTTGGTATGCAACTTTTTTGGTCGTACCTTGAACCTATTTTAAGTAGTCTAAGTGTTCAATCATTTATTTTCTTTTGGAAAATCCACACTTCTGGTTAAAAAATTAAGGCTATAATAAATAATTTTCCGATTGAATTCAAAAGTATTTAGAAAGTGCTACACGAGAATTGAAATGGGGAAAGAATCTGGAATTTTGTTTTTCATTAATTTCACATATTACAAAAGATTGTTTCAAATTGCTTCAATCACTTCTTCAGGTAACTCCACGTAACAAAATTCTGCGCCATCATGCTGATCCCGACAAACGCCCCATCATAATCAATAGCGATACTGAGCATCAGCCCAACAAGTTTGAACTGTTCGCCCTGACGGATGACAACAATCCGCGTGCGCTGCACATGAACATAAGTCGACAGAAGAGCATTGTGGGACAGCGTGTGGTGCTCATCGAGAATGGTTCGCTGCTGGTGCACAACATCTCGCGTGGAGACAGCGGTCTCTACACCTGCTATGCCTTTAACGTTATGGGCAATGCATCGGCGGGCATCAGGTAATCTATATTTAAATAGTAAACAATGAGACACAACTAATACAGATTCTATTAATGCGATATACACAGACTTTACATCGATCCAATTGTATTTTATCGTGTCAAAATCGAGAGTCTGCTGGCGGGCACCCTGCTAGCTACTGCATTTTTGATGCTCACCCTCATTGTACAGGGATTGCGCAGCTGTTTGGCAAGATATAGTTGCTGCGAGCGTTTGCACTGTTGCCGGAATCGCAACAAGAAGTCCCCAAGATCGCGACAGATTTACGCAATGCTCGATAGCATCGAAAGCTACAAGAGTCAGCAGTTGGAGCGATTGCGAGAGAATTATGCACAGCAGGTGCATCGCATACGTGAGAATTGTACGCAACAATGCGAATGGATACAGAGCAGCTACACAACACAGGCTAAACACATTAAGGAGTTCCGTGACATAGGTTCCACTCATCTGACAGCACTAAAGGATCAATATTATGATCAGGTGAAGAAGGTGCGCGACTATTCCACAGGCCAACTGAGCTGGGTGCGCGAAAACTATGTCTTCCAGCGCAACAAAATACGGAAATTCAGTGCGCATCAAGTTTTGCGATTGCGCGAAGGCTATAAATACCAGCAGCAGTCGTTGAATAAGGTTCTGGAAAATTTGCCTAGTTTCTACTTTGAGAACTGTCGCGGTCGCTGCGAGGAGGACATTGTTGAGGGTAAGTGTTGCTATGTAAATTTGTGTAATATTTAAATCAATTCGTTGCTTTATTCTGCAGACATAGACTGCTATTTCAAGGGCAAAATGGAGAAGGAGCTGCACATACAGAAGATAAAATCACGTCTGATGGCTGCCAACAATTCGGCTAGCAAGGCTTCCGTTTACTATACGCCACCAGAGGATGATCTGTTTCAATGCTCCCATTTGCATATGCAAACATCGCCCATACATATTAACTATATAGACGAAAATTTAGATCATCAGAAGCTCGAATTGCACGACTTTAAAATGGATCCACAACTGCTTTTTTTTAGCAAATCCCTAGTATATGTGAACCCAGAGGGGGCGAGCAGCAGTCAGGCTGCTGCCGCGGCAGCTTTAGCTGCATGCAGCATCGAGGATAATAATCAGAATGCGCAGCTATCGGAGGAGCAAATAGTCAGTCAAATGGAGATGAATGAACTGAAGGATGCGAATGATGTGAAAAATTCCAAATCGTGTCCTGCTATCTATAAGGTATCCAAGCAAAAAGATGGTAGCACTCTGCATGAACTTCTAACCACAGACGGAGCGCCACATCAGATGGTGCATCTGAATGCGATGGATGATACGCCAATGACGCCGCTGCAAGTGCCCAAGGAGAAGCTTAACATCATTTTAGATGACTGCGGCAAAGATCATCATCATCATTATCCAGAGATGAAGACAGAAGTAGACAAGGATTCCAATATGACGCCATCGGAATACAGTAGCTGTCAATCATCCAATTCACTGGCTAATTCAAAGCTTGCAAATCACACGTAGAGATTTTATTAATTTTAAACTATGTAATTAGAGCAAAAAAAAAAAAACATAAAATGCAGCTAAAACTAAAACACATCAAATTGAAGTTAATGTTGAAAATGTGTAAAATGAAAAGGCATCAAACAATAATTACGTATAGAGTTAATTAGTGCAACTTTAAGAATTTAACTGCTGAATATCAAATGGAAAAAAGGAAAAAAAAATTATATATATATCAATAAATTTAAAACAAGAAGTCATACGATTTAAATGATAGTGAAACAAATTGAAAACCTGAAATATGCTGCTTTTGAAGGTATCATTAATTATGTCAATAATACTTGAAAGGCCCCCCATTTGTGATTGCAAATATAATAATAATAAAGCGATTTATTTATAGACAACGCATCAAATCTGCATAAATAAAGACGAGCGTATTTTAAACAAAAACAAATTTTATTCAAATTCTAAAATGGCAACAAATGCAAAAAAAAAAGGAAGATATAATGTGTACAAATAAAGCTGTGCAGCGAGTTTCTGATAAATCAAACAACAAATGGTATAAAATTCGAAAGTTTATATTCACAACTATAATTATATAATATACAATTTTTTATAAAATAATTTGTATATTTTTGGAGTGCTTCATGTACGTTTCTTGCAAGGGTTTATATATTTTAATAGTGTTCCACTAACTTTGATTGTGGTTTAATTAGACATCGTGGCAGTTGGCCTGCTTGAGCACCTCAATGGCACAGGGATTGGCATCGATTTTGCATGGATCGGTCTCTGTGTCGGCTTCAGTGAGATCATAATCGCACTCGCAAGGGAAACATTCCATTTCACCCTCCTCGCCCTCGGTTTCGCCTTCCTCGCCCTCGCCATAGAAACTAATCTTCTCCTGACTGAGCACACTCGGCTCTGTGGTTAGCGAGCATATCGATAGCTCCGAGTCGGAGACGGGCAGTGGTACCGGCTCTTGCGGCAGCAGTGAGTAATCGTAGACAGCAATCTCCTGGGCAAACCACAATGTCGGAATTATCTCCATGTCCATGTCCTCTTCTTCCACTTCTTCGTTAGCTTCATCCTCGCCATGATCGACGGAAGAATGACGGTTGTCGTCCGGTAAAAAGTAGCCAAGGAGCATATAGCGATTATTAAAACTAAAGACTGCCGGACCAGTGGGATACAGATTATCCCAGATACCGTGCAAAATGGTGCAATTATCACCGTTGCCAATGTAAAGCTCAAATGGACCCATCCGCACATTGCTGCTCCAAGTGGACTTGAGGCGCACGGACATGCAACAGTTATCCCTCTCCGATTTGAAGCTATAGATACCAACACCATGACGTTGCCCCTTGAGCCAATCACCCGAATACACATCCCCATTGGCATAGTTGTAGCGCCCCTTGCCGTGCTTCAAATGCTTGCGCCAGTTGCCCTCGTAAACGGAGCCATCGGGATAAATAAAGATGCCGCGTCCACATCGCGTGCCACAACGATATTGTCCATAATAACGAGCGCCATCCTTGAAAACATACAAACCAATTCCATGGCGACGACCCTTGCGATAATTGCCATCGTACTGATCTCCATTGGGCAGAATTGCCCAACCGCGTCCATGGCGCTGCCCCGAAGCATTTCGTCCGCCTATATATCTCTGTGGGCGGGATAAGGATCAAGACTTAAAAGTCCAATTGGAGCTGCTAGAAAACAGTTGACACCTACACCAATATTGGGACCCTCGTCCTCCTCATCGGGCACCGACAGTTCCGACCCATCCGACAATTCGGTAGCGCTCATGATATAATATTAGTTTTATTTATTTCGCGACTGATTGTTATGTAATATATAATTTAGTTCTTAAATTAGATTTTACTCGGAAACTATTGTGTTGTAAGAATTCACACAAACTATTTAAACAGTTAAGGCAAATGCTTGCTACAAATATTTGGAAAAGATATAGCATTTCAGATTGATGACTGTGTTGCGTAAAAGAAATTGGCCAGCGGATATCGTATAAAGAGGGCTAGGAGTGAGCACAGCACCTGGAAGCCCATTAGCATTTCGGTGGCCACACGTTCATGCACAGGTCCAAAGACGACCAGCAAAAAATTGATTAGTGTAAAATTGTTGGTCACAACTCGTCCGTCGGCCTGTTCCTGCCAGCTGATGACGCGCAATGCTCGCAACACTATCACCATTAGCCGGCCCAGGCTGCTCAGTTCGCTCATGCGAAATTCTGTGGTGCTGATGTGGAGCAAATCCGATTTGGCATCGTATTTGGGCAGTCGATGTCTTGGGCAGGGCACAAAGTGAAATAACTGCGGCGTCGAGTACAAGAAGTTCAGAATCTGTGGCAGAAAGAAGAGCAACAGAGTTTTGCTAAAATGACCCAAAATACCAACGACGGCAAAGGACATGCCGGCAAAGTAGCAATAAGTATCGCCCACAAACACTTGCGATGGATACCTGTAAGAATAACAATTTGAATTTTTAAAATTAACGATCAATATTTGAATCATTAAAAACGCATTGATCGATAAAATGTTCGCATGCAGACACAAAGACAGTTAATCCAATTAGTCGAGCGCTAGCTGGAATAACGAGTGTGACGTCACATATTTGCAATGCGACCAAAATAAAAAATTCAGCTATTGCACTCGATATAATCGTGTTGCAATCGAAACAGCTGAGCATGCACATGGTGACTATACAAGGTTGTACCAGTGCCTGTCTGACAGCCCCTGGAGGCAGTTAAATCATAGATGTAATAAACCATAATCTTATTAAAATTTAATAATGCAACACACTCCCAGTTTTGTAAGCAAGCAAATAAAGTTTGTAAGCAAGCAAATAAAGTACATAAACACGAGCAAGGGTCAACAAAAAAAATAGTTTGCCAAACTACTGTCAAGAGTGCTCATAACTCGAAAATAAGACGTGACCTTGTATTGTTAACCATGCACTCAAAGAGAGGAGCATAATGTCTAAGCGACAGCTGTGAGCTGTGCGGGTGGGCAGCAATGACTAAAAAGTGGGTGTGTTAACTGCAAAAAAAAGGAAAGCCGAAAACTAAACTAAAACGTAAAACGTAAAAGCAGTCTGACCAAAAATAAGAGTCATGTGCTGTGTGTGGTAATTAAGAGCAGACAATGGCCCGAAGCAGTGCAGTTGGGAGCCACCACACAATAATAACGCTGGCAAACAGCAAACGGCTTGTTTTGTGGGCTGTGGTCCTGGTCCAGTTGGGTTTCATTGGCTGCATTTGGCTGCTGCAGAATAATCGCAGCCAGCAGATGCAGCAGCAACCTGAACTGGACCTGATGGGACGTGTGCATTTCGTGCGGCAGTCGCGAAATGCCAGGCTTAAGCTGGATGAGATGCAGCATATTCGGCGATCGCATTGTTTGCCCAGCGAGAACATAAATCGCTATCAGCAGGATTTCTATCAAATGAAAGCGGATCAAGTAAATCGCTCGGCGGACTATGCTGCACCAATATACATGGATCTGGAGCTGGCGCCAGCGCTGTGGTGCTATCGGGAGGGCACACTCAACGAGTCGCGCAACGAGCGCAACAACATTGACTATCTGCAGGCACAGCCGCAGTGTCTGTGTGCCAGCGGTTGGCATGGCCGGGACTGTGGACAGCCGGAGATTATATGGCGGGCGTTGATGACGCATCGACGCACCGGTCGTGGCAATGATGAGGCGCCATTGAAGTTGCGCGAGGCGAGCAGCACATCGTTGAAGCGTCTCTATTATATGCTCGAGCTGGGCGATTGGGAGCACATCAATATGGAGCTGCTCGAACTGCAGCTGCGCACCCTAATCCACGTTGTGGACTATTTTTGTATCTACTACTATGTAAGAGAGCGACCCACCAAGCACACGGATTTGACGAGACGATCGCTGGAACGGCAACTGGATGCAATGCTTATTAGCAGCTATGTGCTGTACCAGTGCGAGAATCACTCCCACTGCACCAGCGCCGTGGCATACAATTATTTTCGTTATCAGCTATGGATGCTGTGCAGCATTCAAATGCAGCCCACCGATTTGCTATTGTTTGGCAATGGCGAAACTGTTTATGCACCGATTGCATTGAAATTTCTCAAATACTTTGCCGCAGATGTGCTGCCTCTGCGTTTCCGGCTTAAGCACAATGTGTACGGCTTCTACTGGCAACATCCGGAACGGACGCGTCTGCAAGGCGTCATTGGGTCAGTGATGCACATGCATGGCGATCCGCAGCGAATGGAGCGACAGGCGAGCTATACGCTCGGTGATCTCAATCACTATGGCGGCTGGAGCTGTGAGCTCTGCATGCCGCCCGAGCAGATTGTGCACAAGCTGACGGCAAGCGCTGTTGAGAGACCAGGGGCGAGCAGCACCGTGCGTTTGCCCAATGGGACCCGAAGTTCCCGCATTGATGCCGCCTATGTGCAACAACTGATGACGGCTGGCATGCATCTGGACGGCACCACAATGCTGTTGCGTCTGCGGCAACAGAGCGAGAAATATTATGCGCCGGAAACGGCGCTAATTCATAGCAGTCAATTTGGTCAATTGCTTGTCAATTTGTATGATACGAATGAACTGGACGATGTGCAGGAGGACGAAGACTAATGACTTATGACTAGCACATTGAAAGTCACGGTTAAATCCTAATCATCCTATCCACCCGGCTAGTTGTACTCATATACATATATTATTAATGTGCCTGCTTTCCGATCTTACACGCTTTACTTTAAGCTAAACATATCGTCATATTTAATCGTATCTCATTCATTGAATTAATTCAAAATTTAAAATTTAGTATCTCAGCAGGCAGACAGCGCCACCAGACGCCAGACGACGACCATCTCTGTGATAAGAAACTAAACTAGAGAAATGTATTTCAAATGATTCTCAAATTTCATGGAATTTGCTGTTGTGAATTAAGTTATAAAGTACGTAATTTAAGTATGCCAATCCAAAATATAAACAATTTAATTTGTTTATGAATCTATTAAAAATGTTAACAAAATAATTTTCAATAAATATTAAATAAATCGGAAAAAATGTCAAACGACTCAAGAGCTTGTGATTATAATTTTGAAAATTAAAACTTAAGAAGCACCATAAAATTGCTCAATTCGAATTATTTTGTTCTATATAGGAAAATAATTTACAGAACTTACCTATTGAATTTCCATAAGGCCAGCGAGGTAGCAAAGAATGGTATCATAAAATATAGAGAAAACTGATGCGATTCCACTTGATGACCCAGAAACAGCTCTATGAAGTTGAAGACAATTACTGAGCCGGCTATAATAAGAGATTGGCCCACTTCCAGGCCATTGATGCCAGCGAGTATATTGATGGCATTCGTGCAGAACACGGCCAATTTGCCCATGAAAATGTAGTAGAAAATGCCTGAAATATATCATTCGATTAGATGGGATCAATTTCCAGCTGCTCTCTTTTTCGTTATTTATTACCAATGTTAACAGATGTGCCAAAGAAACCACGCGCAAAATTGGGCATCATGACGGTGGTAGAATTGTAGTTGACATAGTAAACCATTAGGAGGGGCAGAGTCGCTATCGTTGGAAGCAGAAGCTTGTTCCGCCAGCGCAGGTCTAGCACATCGTCGGCGAAGCCAAGAAATATCATGCAACATATTGATAACAAGGCGGCAATCAATTCCACAAACTGTCTCAAGATAATAATTATAATTTCGATACAAATGACACAAATGAGTCAGCATTAATTAACCTTGTCATGTGGAAAAGTGATCGGTTTGCCGCCAGTAACTGCATCCGTGGCTGCATCCTCATCGAAGGCAAATGGTATGGGTATAAAGAGAAACATTGAGATCAAGAAAACGCAGCCAATAATCACGCCATAAGATTCGGGACTGCAAAAAATCAAAAGCTGATAAGAATACAAGGACAATATGAGGAGCTCGACTTACACCTGTGGCTTGTCCCGCTTGCACAGATCCTTGCCGCACAAGTTTGCCTTGATGAACATCTCACGGAGGCGGGGAATCATGCGCACCGTAATAAAGTACGCGCCCACGGATATTGCTCCATTTATTGCAATTGCAGACGTAGACATTTCGTAAGCAGTAATTGCACTAATTAGATTACAGTACAGCTGATCGTGTGGCTGCACCAAAATGTTGATTTCCTGTGTAAGAGACTAAGATTGCACTCAAGGGATTGTCAGACAATCATTATGCCAAAACTAAAGCGTGATTTGGGCCCAAAAGAACACGCAATGTCTCCGGCTGAAAATAATAACAAATACAGCTGTTTGGCTCATGTTTACAATTATCGCTCAATTTGACTGCAATCGATTGGGCGCAGGCATCGATTTTGTACTCTGAGTATCGATAACGATAAGTAATTTCAATTTGAAATACATTTTATTGCGATTTATTTTGTTTAATATATAAGAGAAAATTGTGAGTTTTCTTGTTTTATAAACTTATCTTTCGATTTACACATGTACATAAGCAATTCCATAAACATAACATGTACTTAACGAGTGAGGAAAAAATACTTGAAGAATATTAAGTTTGGTCCAGTTTTCATACCTTTCATAACTGAGAATTCCGCTATCGCTCACGAAAAAAGGGGAAAACCTTTTGCAATTCGGCTTTCGATTTGCACGCCTCCACCTTGGGCAACGCCTCAACAATATTCAAAATATATATCTGCAACTGCTGGCGACGTTCCTCAACAAAAACGAGATTCATGTTGCCAAAATGCTTCTTGGGCGGAAACTCAATTGAGCTGATAATGTTGGGATGCGTGCGTAGCAAGGATTTGTGGAGCTTATTAAATTCGCTATAGCGACGAAAGACTGTCCAATGCTCCAGCCGCTGTCGCATGGTCAAGTGCATCTCATACTCGTAATGTGAACTGGAGCGATGCGAGTTGACAAGCTTCACATGTGGAATGGTTATCAGAAAGTTGGAGCAAAACGATGAGCTGGGATCGATGCCAGTCTCATTGAATTGCTTGGTCAGCCTGCGTATGAGCTGGCGATTCTGTAGATTAAGTTCGGCGACACGTGTCTCCAGCAGCGCACAGCGTTCGGTCAATTGAGTCACCTGCTCCACCAGCTGCGCCGTCTGCTGGGTACCGTTGAGGCCATTCGCCGAGGAGGAGGATTTGCTCCACTGCGATGAGGTATCACTGCGATCCTCGAACAGTTCGTGATCCGTCACATTTGCAGCTGCCTCTGCATTAAACTGTTCGTGTTCCTCTGCTTGGCAAGTGGTGTACACATCTGGTAGGGGTGTCTTAAGGAACTCCAGCTCCGGTTCTATGGGATCACAGGGCATCGAACATTGAGGCAACTCGGGAATGTGCCTCAACTCCTGCTCCACTGCCTCCCTAGAAGTAAGTTGCTGCACCTCCAGCATTTCGCGCGGGTTAAGCGCACCCAGCAGATCCTCTGTGGAGGCAGCACATACAATGGGTCGCTCCACAGCTGACGTGACGCGTCCACGCTTCCTAGCTACCACAGGCACCGGTTGCGGTGCATAAATTATGGGCTCCTCTTTTATCAAGCCCGGTCCAGGCGCTGACAGTCGTTTGGCTGCATTCAGATGAGGATTCTCTACGTTTAAAGCAAAGAGAACATCCTTGAGGCTGTCCAGAATGTCGGGCAGTTTCTTCACCGCCTCCTCGTTTAGCAGCAGCGACCACGGCGTGTAGAAACGTTGCAATTGCGCCTCATCACTCAACCAGGTCAGCATGTGACTCTGCAGGCGCTTCTCGTTTAGCGTGGCGCGTATGAAGGCACGTCCACGTCCATGCTTTGTCCAGATTTGCCTGAGCTCATCGTACCGCTGACGTTCATGTGGCGTCAGCTGTGTTTCACAGAAATCCCAAAAGGTGACTTCATTGCTGTTGCTGCCTCCGCCTCCGCCACCTGTTCCACCTGTTACTATCTCGTGCATATTTTGCAATATGCTTGCAGCGGTAAACGTAACATTTAGTGTTTGTCGGAGTCCATAGTTTAGTGTTTCCTCAAGTGCATCGCATAGTTCCTGCACCACATCGTCATTTTCAGTTGCCAGTTCGCGTTTTCCACTATAAAGTTGGCTCGTTTGTTGCGCACTTTGCTGTAGTCGTCGAAATATGTCCTCTCTGCGCTGGCCAAATGTGCTGCCACCTAATGTGGAGCGTATTTGCTCTGGCAATGCACTTTCGGGCATTTTCTGCACTTTATATATAGATAGTTTGTTATTGTTGGGGTTGGTTATTTATTTATTTTCGTTGTCATTGTTTTCCCTTACACAATTTCAGTGTTGGACAATGCCGCTTTGAAGTATATTATCGATATCGCTCTTTATCGTTGTTATATCATTTTGTATTGTTGTATGCCTAAAAATTGTACAGAATGAAATAATTAAGAACATTATCATCAACGTGAGATATAAATAAAAAATATATTTATAATTTATATATCGATTTAGTATGAACAGCTTTTTACAACACTGGCTGACCCACGCGATTCATAGCCAGACAATAACACATCGTTAAGTATCGGCTAAGTGGCGTTTACGCATCACCAATCATCGCAAAACTAGCATTAAATTTGCGCGTAAAAGAATGCCAAAATCTGGCAAAATGTTTATAAATTAACAAATGCAGTGAAAACCCTGCACTAAATCTGAGCCGAAACAAATCACACGTATCCCACGGCGTATTAATTGTGCTAATATGTAAGTTTTCCGATGCGCGAGGACCAATTTGTGTGTTTTCTTTTGTGTTCGTTCGTTCATCGTCTGGTCGCACGGTGCGCTTCATTGACTTTTCGAGCGAGTGTAAATCATATAAAATGACCAAAATCTGCACAAATTAATTCGGCTCTTGCAAGCAACAATTTGATATAGCATTGCAAATAAGTGAGTCTTAAAATAAGTGAATGCAAATGCTACGCAACGGAAGTTGATGAGCACTTCACTAGCAGCTGCTCTACAAAAGAGAGAAAAAGACAAAAAAAAAAGGGGAAACAAACAGAAGCGGAACTGAAGCAGAATTAGAAACAGGCGCCGCTGTTGATGTTGTTGCTTGGGTCCAGCATATGGTCAGCAAGTGCAGGAGTCTCTTTAATGCATGTGTGTGTGCTTGTGTTTGTGTATGTGTATTAGTATTTGTGTATGTTTCAATTGCAGCTGAGAATTCGGTTTACAAATGCGACAGCAAAAAGATAAAATAAAAACAATAATCGAGTAACTTACTGAAGCGACAACAACAATAACAACAATGAATCCAGCTGAATTGCACATGATGTGGATGAGCAGCCAATACAACTCGGAGCGCATATCATTCGAGGATGCGGCCCAATTGCTCACTCACCCAACGGTTGGCCTCTCTGTCATGGAGGACATCACACATCAACCCACATTGGTAAGTCCTTAACTCCGTTCTTTACATAAGTAAATATGTCTGTTCACAGTTCCTTTCTAGACACTAAACAAACCCCTCAAACTCTGTAGGCTAAATATTTACTTAGGAATTAGCGATTTGTATTAGCTATTTATGAATGTAAATACCTCATTAATGTAAGGGTGCAATTATTTTTAAAAGCCAAAAGAATTTTCAATTAAGATAATTCCAATTGAACGTGTAAATAACTAGTTGCTGTCAGCCGGCTTTGTTAAAGTGTCTGTTAAGCGATCTCCTTGTATTTATATATCTGTATCCGGACTGATTCTGGCCTACAACATGAATCGACACTTGAATAGTTTTTATATAATGCACCCCAATGGTTAGAATCTGAGTTAAAGCTGAGCTGCTGCAACTTTAAGATAAAATATTTAGCAGCTGGTTTCTTAAATAGAAACCATAAAAATACCATACATACATGCCTGTAGATATATATATATATATACATATATATATATATATGCAGTATATATATACGTGTATATCATGTGTTTCTGCTTTAGTTAAAAATTGGAATTTGTTTACTTATTTCTTCTACTTTCTTTTCTATGATTTATGTATTGGTTACTACGTTGTATCCGTATCCATTCAACTGTCAACTGTATCCAACTGCCAATTAAAAAAAAAAAACAAACAAAAAACAATCAACACAAAACTGCACACCATCCAAAATTGTCACACATCAACATCAATAACACCACAACAACAACAAAAAAAAGGATATGAGTCCAATGATGAGCATTGTGGGGGGAGATTTTACGGGACAGGCTGCTGCAGCCGCAGCGGCATTGGGCGTTCAGCCCGGAACGCTAATTGCAACGAATACAAATAATTTGTACGGCTTTGCGCACATGGGCGGACTGCAGCAGCAGCTGTTGCAGCAAACCGCTGCGGCGGCTGTCTTTCAAAACTATGCCGAGGTGATGGATAACGATAATGCTGGTGGCGTCGATTCGTCGACGGGCGTCGATGATGATCAACAGGTCTATGGCCAATTGGATGATGGTAGCTATGATGATGGCGGCGCCAGTGGCGGTATGTCGGATCTAGAGCCAAAGCAGGAGATCATTAACATTGATGATTTCGTTATGATGAACGAGGAGAATAATTCGTATGATGGCACTGATTTTATGACCTCATCGGACAAGGACATATCACAGTCCTCGTCCTCGTGCATGACCAACATGCCAACCGTAAATAATAATGATCTGCTCGTGCCACTGGGCGATGGTCTGTTGCATCACAAGCTGTTGGGCACTACGCATGCCATGATCAATGCTACAGCTGCCTCAACCCTAACCGCCGGCATGACTCTGTCTGGCGCTGGTAATGGCTTCACCAATATTCTCATTTCTGGCGAGGATAATGCGGCATCAGCAGCCGCCGCAGCAGCAGCAGTTGCAGCTAACGCAAAGGTTATGCGTACCTACAGCATCGCTCCGGGCGGCTGTAAAGCTGGAAACAGCAGCGCCATTTCCGGCCATGGTTCCGGTTCCGGGTCCAGCACATCATCGATTCGTGCACAGCGCAAAACTCGCAAAATTGAGCCAGTTAATAGACCAGGACTTGTGCTTAAAACACCGATTGCCTACAAGGGCAACATTGATCCTTCGGTAATACCGATACAGAAAGATGGCATGGGTATGTTTTTTTCACCTTCCTTCACTTTACTTTACTTTACTTTATTATTATCATTTTTCGAGCTAAACTTATTGTTACTTTTAATTAACTTAACGGTATTTTTCGGGGATTTTGTCTGTCAGTTTGTCTGGCAATTAATTACCCGATTTAATTATTTAACTAATTCAAGTAATATGTAAATTTTAAGTAAAAAATATTATAAAAACATGTTATATAGTAAACTAATTATTTTAAATAGACCCACATTGGATACATAAAACTATGCTGGCATTTAAAGCAGCATCCTTCATACTTTATATATATATAGTATAAGTATATCTTTTGAGGAATTGTCTCAAGGCAACTTAAGCAGAATCAAATAAGTTTAAAGTAACTTCGGGAGTTGCTAAGCTATATACCTATATCATTTTAAATTGCTGGCATTTTGACTAATTGATTCTTGTAACTATTATCTGCTCCTGCAGCTGTCTGTGAGCGTTGTGGTGCCATCGGTGTGAAGCACACATTCTACACGAAATCGCGTCGTTTCTGCAGCATGGCCTGTGCACGGGGCGAACTCTACTCGATGGTGCTCAATAGCAAAATGGATGCGAGCAGCTCGCCAGCGGCGCAACCACTTGAAATGACAGAGACGAGCGCATTGGAAACAGTGCTCGCCTCCGAACAGGATATACAGGATCAACAGCAGCAGCAGCAACAGTCGGACATTGAGCTAACGCTGCAAGCGGCACATATCAAAAACTCAAATTATCGTTTTCGCATTACGGATCAATCGAAGATCACACAGCTAAATGGTTTTGGAGAGCCGATGTCGCTGGGCGGCGATGCGGCCGCCAACAATGTGCAGATGGCAACGGACGAGACAATTGCGGCGCTAAATGGCGGAGCCGTTGGAGACGCTGCGGCGCCACCAGCTGAGGCTAGCGGCAGCGAAAATAATTCTAGCGGCAGCAACACCACATTTGTGAATGCGGCACCGACGCCGAAAGCGTGGCGACTATTTCGCGATGTCTTTCCGCAGGATGATCTGCCACAAATACCCAAATACGAACGTCTTCCGGCACCGTGTCCCCAGATGGAGAAAATCATTAGCATACGGAGGCGCATGTACGATCCGACGCACTCGTATGATTGGCTGCCTCGACTGGGCAAGGGTAACTTTTATGCGGCGCCTGTGACCTGCTTCCCGCACGCGCCCGGCTATGAGGTGTGGGACAATCTGGGCGTCGGCATGAAGGTGGAGGTGGAGAACACCGATTGCGACAATATCGAGATCATTCAGCCGGGCCAAACGCCCACATCGTTCTGGGTGGCCACCATACTGGAGATCAAGGGCTATAAGGCGCTAATGAGCTACGAGGGCTTCGATACGAACACCCACGATTTCTGGGTGAATCTGTGCAACGCGGAAGTTCATTCGGTTGGATGGTGTGCGACGCGCGGCAAGCCATTGATACCGCCCCGCAGCATTGAGCACAAGTACAAGGATTGGAAGGATTTTCTCGTCGGACGTTTGTCCGGTGCCCGAACATTGCCATCCAATTTCTATAACAAGGTCAACGATAGTCTCCAGTCACGTTTTCGCTTGGGTTTGAATCTCGAGTGCGTGGACAAGGATCGCATTTCGCAAGTGCGCCTCGCCACTGTCACCAAGATTGTGGGCAAACGCCTCTTTCTGCGCTACTTTGACTCGGACGATGGCTTCTGGTGTCACGAAGATTCGCCCATCATCCATCCCGTTGGTTGGGCAACCACTGTCGGCCACAATCTGGCCGCGCCACAAGATTACCTGGAGCGCATGTTGGGTAAATTAAATGCAATTTTCATTTCATTAAACGATTGAAAGTAGTTAAGAATATGTAAAGTTTTGTTCATAACATAAAATAACTCAACTATCGATCGATCATCTTGTATCAAATTAAAACTTTGGATTGGAATTTTTTTAGCTGGCCGCGAAGCCATGATTGATGTGCACGAGGACGATGCAACTATTGAACTGTTCAAGATGAACTTCACGTTCGATGAATACTTTCTGGATGGTAAAACCAATGGCTTTATGGAGGGCATGAAAATCGAGGCCGTCGATCCTCTGAATCTGTCCTCCATTTGCCCCGCATCAGTGATGGCTGTGCTCAAGTTTGGCTACATGATGATACGCATCGATTCGTATCAGCCGGACGCCTCAGGGTCAGATTGGTGAGCCAGCAACGCTTAGTTGAAAGAAGGGCATCGCAAACGAATGAAATGAAAATAAATTGTTGCGCTTTGTTTCAGGTTCTGTTATCATGAAAAGTCACCGTGCATTTTTCCCGCTGGCTTTTGTGACTCGAATGGCATTGCTGTGACGCCGCCCAATGGTTACGATGCGCGAACCTTTACCTGGGAGGGCTACCTACGAGATACTGGCGCTGTTGCAGCCGGTCAGCATTTATTCCATCGCCTGCTGCCCGATCACGGCTTCGAGCCGGGCATGAGTCTGGAATGCGCTGATCTCATGGACCCGCGACTCGTTTGTGTGGCGACAGTGGCGCGTGTGGTTGGCCGCCTGCTCAAAGTGCACTTCGATGGCTGGACGGACGAGTATGATCAATGGCTGGACTGCGAATCGGCGGATATATATCCAGCCGGCTGGTGTGTGCTCGTCGGCCACAAGCTGGAGGGTCCGCCGCGCATATCCCACCAGCAGGTGACGAAGCCAGCACCCAAGCCCAAGGTGCAGCGAAAACGCAAGACTAAAAAGGGTGGTGCCAATGGGAATGGAAACGGCACCAGCAACAAACAATTGCCACACGACAATAATATGCAGACAGGTGAGATTTGTTTTAATGAATTAAATATACAAATTGCTCATGAAATGCTCCATGATGCAGCAGTAAAACCTCGAACGATTGCCTTGAAGACGACACCACACTTGCCGAAGCTGAGCATTAAGCTGGAACTGAAGCCGGAGCATCACAATGCTGCCTTCTATGAGAATAATCAGGCCGAGGAGGACGAGGATGAAGATGGTGTGGCCGATGATGATGTCGATGGTGATTGCAGCACCAGTCACATTTCCGAGCAGTCCACAACGAATTCGGATCAGTTTGCGGCGACTGGCGGAACAGTAGTTGGGGTAGCCAGCACGGTAACACCAGCAGCCGGCTCGAATGGCAGCAAAACAATGGTAAAGAAATCTTCTACTACTAAATCTCCTGCGCCACCAATTATAGGTCGCAAAGCCACTAGCTACATTGCGGTGAGTACATTGGGATAATAGTGCGTATAGATTTTTAGAAACAATCAATCAACCAAACAACCAACCGCCCGCCCGCTCGCTCGCTCGCCCAACCTGTTTGCCTTTATAATAATAATGCATATGTATTAACAATCATCAATCAGCAAAATCAGCCAAACGCTAATTGCAACTTGTATATAACTTACTTATTTACGCACTGTTATTTTGGTACTTGCATAGAATTACATCCACAGCAGAGCTGTGACAGAAATGATTCATTTGTTGGGATTCAAATCAAAGATTTTACATTTTTATAAATTGAATTACAAATTAAATTTATTTATAATGCGTGCAAAACAGGTAAAACAATACATACAATTTGAATTTGATATTGAATTATTTAAATTTATAATTTCATCCATTCCATTTTTAATGAATCACTTCTTAACAGCTTTGCTTTACCACTCATGCTCACCCAGCCACGCCTCTATACGGCCATTTAATCGAAATTAATTTAAAATATAAGCAAAAACTTAATTTTAATTGAACGTTTATATTTCTCTCCGAACACAGAACTCTGCCGTCAGCAACAGCAAGTACATTCCACGTTTGGGCGATGTGGATACGGGTGATGCGCATTTGGAGTTGATGCCGGATAGCTGGAATGTTTATGATGTGTCCCAGTTTTTGCGTGTTAACGACTGCACCGCACACTGTGACACTTTTAGCCGGAACAAAATCGATGGCAAGCGTCTGATGCAGCTGACCAAGGAGGATATTATCGAGATGCTGGGCATGAAAGTGGGACCTGCGCTCAAAATCTCCGACCTCATTACGCAGCTCAAGTGCAAAATCAATCCCAGCAAGTCCAGATCGCACAAGACCAAGTCGCAGCTTTTATAGTGCGGACTCCAGCCGGAATCTAAACCCAAACAGAGTTTAAGGAAGCCAAGCGTAGTTGTACTTCATTTTATTGAAACGAATGTTATCACCGATAAACTGCACGCATCTACACGTGCATATTATGATTTAGTTTATAATATATATATTATATATCATATATATATATGCACACACATTTACACATACATACATGAAGTATTTTGTTAGCACTTGAAATCGATTTAATGCCTATAGTGGATCCATAATATCCATTTACAGATTGTGTAACTAAATTTAGTCTCACTGCGCGCTATATAATTGTATATATATATATTCTATATTATTTAATATAGAGATACATGCGTATCGCCGTGGTAATCTTTAGTCTTTACACTCATGTTATCAGTCAGAGTTTCTATATAGCAAAAGTGGATTTTGGTAATTCATTTTTGTCATCCATGCATATTTTTTATAATACTAAGTAGCGACAGATCGAAGCAAGCAAACAACATACAACATAATATACATATGTACATAGACACAAGCACATATACACACTTACATTTATACATGGGTATATAACTATATATTGTCTACATATATACCGGATAGGATTGTGTTTATATATATGACATGTGTTCTGTTACAGTATTGTTGTTGCCACAAGCAATGATTCACCACTTTACAAAAAAAAAACAGAACCCAGAGAAACAGGCAGCAATCTTGTGAGCAAACGCATCCAGTAAAGAGCACAGCTGTCGCTCCTAGTCCGTAAGCAAAACAGGCCCAAATCAAATTGCAGCAGCGCAACTTGTCGCTCATATATATTTTTTTTAAATGCAGCGTGAAACTGAATTAATAATATGTACTATAAATGAGTACTTCTCGAGAGGAAGGAATGCAAACTTTAAATTAGATTATCATATATCTAAATATCCTTAAGATATCAGCTAATGTCTAAAAAAAAAAACACATAACTAATAAAAACCGAATTAAAAATCGCAAGTTTTAAAACAACATTTAGCATTAACTTATTCAAGTATTTAGCACATTGAAAGTTAACGGATACATTTAGGAATTTCCTTACAGATAACTCGTCTACCTGTTGGAAGCAATAGCAGAGAGACTGACGACAAGACACGAGGGCAACTTCGTTTGAGTCATCGAATTGTCTTTGTGGTTTTCCACTTCTCTCTCCCGCTCCCGCTCTCTTGCTGCGCATGGCGCTTTTTTCCAACGGTTCAAAAGACACAGGTGGTTGCATGTGGAAGAACTGCGTCGATGTTGTTAAGAAGAAATACATTGGAAATTTGGGTGTATTGATTGAGACGCTAAATGTGAATTTGTCAGGAATATGTCAATCAATTTGTAGTCCTTCAGCCACTGTGGCTCCTTCAACACCATGATGACCATGATGATAATAGATAGCCAAATCAAATTATTCTAGCCCAAATATCGAATATGCCTTTGTAGCTGCTCAACAACTTTCAATAAATTGGTTTATTATTATTATAATTTTTTTTTGTTTTTGGATATTAATACATTTTATATTGGAATATTACAGCTAGTGCTTAAAATCTAATTTACACATAGAGTTTGGTGGCATACATATATATATTTGATATATATGTATTTGATAATTATGCTAAATTTTTGATTAAACATTTTAGCTCGCATTCGAATAACATATTTGGGAGCAAGTTAATCTGTGTATGAGTGTGTGTGAATGGGCGGGTGTGTGTGCTGTTGTGTGTGTGAAGTGTAAATATTATTTAGGCTTGGATATTTATTTATAAAGCTGCCATAACCAAATGTTAAGATAAGGAAACAATAGAAAAAGAGTACATTTACAAAGATGCCTATATACAGGAGGTTATGTCCAGGTCTTAGATTCTACAAAAAATTGGTATTATTTCGTTTTAATCCCTTTTCAATGTTTTAGCTTAAATCGAATGTGTGTTGAGGCAACATTATGCACTTTTGCACTCTAGTTCTTTTTTCAGTGGATTTACTAAAAGGCCTCAACTTAACAACTTGACAAGTTACAAAATACTAACATTTTACAATTATGTAGAAGAGAATAAATATAAACTAAATTTGCAATAAAAATATCAAAAGGAGAAGGGGCGACTTAGATTAAAAGTGATCTTACTACTAAAAGAAAACTACACAACTTCGGCTTTTTCTAATAGTGCGCGTTGAAGACGAAGAAGATGAACAAGAAAAAAGCCTCAATTAAAGTTTGTGTTGAGCTTCTCTAGACATGCATAGTTTTTAGTTTTTTGTTTCTTTTCGTTTTTATCTGGCTCTCGAGTCCAATTGAATTGACTTAAAAGACATATTGGAAATAAATATTATATCTTAACTAGCCGGGCAATTAGTTAAACACAGTTTACACAGTTGCCAATGCAGCTGGAGCTGCAGTTGTGGCTGTTGTTGATGTTGTTTGTGTTGTTGCTGTTGTTGCAACAACGCTGGGTCGTCTCTTTTTAATGGGTGGTGTTTCAGATTCAATCGCTGGCATTGCCTGCTGTTCAACATCAGCTGTACTGCGTCGTTTTTTGCTGGGACTGCTGTCGCTTCCAGTGGTTGTTGCTAGTGGTGTCATGTCCAATCCAGCGGGGCCACCGCTGGTGATTTCCGTAACAATGTGCGCCTCCAAGGCGGGCGGCAGCAGCGGCGAAAGTGGCACGGCATTCAAATCGCAAGCCTCCTCATCGCTGGCCACCACATTGCCAAAGAGATCTTGCCCGCTGCCCAGTTCCTCATCATCATCGTCGTCATCGTCATCATCACTGAAGTCATTGCTCCAGAAGACTTGTGCGCCGGGAAAGACATACGAGCAACTGTTGTTGTGACAATAGAAGGTGCCCGGCTGCAAGCGATCGGCTGTCGTCTGTCGCTTGGCCTGCGGCGGCGTTGGTGTTAAACTTGGTGCCGCTGTCTTTGTCTCGACGACAACATTTGAAGTAATATTGGGATCCAGATTGCTGGCATAGCCGCGATTGGTGTTGTCATTGTTGGTATTGGAGAACTGTTCGCATTGTTCAATGCCGCTGTCCTTGGAGGAGTCAATGGAGAGATGACGATAACTGGACGACGGGCCAGTTGCCGTTGGAGCAGCAGCGAGTCGATCGCAGCTCAATTCCGTCTCATTTAACTCAATAAGAATGTCGCTCTTGATGCGCTCAATGGCGGCACGATCGGCGTCATTATTGCTGCTGTTGGTGCTGCTGCTGTTACTGCTGGTGGTTGCTTGGGGTTCCTGCTCCTGCTGGTTGCGCTTGCCGGGATGCACCGCAGTGAATGTGGACGATTCAAAGCCACTGTCAGAGCAAGTGCCGGCCGACGAGCCGAGCATATAATCAGCCGAGCCATTTGATTTCAACGATTGTGTGTCTGTGTCCAGTTGGGATTGCTGTTCGCTGTCGGAGCTGCGATGCCGATGATGGTGATGATGATGATGGTGATAGTGATGCTCAGTGGGCGGCAACAGATCCTTGGTTTCGTGTAGCACAGCATTGTCACAGCACAGCTGCTTCCAATCATTGTCATTATAACCAGAGTCAGAGCCACTACCCGATAAACGCTGACAGATCTGATTGATAATCACATCCGAATCGCCCAAGAGTTCAACATCAAATTTGAGATGATGCAGCTGCTCGCGATTGATCAGAATCTGCGGCACCGATCCGGGTATGCTGCTGGGAATGTGGGCGACGGGACGCACCTTCAGCGAGGACCCAATCACAATCAACAAATCACACTTGTCCTTGTCCGTGGCCATTACGGTGTGATACTCATCCGGCAAGCCTGCAAGCAAGGCAACAAACAACAAGTCAAGTATTATGAATTATGGTCAAATAGTTGATTTAAATAAAATTCAAAATTGATTAGCTGATGAGCAAAATTAACGGCTTCTTAAAGCAATTTACATTTGAATAATATATTATTTATTAACTGGAATTGCATTAATCTAGTCGAACGCTTACCTTCGCCAAAGAAGACAATGTCGGGCTTCATGATGCCGTTCTCGACGAGCTGCTTGAGTTGCTCTTCTGTGACGGCAACAGAGGCATCCACACTGTGCTCCACATTCGGCTGGCATTGGGGGCAAACGGGTATGCGCTGGGCAAAGATGTCGGCGCGCAAAGCATCCGCATTGCACTTAAACTTGCACTTGGTGCACGAGGCCGTCGAAAAGGAGCCATGGCATTCAATTACCCGCTGTATGCCTGCGACACGCTCCAGTGTGTCAATGTTCTGAGTGTAGTTACGCAACAGTTTGCCCTTCGTCTCCAGCATCTTGATGAAGCGATGGCATGGCGACGGCTTAAATTCGCCCGGATAAATTTCTCGTGCGAATTTGTAAAAGGGTCGCGGATCACGCTTGAAATAGTTGATGTCGAACATGGCCTGCGGATCGGGTAGATCCGGAAAATCATGCGCCAGCCGTGCATAGATGCCGTTCGTTGATCGAAAATCGGGTATGCCACATGAGACAGACACACCAGCGCCGGTTAGTACAATTATATTCTCCGATTTGTGCACCAGCTCGATGACATCGTCAAAGGTGTTAACGTTGCTCAGCTTTGTGCGACGCTTCGGCTCGTTAAGCAGATGCGCCAAATATTCCCACAACACCGAGTCGTCCGTTTCCGTATTTAGTCCGGTGGCAAAGTGCGGCATTATGCTGGCAATCACCTGTCGGGGCACGCGACCCGTGTAAAACTCACGTTGCAACCAACGCAACTTCCAATCATTCCGACCCACCGTCGACGAGCAATCCGAACTCGACGAATCATCGTCATCATCATCGCTGTTGGCCCAGCTAAAAATAAATAAATAATAAAACAATGCACAGCATAAATTTTAAAGTTGTCATGCTCATTCCAAAATTACTCTCAAACTAAAAATGATAAACTTTTCTTTTGCGCAAAGTTTAAATATTTGGATTTTAATTTTTATTTTCAATTTCTGAGGTAAATATCGGCCAATGCAACTAGCCAAAATAAATAGCATTTTTGTGTTCATCATAAGACAAATAAACAAAATTTGGTAAACAAATAAATATTTACAAATTAGTTGATTGTATTCAAAGTTACAACTAAAACTGAAAATGCATGCAAATTAGGAAAAAACAACAATTAAATAAATCAATTATTCATTTTCTTTTAAATTAAAATAACAGAAAGTTTATGTGGAGTATTTACAATGTTATCATTTAAAATAAATATAGTTTCGATTGTGTTTAAAAAATACACAAATTGTGTGTTTTTCTAGATATTTCCAATTTGTTATTTTTGATTAGTTTTCTATAAGTTCAATCAGTTAATCTGATTATACCTCGATTTGTAATCATCATTCTCGTCATCGTCCCCATCATCATCATCATCGGAGATTTCCAGATTAATCATTTGCTGTGCATTTTGCTCCGATTGAACTGTTTGATTTTTGGTAATTTGATTGGCGCCAATTTGTTGCTCTCCCATTTGAGGCAATGTTATTGTTTTGATTTCACCATTTTCTTTTGGTTGAGTTTCGCTTGTTGCTGTTGCTGCTGCCGCTGATGTTGTTGCTGTTGTTGCTACTTCTACTGTTGCTGTTGTTGCTAATGTTGCTGTTTGTGTTGTCAAAATTTCAGCGCCAAAATCAAAATTGGCTTGTGAGCTGTCAAATGTAATGATTTCATTGCTTCGACTGTGTTGTATTTGAATTTCATGGATATCGGCAAGCTCTTTGGCATTGATGTGGCCGAGCCGAATATTCATATCCTCGTAGTTTTCCATCATTTTTCCAGGCGCAACACAGTTTTCGCCTGTTTTGCTTTGTCTGCTTCTTACACACACGCACGTACTCTCTCTCACAGAGCAATACACGCACACACACACACTCGGTGGTTATACGATTTCTTCTTTTTGCTTTCACGCGTTCCGTTTTCTCCGCTCTTTCGTTGGTACACACACAAAATTTTTACGTCTCTACTTTGCATGCATTTTGCTTGCGTAAAAAGTCTGACCAGGCGTTAATTAGACCACTTTTTTAATAAAGTCACTGTTTTTCCGCATATATGCAGTTAAATAAAAATTTTGAAATTTTAAAAAATAATTTTCAATTAAAAATTTTCGTAAAATTTGTACGTAATCTCTGGAAAATTTTCCGATGATGTGACGTGCAAGCAGTCCAGTGTGCCCAAAGCAAACGTTGGAATTAATAATTAAATTTCACCACGCCCAATGTGTTATCTTCGGAGACGTGAATCGATGACTCATATCGTTTTGCATCAGCCAAAATACGGTCACACTAGAAAAAGTAGCACTTTTAGCAAGAAAAAAACACCTACAACTTAGCGGTTGCAGGATTTTCAAATGATTGCAGACTGCGATATACTTACTGCGATATATTGAAAACCCGAATTAGCTAAGATATTATGGATGTATAATTTTTCGCTTATTAGGCTGACCATATTTAGTCGTTTAGGGCTAAACACTATTCTGCGTTTAACAACACTTGTTTTTTTTTTGGCTGTGGCCACAGTCACCCTTTTAAGCACATACAATGCAGTTTTTAGTTTGCTTCTCGTTCTCTGAATTCCCAGTGTTATGGCCTATTGACACTGATTAATTTTAATAAACATGACTATTTAAAGTGCAAATTTATAAACATCAAAATAAAACAGTGACGATAGCTTTGCTAAAAAATTGCTGGTAAGTTGGTAAGTCTATTTATATATATTTTTTTGTGCATACCTACCGCAATCCGCGCAGCTGTTTGCACAGCTGTTTTTGTCTAGATTCGGAATAGGAAGAACCCAAAACAAAATGAAATAAAAACAAAAGGAACGAAACATAGCAATGCGATTAACAAATTATTGTGTCACAAAATCATATCAATTATCGAAACGACAACAACTATGATGCTATGATTCGTGCATTTTCGTTCATTATAGGGGCTAGCGCGCAAACGCAATGGACAACCTGAATTTGTATGCGGTACTCGGTGTTACCAAAGAAGCCACTTCCGAGGAAATCAAAAAGGTGAGTCTTAATCTTTTCAATTATCCTTCCCCTCTCTCAGAGAATAAACATAATTCTTTTCTATAGAACTATCGTAAATTGGCCAAAGAGTTTCATCCGGACAAGAATCCAGATTCGGGTGAAAAATTCAAGGAGATATCGTTTGCGTATGAAGTGCTCTCCGATCCGGAGAAACGTCGCATCTACGATCGCTATGGGGTGAAGGGGCTGCAGGAGGGCGCTGAGGGATTTACCGATACCTCGGACTTTTTTGCACAGTGGTTTCCATTTGGCGGCAACACGTCCAGCGATCCACGTGGTGGATCCGATGGCAAAATTATGGTCAGACTCGAACTGTCGCTGGAGGAGATGTATATGGGCGGTCAGCAGAAATCGGTGCAATACAAGCGTCAGAAGCTGTGCGGCACGTGCAACGGTGACGGTGGTCCCAAGGAGGCGCAGGAATCCTGCGAGGCATGCGGCGGTGTGGGACGCGCCGCTGCCTTCACTTTTATGGGTTTGAGCGCCTTTGATGCGGTAAATCAGAGATAACTACATTTAAATCTTAATCTAACCTAATCTCGCCTTGTCCACTTAGGTGTGTCCCGCTTGCGATGGCCGAGGATTCACCATTAAGGACTCCATGCGCTGCAAGCCCTGCACAGGCACCGGCTTCGTAGAGCAGGAAATGACACGCGACGTGCAGATTGAAGCCGGTGTGCCGCATATGCTGAAGTTGCCCTTTGCCAACGATGGCCATCAGTTGCGCAGCGGAGAGTTCGGTGATCTCTATGTGATCATTGTTCAGGCCGAGCACAGAGTATTTCAGCGTCGCCATGCCAATCTGTATATGCGCGACTTGGAGATCAACATTACGGAAGCACTCTGCGGCTATACGCATTGTTTCTCGCATCTGGATGGACGGACTGTGTGCATGCGAACGCAGCCGGGTGAGGTGCTGCGACACAATCACATCAAGATGATGCGTGGCGCTGGCATGCCGGTGTTCAATAAGCCCACCGAACATGGTGATCTGTATGTGCAGTTTAAGGTCAATATGCCGGCCAATAATTTTGCGACGCCCGCACAACTGACTATGCTGGAGGAATTGTTGCCGCCGCGTGAACACATCGCAGTGCCGCCTGAGGCCGAGGAGGTGCAAATGACGGACTACAAGCCACAGAATCGTTCTGCTCGCCCGGATGCTGCTGATGATGATGACTTCACCGGACAGTCGCCACATTTCGAGGGCGTTCAATGCCAGACAGCTTAGTTATGGGCCCGGGCGTATCCGTGGCTGTTACAGGCGCGCTATCTCGCCTGCGATCTGTGGATGCTGCTGCCGACGCTTGGCGTCGACGAGTTGTGCTTTTTAGTGCCGCTAGTCGTTTTACTATGCATAGTATTATTTTTCATACAGGAATGTTTTGCTGTAAGCAGCGCGTGATCAAAATTTATCGGTTAATTTCTTTAGGCTAGTGAAAATCGGCTCGCACCAATCCTTGTTTTAGCTTAGCTAAACATAGACAACCAAAATTATACGAATGTCATTGATGTTTCTTAAGCCCAACTAAATCTTCTGTTTACATTTTATCAACCTAACTCCCTAATCTTATTTCACAACTATTACCAAAAATACTCTATCAAAAATAATAATATTTATCGGATGCGGTACGAACGCAGTGCTCAATAAATAATTGTCTAGTAACTATTAAATAATACAATAATAACAAATATGGCATGTTTTCACTACTAAACGTTAAACAATTGCCTTCTTAGCTTTGTTAGCTTTCAACAAAAGTTTCACAGGCACCGTGGATTTTAAGTCGTGCAAGTTTGATAAGAGCGAATCCCTTTAAACATTTTTATAATCTTAAGAAGCGCAACGTTCTTTTATTAGAGTATGATTAAATGTAATACACATAGTTCTTAATGATTATGTTATAATCTAATCCGAGATAAATTTCAATTTCAGTCAGTTTGCGAAGTATACAATAATTAATGATAATGATCAGATTCCACAGAAATCCAAGCAGTCAGACTGTCTTTTGGAGTTGGTTCGTTTAGGCGAAAAATCTACTGTTAATTGGAGAACTGTTATCACAGGGCATGCAAGTCGTTCTGATTGTTCTTTTTAATAACAGCACCAGCTTCCAGCGAGCGTTTTTTCAATTCATCCGAATTAGGTGGTTTGTTGGCTTTCTTTTTCTTATGTGTTTGCTCGACCTTTCTCGGAGTTGACTTGCCGGGTATGGTCAAATCGAGAGCAGACGACGATTCCATCTGAGCGTCTTGGCCAACTTGCGTTTCAGGTGCTTCCTCCAAGTTGATGCAGAGCATTTCACCACATCGCATCGTCCTGCCATCGACAGTCTGATTCGCGTTGACCTTCATCAGAGTCAGATATTGATTGTATTTGGCATAGTTACGCCGCCCAGTCTCATCGTTCATCAGGACCTGGGCATGATTGTGCTGCTTGTCGCGCATGGCCTTCAGGCGAATGTGCTTGGTGATGTCCCATCGCCAATTGGAGCGATACGAGCACAGTGAACACTCGAATGGTCTGCGATTCAAATGACCCACAATGTGGACATGGAAACGCGATGCGGTCGCCGCCCAAAAAGAGCAATGAGGACATTTAAATACCTTCCTCACTGCATCTGCATCTTCCGGCGGCAGCTGCTCGGTGACCTGTAAAATAAATGTATATATAAGTAACGAATCATCTGAATGATGAGAAAAGTCATCCAATTTCTATACAATTTAACATTTTTAACAATACGGATTGCTTTAGAAAGTCGAATTCGATTTTTCTACGAGCAATCAACTTGGATGATTTTGAGAGCATAGCCAAGACATGGCTCAAAACCAATAAACTGTTCTCTTTTAATAAAACAGAGTAAAACCTACCTCGCCATAGCCGGGCGCCGTTTCGACGCCGCAATAGCTGAGATCATTGCGGTAATCCTCGACGGTAGTCAGCTCCATGTCCGTGGCTAGCTGTGTGGTATTATTTACTGCCGGCTCACAATGCTGCAAATGATTGGCCAGCTCCGTGGCATTAGGCATGCATTGCTGGCAATGCGAACAGCTAATGGGCGGCAGATCTGAAAGCGGCAACGCAGGACTCGGAGATGCCTCCTCAAGAGCTGATTCAGCGGGTGTCTGCTGCTGTGAGGTGGATGGTTTGAAGGTCAGATGGTGATTGAGCTCGTGTATGGTTAGCGATTGTTTAATGTTTGTGCTGAAATTGCAGAAGCGGCACTGGAAGTAACCATTGGCGCCATGGTTCTTGGTGTGTCTGTCCAGATTCCATTTGTATGGCGAGTGAAAATCACAAGAGTTGCATTTAATCAGCGGCATCGAATGATATTTCACATGCTTCTTGAAGCGCGAACGGATCGGTGTATTGTAGGGGCATTTCTTGCAGTGATATATGGATATCTCAGTGCCCGATGAGAGATCGAGTGCCTCATCCGGCTGGGGTACGTTCTCCGACACCGATTGGCTTTGTGTTGTTGTCTCGCGCGGTGGTTCCTCGTCTTTGAGATTTGTTATGGGAGTGGGTGGCATTATGGACAGTTGGTACACAAAGGCCATGGAGAATATGTTGGCACTGCTTGTGGCTAATAGCTGCAGTTGTTGCCACTGCTGCTGTCGATTGTAGGCATCCACATTGTGCTGCAGCTGCTGCTCCTGCAGCTCCAGCTCGCATTTGAGCTGCTTCAGTGTTGGTCCACACGGTGCCTCGATGCTCTCCTCCAGTCGCCGCATGCGTGCCTCCCGATTGCAATGACGTCGGCTCAACAGACCGCTGCCATCATCATCTGTGCAGCCGTGCACCATCTTCATGTGCCGCACCAGCTTCTGAAAGTGCCTTGATGCATACAGGCAGAGCTTGCATTCGTTTATCATGATCTTCTCGCCGTGCACATCTCGCATATGGGAGAGATGAATGCGCGGATTCTGTGTGAAGAAGGCGCAAGCATGGCAACTGTAGTTGCGTCGAATCTTGCACTGTGGCAGCTCCTCCTCGACCTGTGCATCCTTTGCGGCACCAATCTCTTGCATTACCTGCGGCAGATTGGGCGGCATCATGGGATCCTGAAGGAGCGGCAGTTGACGCTCGAGTAACTCGGCGCCCACTTGAGGATGTGTGGTGGCAACTGGAGCAGCAGCAGCAGCAGCAGCTGGTACTTCATTTGACTCGACCATCTGGTAGACGGTGGCTCCACTTACCAGACTGCGCACCACCAGACGTCCACCCGAACGCTCCACCATCGATGGCAATGACATGCTTCAAAAGTATTTCACAATTTCTTCTTTTCTTTTCTTGATTTTTTTTTCCTAAAATCTATTTTTCTTATCGCAATTCCGAATTTTACTTAGTATTTTATTTGTATTTTCTTGGCTTTTTTGCTTGGGCGAGGTGAACACGGCAAGAGCTCTCGTTGAACTGAACTCTATTCAGAAGGTCCAACCGATGGTCGATTTTTTTGTATTTGGTATTGACGCAAAGACTACTTTGTCTCGAATTTGAAAGCGGTTCCTCAGAGTCCCATGCGTGTACTATTCGAAAGACTGTCAAATTCGTTGTTTTAACCAACACCAAAATTATATGTAGTACTGTAAAAAGCGACATACAAATTAACGGAGTTCTAAAAAAAAAAAACGAATGCCAAACAGTTAAGGCTAAGACGGTACGTGGCAAAGTGGTTAGCTAAATACCTAAAAAAAAAGTGACAGTTAAAGAGAGGCCACAATACAATGTACTTTGTGCAAATAAATCAATATACATATAAGTCGGTTATGGAAATAATACAGTGAATACAGCTATAAAACAAGTCGAAACTGGTGAGTTTTTAAGGCATATATTGGAAAACAATAAAGATTCGTAACAAAAACACAACCACATACCTTATGGAGTCACTGGCTCTTAACAGTTCTAATCTAAGATCTAGTTTTCATCTTGTGCTATATATATAAATTTGTGGCTAAAGCTCGGAGAGCTGCAACGGCAATAAATGCATCCACAAATCCGGATCTACCTGAAGTTCATGCTTGCTGAAGTTAAACAATGGCGGCAGTTGTGCCCCACTGGGCATCGGTGTCCTTAGGGTATCCATGAGGCGCAGTTCATCGTAGCTGGGATGAGCACAGGCCTTCAGGGGTGCAATGCGTGCCGTTGGATTAAACACGAGGCACTGATTAAGTAGGGCCGCCAAATCATGTGGTATCGTCTTCCCAATCAATGTCTGCGAGCTGGGTCGTGCAATGATTGGTAGATTCTCTGCCCAACTAACTTTGGCTAGCAATTCGGGGCAGTTCACCAAGCCAACGGTGCCCAGCATGGTCATCATGTGCAACAGCTGGTCATACTCGTTCCTGAAGAGCGGTGTGCCCTTGATCAGCTCGGCCAGGACACAGCCAGCACTCCAGATATCCATACTGGTGTCATATGTCTCGATTTTGGCAAATAGTTCCGGTGCGCGATAGAGCCGGGAACAAATGTACGTGCTACTCAACTCATTTTTTTTCATCAACTTGGCGCTGCCAAAGTCGCTCAGCTTCAGATTCATTGTCGTCGGATCGAGTAGCATATTGTCGGGCTTAACATCACGATGGCAAATGCACTGCGAGTGCAGATGGGCTAAACCGCGAAACATTTGATAGGAGAGCACACGGACATAGATGAAGGGAATTTGGTGCTCATCGTACTGGGAGATATACTTGAGTAGCGACATCGGCATATACTCCATGATCAAGAGCATATAGCGTTGTCGCGGTTCGCACACTCCAGTGAAGCAGTGCATCATTAGACGCACAATATTACAATGATCCAACATGTTATTCATAATCTTTAACTCGTTTCCAGAATGATTCGAATTGTTGGCCACCTGTTTGATGGCAACAACACTATCCAATTTGTTCACATGCGCCTTGTAAACCAGGCCAAATGTACCCCTGCCAATTGGCTCATTGATCGTTAACATTATCTGCTCCGGCTCCAGGCTGCGTGTGAAGGCCGTTGTGATATAGATGCTGCCCTTGGGTATCTGAAACACATCGGTGTGCCATTTCGGTGCTTCATCTTGCAGCATGATCTAAGCTCGCAAATGAGATCAATTTATTTTATGCGAATTTTACTTACCCGTCTTAGTCTGGTATTCAAAAATGATCAAACCTACGAAAAATACGAAACGAAATTAAATGATGTAAAGAAGAGTTGGAGTCAGAAGCGCGCGCGCAGAAAACGGTAGCTTTCTTTTGGTTTCTTCTTTGTGATATTCTAACAAATCTGGTCTCTCTTGCATGCAAATTGCAGTCACATTCAACTGTTTTCTGAAATTTCGTTTTGTTTCTTATTTTTTTTAAGTTACAAATTATTTAATTTAATTATTGAATGCAACTGTTTTTTTGTTCCTATGTCAAAAACAAACACGTTATTTCTTGAAAGCTGCGCCTGCTTAAAGGAAAGGCGTTGCCATAAAAGATCAGAACGTTGCCACCTGGTTGCACAAGTGGATAGTCAAAGCGTTGCCGGTGCGGTGAATAATCTGCTGCATTTAAGGCAAAGAAATTGAAAACAATACGATGAAATAAATATAGGAAAAAAATTATAATACATTTTTATATTCTGATATGAAAGGCATAAGAATATATCTAAGCAGAGTACCAATCTAAGCCTACATACTTCAAACTGGATCGTATACTTACCTCAGCTCGCCACAGACAGTGTTAACATTTAATACAATTTTATTCAATCGATAATCGCGAAATAAAATTGCATATCTTGCGCAATTTTATAGAAAGTGTAATCTAACTGAGAGCATAGATTGGATCCGCAAAGATCGACTCATATCATATATCATAGAGTTATCAATTTTGAAAGGTATACTACTGATAATACCTTTCGAAAATCTTGAGAAAATGATGTGTCCCAGACTACTTCTCCCGCAATTTTTGAGCTAGAGTCACAGCATTTCAAAGTCGCAGTATTAAATTAATTTGTTTGTTTCATTAGCTTTGTCTGTGTGAAAAACCAACATGGATTTTGATTATGCGTTTGAATACTTTGCATTTGGCTCAAGGATGGGTTAAAGGCACAGTTTAGCTGAATTGGAATTAGGACTTTAATATGATAAGACCCGCAACGAATCGCTTGTGATTGTGTGTATATGTTGCTCTTGTCATTTCCGCTTAGCTACGAAAAACTTTCACCACCACAGTTTATGGGCGGAACACTGAGCCAGGGACAGACTACGGCGGAAATGTCGCTTGCCAATGCCTACTCTGTGGTTCAGAGTTGAAATTCATGTAATTCCATTAACACAGACAACTTCCGTTAGATGAGAAAATGACAGGCTCGCCTAATGGGCGACGCGTGTGCGATGGCATGGATGACGATGTGGATGCGGCCGGGCATTTGTGGTATCTAAATATACATATATATATATATATATATATATATATATATACAGATGCTGTGCGGTTTTGCCGTAGTATTTTCATTGCCCTAAAAAAATGTCCATGATATCAGCCCCTTTCATTTTGCCTACATTTCGTAAACGGTATAAAAATTAAATTCCTAAATTCAAATGGTAACTTTTTACGATGATATAAATCGCAGCCGGTGCAACAGGTCAACACACACACACATCACACACAAATGGCTGCAAATTCGGCAAAACCAGAGAGCGAAACACCCCCTAAAACGGAAATGACTGTCAGACCGAAAGTGGCGTGCAGCGAAGCTAGGGACAAATATTCAGGATTTCCGGCAAGACCGAATATTTTTACATCTCCCTTCACGGCACACTCGATTTGCTTAACTGGCCATTTTGTTATTGGTTTTTTTTTTTTTTTTTTTGGCCAGTTGTGCCAGTTTCATGGCAAATCTAAAGTTTCCATTTAAAAGAGCACACAGATTAATAAACTGTAAAATGAAAGCCCAATGTATTTAAATCTGCAACACAAATATACAAATTCAATTTCAATGCCGGAATTTTTCATTTTTACGCACAATTTAGGCTTTGATAGGATGGAATTGAGCCGCAATTAATTTAAAGCATTACGGCATTGATTTTGTGTACATGTGGGAATTGAGTTAACAGAGATGTTTCTCAGCACGTTTTGAGTTGTCATTGATTGGAAAATAACCTTTGGCCAAGAATTGAAATACAAATAAATTGGTTTACAGAGTACAACTTAGTATTTGTTGTATTTGCAAGCTTAATTAACATTCACATTCAAGATCAAAATTCGTTTATGGTTGAATGCAAAAAAACAATCTTAAGAAAATATTTAGGCTTACTAAGCTGAAGCTTGTTTTAGGAAAACTAATATGAAATATTTATTTTGCAATTTTATTGTATTAAATTCGCTGAAATACAAGTCTATCATATATATTTATTGTTATATGAAGACAATATACATGCTACCTGTACTCAAAGTCGAAGAATTAAATAAGTGTGCTGGGTTATAGAATAGCCTGATTGCTTAATTAATTGTCGTATTCTTAAATATTATCAGAGACAAGCAGTTTTCACAGTGGCTTTTGCATTCTTGGGCGCTTCAACGTGGAAATCGTGCCAAGTTCTCGATTTGACGTCTCAAAGTCAATGGCAAATGGCGTAATTCGTGGGAAAATCTTTCGACTGCATTCTAATGGTTAAAAAAAAGCTGTTTGACTTACCCACTGTATAAATATTCATATATATTTATATATATATGTACCTATTAATTAACAGCGTTGAATGCAGCTTACAAAAGCGACTCCCCCTCCATCGGCCCCATGTCCCTCATAGGCGTTCCCCTCGTTAAAGATTTGTGCAAATCTTTCAAGACGACGACGCTGCCATCGTCACACCTTTGTGATGCTGTATCCACTGGTGATGCACACTGGCACACTCACACACTGCGGTTGCTTTGATATCTTGACCTTGAACTTGGTATTAGATGTGCGCTCTCAAAACCGGTTGCGTACCTGCCCGAGAGGCACTTGTACTGTAAATTAATTGGCAAAAGCACAAGACAACACGGTGACAAGCACGAGGCAACAAGCAGCAAACTTCAACTTGCTTAAATTAAGAGCACCGGTGCTAGACTCGATATAACAAACAACAGCCACTCAGTAATTATCTGTGCCTTAGAATTACGAAGATCGAGATCGAATTCAAGTCGCCCTAAAATGCAGAAATAATCAGAGCTCTTTTTAAGATATAGTCTTAATTTGCAAAATATATCTTTCAATAATCTAAAAATGATCTTATTTGTTTTTTATTTGAATTCAACATATTAAAAAAGGCATTTATTTGGAAAGTATACATACAAATGAAACTTTCATTACACAATTAAAAAACATATAATATTTTCGAAAATGAACTAACTAAAAGAAAATCATTTCATCTTGTTTGCTTGAAAATTGATTTCAAAATTAAAAAAAAAAAAAGATTGCTGATTGTCCGCAGACAGTTTTGATAAATGATAGTAAAATCTATCTAGCAATCTAAAAATGTAAACCTCAGTAGGGCCATCCTAAACAACAAGTCCAACTGCCTTTGGTAATTTTCTAAATTCTAGGGCATATTTTTCTTTATTGCTTCTGCTCGGGCCTGACATCTATAAATTTCAATTTCAAATGAGCAAAGGGTGCATAATTTCATTTGAATCACTTGTCTATGCACTTTTATGCCGCATTAAAACAGCGGGAGAAAACCCAAAATTATTAACATTAACGGCAAACACTTGTTCTATGGTTGGATTTCTAATTGCAGCCAGACACCAAACCCTTTTCAACAGCAGCAAACCGCAGCGCAAATAAAACACGACGGGAGTAACACCCCACCCCATTCGCTGGCAACATGTTGCGCGGCAGCCTCAGCTAATCTGGTGGCCGCTAAGTATGCTATAAGAGTGGTCGGGGCAGGGACGATTTAATTTCAGGCTGAGGCGGTTAATTTTAAAAGCTTCATGAAAAAATGTGAAAAAGAAACAAAGAAACCAAAAGCGACCACAGCACATTAAGTGTGCGCACATAATATGGCATTAGGCACACACTTAGAAAAAAGGGCAACTCTCATTATTATTCAGAAAGTATATTTCTCAAACAATGGTTTTGTCCGTCTAAAAATTATGGTCTTTCTCTTAAATTTATTCTAAAATATTGAAATAATTTAACAATATCCATAAAGTTTCTTAAAATGTGTACACATAACTCTTAAATTAGTCTTTGTATTGTTTGTATCATTTTTAAATATTTATAATATTTATAATATAATTTGTAAATTCATATAATTTAAAAAGGAAAAACTTACCATTTTAGGTTAACTCCCGAACCTTCATTGTAAAGCAACAGCTCAACTTTTAAATATATTTCTGAAAAATATAAAAAGCTTCTACCTTTAAAGACTTTTTCGTATATCTAGAAATGACATATATTTCTATTTTTCAGCGTGACTTTCATTTTAAGGCGATTTTTTTTCTGAGCGTACACACAAACATGCACATATTAACATTTAAAGTTAAATGTTCGGCTTGTGACACTTTGACAACGGACACATGGTGTTAGTCATAAAGCCAAACAAGGACATTTATGTCGCAGATGCTGTGAAAAGTTAATAAAAATTAATGAAATGACTGCAACTTTCATATTAATAAAGTTGACAGTGAATTGGGTATTTTTCTGTGTGTATTTCGGGTATGGCTGAATTGGTAATATGTACAACTTATTTCGTATTTAAACAGAACGAAATAGGACTACTATATCCTATTTCATAAAAATTGGAAATTCGGTCAGTTTTTTTTTAATGATTTATAATTAAAGGTATTCAATCTTCAACGCTGCTAGATAGCCGTTCTCATTTGATTATTCAGTGGATAAATGTGTCTATGCAGTATACTAAGTAGAATTATGCAAATACGTTTATCAACTGCAATCAGACAAAGTTAAATTGACTGCCTGACTTATTTATCTGTGTCTGCAGGCCACGCCCCATTTTTAGTTTGGTGGTGATCGCACGTACAAAATTAATTTGGCCGACAAAAACGTAACGTGCAAATAACAACTACCAAAATTGCGTGCGCGCTGCGGGCGTCTCTT